TACTCTAGGAAAGTACATATTGACTCGGAAAATACACCACGACCATACATTTTTAATTAATTCAAATAATTTTAATTACGTCTCTATATATTTATTTATCGCCGCGTAAATCATTTCGTTGCAAAACAAACGCTTATTCAACATTTAACGATATTTTAACATAACAATGATGATTCACGCAATGCGCTTTCCAATCTGTGCATTGTGTTTTTTTTTTCTTGCACATGGAAATCCGAGACACAGATGTCTTCGTTTTGCATTTCGATTAGCAGCTACATTCATTCATTAAGTTGTAAATAAAATTTAATATTTTGCTTTAAAACGAATATTTCACACTAGTTTTTGCCCGCGACTTCGTCCGCGTTAGTTTGGTCAAGAGTAATATATGTAGGAGTAGCTGACCAGGCGAACTCTATTCCGTCTTAGAGGCCAAAAATAATCAGGTTTTTCCTGTTTCAATCAAACAGAATGATTGACATATTAGTTAGTTGTCAAATCTAATGTCAGAAAAAACCGTTTGTATGGGAAATAGAAAAGGGCTGTTTTTAGGGTTTGCCCGGCAATTATTCCAATTTTTCTCACCTTTTATACCTTCCCTGAACCTCCACGAACATTTCAAGACTAAGATAAGATAAATCCGTTCAGCTGTTCTCGAGTTTTAGCGAGACTAAGGAACAGCAATCCATTTTTATATATATAGAAGATTATTATTTGTAAAATAATTATTTATATTAAAATGAAAAATGTTTAACCTAGTAAGAAATGTACATATAAATTTTTTTTCGCTATGCCAATGTCATGAAAAATATTTTTTTCAATTTTTTTTTATCGTTTTACGCAAGTTATTACCAAATTGTCTGTCTATAGGGCTTATAATAAATCAAACTTAATATATTTAATTAAAAACAAATAAATCAGCATTTAATACGTAAACACTGGACAAAAATTATGTACCTACTATGATTTTTTGTAACCTGAATGCATCTAACACGTCACTGCACCGTTACAAACTCTTATTTCACAGTACTCAAACCTCGAGGGCTACATCATACAGGTAAGGCGGTTTAAATTTATTTTTAGAGATGCAATCAGGCCATTTGGCAGGATGTTTAACGTCATACGCAAAACGTTTCATTTGTTTCGCGAACTGAGAATACGTTTGAGTTATAAAATAAGCCGTTCACTTGTATACGTATTTTTGATCTATAAATATTGTGGAAGAAATAAAGTATTTATATTAATCTATAGTTCTGATGTAGTCTTCGTTTGTTTAACTTCAAGTGATCAAATTGGAAGGCCAATTAAATTATGTGGCTTCACAAAAACCGAGAGTTGTATAGGGACGAAGAATAAAAAAAACGCCATCCCTTATACCATAATATACAATGAGGCAACTGCGATTGTAACTTTCCTAAAACATATTTTAAATAATAAGAATTCACTGTCAGAAATAATCATATGAATTCATTCATTCCAGAGCTGTTGCCACAGAAAGAAGTTTGATTAAAATTAAATTTGAATGAGACAAGATTTTGTCATTGTGTCATTACTTCTATCACAAAGTATCCAAAAGGATATCCGTATCTATTCAGATATGTTATTAAGGTTGTTATGTTGAATTGTAATATGACGTAATCCACGGCACGTGGGCGGCTGTCAGCAATATTAAAGATAATCTTCAAGAATTAGAAGGTATTAAATGGCAACTATCATAACAGAACCGGCGGAATTACTTGATACATTAAATACACTAGTCCATTATATTCACATTTACGAAGAATTATAACATCTGAGTAAACAAAAGTGTACAATACTTCAATATTTGTGCGTTTTGTCAACATCAACTACAACGCCTTGGTTACCTAGTAACGGTGCAGTAATTCTAGTAGCGAGATTCTACAAAAAGTATTTGGATAAGCGAGGCGCGTCCTGAGCAAGCTTGTTTTACTTCAGACCCTTTTTACTTCCCGCCGAGAGACAGGGAGGCTTGCATTCCCGCGGCACGATAGCCCGCTATTGCATCGGTTAGCGCCAACAGAGAAATAAACTGTTGAATCCCACGACTAACAAACTTCTAAAGTATTATTAAAATATCAACTTTTATACCATACATAGAGATTTAGTGTTGTATAAAGACGCTAATTATGATGTTTACGATCATGTTTTCGATAACAACCGTTACTTGACATACAAATGCTAACTAACATTTCGCCGGTAATACTGACTACACATACGAATAACTACTTGCGTTTGAATTAAGTGGGACATTGATAACTAGTTGCTATCAGCAGACAGCAAACCACAGATAAATATTAAAACATTTCACCAACCTGATGGCTCGGCGCAGTCGCTTAAAATCCAAGCTGCATTTTAACCTCAAAAAGCACCTTAAGCACGATTAAACGAACGAAGGTCACGGTTATGTTATCTTGCATAATACCACTTAACCTTTACTCCAGTTATGGATAAAAACAATACACGATCAACGTTTACTTCTAATGCTGTTATCATAAACACACGAATGCACAGTTCGTTGCACGTTTATTTTTCAACAAGCGACACGAGTGTCCATTCCATACCCCATCTGGTCGCATATTTCAATGTCCTTTACACAAAACTAGCACCAATAAAAATCTGATGTCATTTATTCTATGCAGTTTACGATAAAACATGGCACAGCCGTGCACTGCACTACATCAGATACGACGAATATGGCGGATGAATTTGAACTACGCTTGCGCCGCTGTACAAGCCTCGCTGTCAATGTCACTTGGCCATTAGACACAGCAGCGCCATCTCTTCAAAACATGTGCAACTTTTTTAAACAACGCCTTATACGTCTGGATGCCTTTATAAGGTTACAACTTTCAAAATGTCAACACTAGATGGCTATTTTATGAAACCTTAAACCTTTGTTATTAAACTTCTGCATATTATGTATTTTGTCGCGAACATTAAAATCTACACTAGGCTCATATTAATTTTTTTTTGTTTTGCTTACTTGAATTTTAAAGAAATGTTTTTAGAATTAAATTTAAACACGTAATAAAAATGTTACGATTTGCTGTCTGTGCGTAAATGATATTTGAGAAAAAATGTTATTGAGACTTTATCAATGCAAATAGAACCCAAAGCAGTATTTCTTTTAATTTTTGTCGTTTTGTTTGTGTATGCTAATCTTAGAAATGACTAATTCGATTAATTATAATGAGTTTTTTTTCCATGTCAAACATATAAATTAAAATGTTATGCCGATTTAGAGAGTCACATCCAATAATTATTAATAATTTATGTATCAAACAATCCTTATACTTACCTATTATTTCTCTGTTCGTATTATTACCTGAAAGTACATTCCATTTAAAGTTAATATTATTTACAAATATTAAAAAGTTTTAGTGTAAAACAAAGGTTAATAATTATACATTTTGGAATTTCTAATTACTAATGTGATATCTATGTTTAATCAATAAAACGAAGTGGGGCTCAGCTAATACTAGACATTAATTTATAGAATGTACGAAAAGTTTTGTGAAAAAATGAACCAAGAATCGCCCCTTTATTTTGGCTTTTAAATTATTTACATATTATACCTACCTATATGCATTCATTATGTTTTCATTTTAGCATAATAGGTCTTAGAAGCTAATCTACACATATAATTATAAATATAACGTACCGCCGCGCTGTCTGTATACACGATACCTTCATAAAAAATGGAAAATTTAAAAATTTCCACCCCTCTGTCTGATTGATTCGGCTTATCTAAAGGCTAAACAGATTTTGGAGTGAATTTCTCTCGTAGATAAATATTTTAAGAATACTTTGGTAAGGAATATTTAAGAATATTTTCTTACCGACTTCACTACGTCAGGATAGGAAAAGATCCTCGAGATATAATAAAACCTCATATGAATGATAAGGCTTATCTCAAAAGTAAGCCCTTTGTAAATGTAAATGGACGTGGAAATATGTTATAAGAGTAATAGTATAAATAAAAATATCTCTAAGCAAGGATATCGTATTCTATTCCTTCTGTACCTTACATCGATTTAAGTTTTTAATTTGTTTTAATTACTTTGCCACATGTTATATTTATGAGTAATAATGTAATAAAACATTGAACTGGTGGCACACAATTTACTGCTTCAACGTAGACTGACAACTGTCACAAACATTATTTATCTGAATTTGTTACAAACACTATAATTATTAAAACCTTTATTCTTTAAAATAGAAAGTCATTTGTTTTGAAAGCACAGTTTTATAAACAAATAATATGTAATGTAAATACGTAAATATATTCGTTAACTGAAAACATCGCTTTAGGTAATTGATAGTTATTTATCATCTGTAGATATAACCGTGAAATAGAACAGAATTAAATAGTAAATTTTTAAATGCTGGGAAATATTAATGTTGGCGGAATACGTAAAAACGGAGATTTTATTTTTAAAGTAGATACATACATAATTCTATAAGTGGTAGTTTTTTTTAAGCCTTAAAGACCATCTAGGATATTAAAAATAAGCGCATGTAATTTGTTTTTACAAAGTTAACACAGAGCATTTAAAAATATATATATTTATTATAACTTAACTCTCCTTTAATCTAGAAGGATTCTCATTTTCTAAGCAAATTATTAGATGATAAAAAAAAAACCTAAACAAATTGTTCAAAATTAAAATCTGCTTTTTTATTAACTTAACACCCCAAACAACAGCATGTTTCAATTCTATGAAATTACACTAAATTAATTATTTTGCTAGCATATATGTATACTTATTATTAAAAAACCAATTACGTAATTCTTACTGGTCTACATAACTTCAAAAGAAAATAAACAAGCCATACCACAATAAAACATCTACTAATTCCGACCAATAATAAGGTTAGGACAAAAAACAAACTTTATTATAATAACATTTATTTAACAAGACATATTATTTAAGAAAATAGACACACGACGATATATATTTAGTAACATTACAAATCATTCATCATTTTCTCCGGGTCCTGTATCGGAGCGCGAGTAACGCCAGCAGGTGGAAGGTCAGATACATTATTACCAGTGCCATGATGTCGATCCAGAATTTGGTCTTCTCAAAGTCATACACTTGTAGGACCTCCTGGCCAGAACTCACACATGGCGCTTCGTTCTCTGGTAGTGTACACGCTGAAATATTTCAGTATAATTACATATATTGCGCTGTATTCGTAACTATAGGCCCTTACGAAATATTCAATTAGTTCATCGTATTGCATAGAAAAAATTGTTAACTTCTAAGTACGAGTCGGAGTTGGATGCGGAAGGTTCTTTATCAGTATGTATAAAAACGAACAAAAATTAGGTACGTTTGTTGTAGGGATACTTAAATGTTTTTTTTAATTTTTATTGACAGAAATAGTTGATCTAAGAAATTCTTAATTGTATTACTATCACGGTAATAATTTTCAAGGCCTGATAATAAACGGATGGAAGGACTGAAATCATAGCTGATAGCAATGTGACCGCGTTTTGCACTTTAACAACGAAACTCTAAAAACAGTTTAAGGATGTTCAATTCTTTGCAATATTTAGAACGTAGATTTCTTTCTTTTGTAACCTCCTGGTGACACTGTCAAAACCTATAGGGCTAATAGCAACAGTCAATTCCAAGCAAAAAATTCTCTCTACAACAACAAAGGTTATAAGTAATGCCTTATAATGAATGTATTAGCTCGTTTCACAAAAGGTACTTGTAATAAAACATTTTTTTTTGTGGGGAATTCCCTCCAAGCGCCACTATTTTACCTGATCTTTCTAAGAATAACAGATGGTCGTACCTACAATAAACTGTACAAATGTTCATAGTTATTCTATTTTGAATTTTAGAACTATTAGTGCAAAACCATAAAGGAACATTAATAAGTATGTTATTGTCTTATTTATTAATTATATTAATAATATGAAAGACGCAACTATAATGGCAAATTGTTCTAAAGTCCGTTTTTTACAATGAAAGTTTAGTGAAAGAAGTCACTGTAAGTAATTATAAAGTTCCCTACTCATTACATTTAGGGTTAGAAAATTATTCTCACGAAGGAGATTACTACCAATCATCGATTTTAGTAGTAAGTATTGAAGTCTGTTTTCAAACGCAATATATATTAAAACATTATATTCCTCTTATATAAATATTTACAAAATATTAGCCGCCTATCAGATGGTGAGTATGTTCGAACAAAAATATCTCTAGATATATGTTGAGACTATTAAGTCTAGGACATTCGAATTTAGACTAGATTTTAATCTCCTTTACACTTATTTATAGAACGAGCAACTGCTTCTTTAAGAATGTGACTATTTCTATTTCAGTATTCATTCAATGAACATATACTTATTCGGGAGTTAATAGATATTCCTTACTAATTTGCTTCTTCTTCGTTAATGATCTGAGACATCATAATTCTTACTTCAAATCCGCATATTTACACTACTAATAGAACGCTAACAGAATTTCATTCATAATTTTCGTACATTACTGTATTAAAAGTAGTTTATTGAATGAGAAAAGTAGGTAATTTTTATGTATGTATGCGAACTTGTAGTAAGGTTACAGATATATTCGTTTCTTTTATTACTCACTTATGTTCTGAACTCCATCCCACTGGAGGATGCTCATGGCTTCGTTGGAGTACATCAACCAGGACATGTACCGTATCCAAGACACGTATTTCGGCATGGAGCTGAAATGAGAGGATTATGGGTAAATTAAATTATAAACATTTTTCTTGTTCATATGTATTATGTATGTAACTTTTTAATTTTTGTATCTTATATTTTAAAATAAACTGAGTGAAGAAATTTAAAATGCTTTACTATTTTTTTTAAAAATACAAGACTACTTACTTATTATTTTTATTTTAATATTGGCGATATTTTTTAATATTTTTCTAAACTTTTCCAGTAATATAATCATATTATAGACAAACAAGCTGTATGAATATTCATTATACAGTAGCGCTATTAAAAATATCTTTGAATGTTACCAAAATTTACTAGGTGAATCCTATAAAATAGTTTTATTTTTATATATAAATGTTACTATTCTTCAAATTCTCAAAAAAATCTCATCTCATCTCATTCAAACATGGCAACACAGATTATCTTCCGCAACTAATCGTGTTTTGATTGAAAAATACGTTTTATTATAGAATTGTAAATATAATTGTATCCTACCTCAGTTTGATAAATAATCCTGAAGTCATCATGAGGGAATAGTCAAAGGGGACGAGGTAAGCGATGGCCAGCGGCATGGAACCGAAAGCACAGGAAAAGAATGATCCTGGAACATTGATAAAAACAAATAATTAATGTAATACACTACAAACAATAGTTAGAACATTTGAATTAAAATACCTCTTTAAACCTCACTGTTTTAATTGTTTTTTTATCGAAAGTCATACAAACCTAAGTTCATAAATAATTTAAAGTACATATATCTTAAAATTTAAATCAGGAACTAATTCCATATTTAAGATATACCTCATATTATCTAATGTATTAGGTAGTAAGAAGGTTACAATTTTTACATTGGTCGTTCTTAAAAACTCATTTAATATATGAAAACTGTCGATGTAGAGTCATAATAAAGAAATTTTCTAATGTGATTAACATAAAAAATATACATAAATAGCCTAATAAACTATGTATATTTGCCCTAAATAATAATTACAAGTATGTCTTCAAAAACTGATAATAAATTAATGTTAATAATTAATTTATTAATTTGGAATAGTCTTCCATAAAAAATATAGATTTAATTAATTTGAATCGTCTACCCGTGATCACGGTTGCTACAAAATAACCGAAATATCGAGAGTATGCAGTTGAAATAATTAAAAACGCGTAGTAAATACTAAAATATTAGTTTTATTTCAATGAATACTCGCGAAATTCTTAGATCTCATTAATATATGTATAAAGTCATTGAGTGTAATAAATATTAAATAAGTAATAAAATTCTATCGATACCCAATCGCCATATACATCAATATAACATTGCATCTTAAATAAAGCAAATATAGAGAAATATATATTAATAATATTTCAACTTGTTTTTCTTTAATACGTTTAATTTTCTCACCACAAGCGATTGCCACGTTCAGTACAAGTATGGCGAGCAAAACAGTAAAGCCAAACGCATAGAGCGTAGCCCGCAAGCCCGCGACCCAGTACACCACTAGAGTGAACAACGTGGGCTCTATCACTAATCCTGGCAACTGAAAAATAAATTACAACCAAAATTAATTAAATGTTATATTAATGATTATTATAAATGTAAAATCTTCATCTAAATATACCTTTACTAAAAACCAGTTCTACTATGAACATAGATTAGAAATATCGAAATTATTATGAACATTGAATTTAAAATAGTTTAATAATACTAATTGATTATAGTAGAATACTATCTATACTAATATTATAAAGCTGAAGAGTTTGTTTGTTTGTTTGTTTGTTTGAAAGCGCTAATCTCCGAAACTACTGGTTCGAATTGAATAATTCTTTTTGTGCTGGATAGTCCAGTTATCGAGGAAGGCTTTGGGCTATATAACATCACACTACGACCAATAGGAGCAAAGATATAGTGGTAAATGTGTAAAAAACGGGAGAAATTATTTCATCTTTGAAGCCTTCCGTTGCGTGCGCCGTGAAAACGGTTCAAGATACACAAAAAATATGTATTAAAGAATAATAGCCCTTTTAATGATCTAAAAAACAGTCCGCGACAGTATATGTCTATCTTTTAAGATTAACTCACAAAAACCGTTTTTATGGTACCTAATTTGGTCGAAATAATTTGTTTAAGTTGTATCAACATAGTAATATTAATCTTTATTCAAATAAACAAATAAATATGTTGTTGGTTAAGAGTACTTCATTGTGAATAAAAAAAATAGGTTTTATCCTGAAAATTCTACGGGAACTCGACCATTCCGAAAACCCAGCAAGAACGGGAACTATGTGGGAAGAATCAAAAATCTGCCGGAAGTCACTATTCCACGCGGACGAAGGCGCGGCAAAAGCTAGTTTATATATACAAGCTGAAGTAAAAATTTTGCATTGTATGTATTTTTTAATGCTACATTATTAAATAAATAAAAAGAAAAATTCCGTTCGAAAAAAAATGAAAAGTGAACAACCCTCATGAAAAATAGATGTTGGCCGATTCTCAGACCTACTCAATATGCTCACAAAATATCATTCAAATCGGTCCAGCCGTTTCGGAGGAGTTCTCTGTCTAACACTGCGACACGAGAATTTTATATATAAGATATATTGTATATATACAAACCAAAGCAAGCATTCTTGATACATAATATATGGTTGTTGAGTGCAGCCCAGCCTTGAGTTCTCTTTGGAGGAGGGGAAACTCTTCAGGGAACATATTGAGGACTGAGTACATAGGAATGAAGGTGTTCTCAGCGATGATGATGAAGAGCGCTCCTTGAACATCCTGTATACCAGCCTGGGTGAGGCGAGCTGTTCCAAGGAAACACAGCCCTGCTGTTATCGCTATAGCCTATATAAAAAATAACAAAAATCAATCGCAATTAAATCAGCATAAATAAAAAATCTACCATAATTAACTAGGGGTGCCGTAAGTAATAATTGAAAATATGACATCAGAAACTGATAATAAATTAAAATAAATAATATTTATTAAATTGGAATACTGTTCAATAAAAAATAACGATTTTATAATACAAAACTTGAAAAATATGGAAAGTACAAGAATTTATGTATGTGGTTTATACTAGTAAATATATTAACAAAAAATATACAACGAAGTGATGATTGTATAGATATTGCAATCAAATTGTTTTCTTACCAGCTTTTGTATAATTCTCACTAATTGAACTCTTGGATCTCGAATGATGATGAGCAGGTATCGATACACAAGCCAGGCTATTTTCGTGTGAACCAACGGCGGCTTATAATGAGTGAATTTTAATTTCTTTGATTCCTGAAAGAAAGGTGAAGGCTCCAATTAGACAATTATACCTATAGATAGGTCACGCTAATATTGGAGATATTGTATACAATTGATACATATTCTATTCTGACTGACCTCGTCTTCATTCTCCATAATATGGAACTCTAAATGGATCTCCATATCCAATTCCTTAGCTGCATCGCTCACAGCGAATCTATCGCAAACGCTTTTGATTGCCTGTCTCGATGCACCTTCAGATCCAGGGGTTAACGCCAAAACTTTGATGAAATAATCGGTGGGATTGTATGTTATGGGGCATTGGTAGCCCAGACTACAGGAAAAAAAGGAATATTTGAAATTAACCTACTTTTTGTCAGACACTTCTTTCTAACATTTTAACGTCAAAAAAGATATTTAAGCAGAATGTTCATGTATTTCATTGATGCTCTTTCTTCGCATTCCTAGACTTAAAGATTAGATGGGTAGACTTAGTAAACAAGCCCTTGAAAGTCGCCGCCGTCTGACCTCATGAGAGGAAGTTGTATTAAGGCCATCGATTAATACATTGTTTAGATCAAGAGACAATTGTCAACAACATTGATAACTGGTGCCACTTCTGTGCTAGATTTACACACTTTCATGAAGCCGCCTAAGTTCACTATCATAGTTTAACGCAAACAAAATTTAAACATATATTCATTGCATTGCAATTTTTTATAGTTATGACGAAAAGACAAACCTTTCAAAGAAACTCAAAGCTCCGGAGGCATTTCCAGCGAAGGCGACTCGTCCTTCAGCAAGCAACACCAGCTTATCAAACAAGGCCATTAGTTCAGATGAAGGTTGGTGTATCGTACATATGATGGTCTTGCCTTGAACAGCACTTGCTCGTAATAAAGTTATGAGCTTCTGTGCTGATGATGAGTCCAGACCAGTTGTTGGCTCATCGCAGAACAGAAGTCCTGGGTCAGTCAGTAACTGGAAGATATTTAAAATAGCACTAAACTTATAGTTACAAAAAGTTACATACTACAAAAAAAAAGTTATATATTTACACCGCATTTACTGATAATACTTACTAATCGTCCATCTCAACCAAATAAGTAATTGTTATGTAACATTACTTAAATTCCTCACGTATTTTATAGCATAATAAAACTTATCGTAAGTTAGACTCACTATACTACATCGTTAATGTTATAAAATAAAAACCTGACCGATAGAATTTCAAAAAAAAAAAACACCGCCAACCTATTTCCATAAAGCCATAACAAATTTTTATTATTGCTTTTTATATGTCATCTAAAACGGATGTTTTGCTACATTTTGATCCAAAAACATGAATTACATGTTAAACTTTTAAATAAGAGGATTTTTATACACATTTATATGTATAAAACTCATGTTTGTTTTGTAAAACAAAACATAAGATATGTTTGTAAAATATAAGTTATGATTTGGCGTTAACTTTGTTTTTTACGAAGAAATTTTACTCAATGTTCTTTCTATAATTTAAAATCTTAATATTCTGATTTCTTTATCAGAGTACTGTATTTTAATTTTCGTAACAAACTATATACCTCAGTAGCAAATGCCAGTCGTTTCCTTTCGCCCCCTGACAGAGTTTTTAACCCGTCCAAGCCACCTATCCTTGTATGTCTGGCTCCGTAGAGAGACAGTTGTCTCAATAACTGATTGACTTTTCGCCGTCTAGCCAAAGGGGACGTACGACGGTCCATTTTCAAACGAGACTGAAACAGATATAAGAATATTACAATTAATTTAAACATAATAATTAGTTATACAATTACATGAAAACAAATAAAAACTTATTATTAAAATATATGCGATAATATACTAAAATAAAACATGACTTAAAGTATAAAGGCTAGGCTAGTTGATAAAGCCTTATACATATGTTTTATTCAAATCTTTGGAATCATGTTTATTTATAAAAACGAATAAATAACAAAATAAATAAGAAAATAAGATAAAAATGTATATTTATCTACACATTATTGGAAACATTTATTAATAATTTATGGAGAATACATCTCTGGGAGAAAAACTTCAAAATAATTTTAATATTATAACAAAATGACAGGATGCATATAATTCATTTTATTAATTAACTTTTTGACTGATCCAATGATAAAACATATCGTTAATAGGAATAAAAAACTAATTTACTATAAATAATGTAACGAGATAAAATATATTAATACCCACTTATATGAAATGATCTTTAGTTTGATAGAGATAAAAAAAACAACACCTACACGCATAGCGTGAAGACGATGCTCACTATTTTACATTTATAATCCGAGTTATGAAATATATATTTATATACATATATTTATTTATTGTATGTATTAGACGCCACTGACAGACGGTGAAGGAAAACATCGTGAGAAAACCTGGACTTATAATTTCACAATTGTAAGTTTGAAATCGTCAACCCGTCTTGAGCAAGCGTGGTGATTAATGCTCAAACCTTCTACATGTGAGAAAGAGGCCTTTGCTCAACAGTGGGCTCTGATAGGCTGATGACATGACATGACATGTACGTAATAATGGATGAGAACTTCTCAGTTTTCCATGTATTGTATTGTGCCGGGTCCACCGTTGCAAGGAGAGGAGCTTCAACAGTGCCTGGGACTTGCGACCCAGGTGTAGGTTTAAGGGGCCCCTATCGAACGCGCGTTACACACTCACCTCCACTGTCCAAGCTCCTCTCTCTACCTAACAAAACTTTAACTGAACTTATAATAATATACTTAACCTTATAATATACTATGACCTTATAATAATATAATTATCAACATTGTAGATTCAATTAAATCTGATTACCAATATATTAAGTTTTTATTAGGGGCTTCGTTGAATGAGAATAAGCTGGGATTTATTTCCAGGTCATTGCCTTTATTATCGTAACATGATACTCACATGAAACCACTAATCATTAACTAAAAATAGGTTACCAAAGTAAATTTTAACAGTTAGATACATATATATATACACCATTTAAATAAATCTACTAACAAACACATTTGATATGTACCTATATTTCCTGCCACTTACACTAAAACCAACTTAATATATTAATCATATATTTATCGTTAATTATAATAAGATATTTATTTAATTATTTTGATATTTTAAAAGAATTCTTAATGGGAATTCGTTTATCATATAAATAAATGTCACTCGTTTATAATAATAGTATGATCAAAGTAAGCTGATATCTTCGTTACAGTTACAATTCTATTGAATAATAGAGATATTTTACATTTAAAATAAATTTACTTATAGAACTGCATTATATATGTATGTATTTTAACAATAATATTTATTGTATTTCATATTATTTGTCCTTAAGTATTTACATTATAAAAGTATTACACTTATTCATCCCAATTCCTTCAAGAATCCGATTGAATTAAAATTCGATCGACATTTAAGACGTTTAATAAAAAACAACTTATAGAAATCATTAATAATGTATATCTTTTATCTATGTCTTCCATTTATAACAAGGAACGTGCCACTATTAAGAAAAATTCTTTATAATTAATGGTATAACTGGTTTTTAATGTTATGGAACGTTATGTAACTTCTGTAGTTCCCTCCAAAAATTTTCAAAATCGACGAAGACTCAAAATATTCCACAATTTGAATTTGGATTTTAACATTTTGTCTGGTGCTTTTTGATTTTAAATTATCTCTTTTTTTACAATCATTTTAAATAATGCTTAAATTTGTTGCATAATATTTCATTTCTGTTACGTTTTTTGATCGCTTTTTTTAAATTATCCAACGAATCTTTGACAGAATTTCGCTGTCATTTTTCCAGTTTTGCTCATTTTCAAAAACTAACTTTGTTTATGAATGAAATAAAAATATCTATTCAGCCAAATACTTAGAAAAAAAAAACATTTTTAAGGGAACGAATCTGTATAATTACAATAATATCAATGATATACTTATTAAATTTATCTATTCTTTAATAGATTTTCTAGTATTCGTTTATCTATTAAAACTGTATTATGAAACTATTTTATTATTGATAAAAAAAACCGCAGTTAACAAGCTGAGAAACCGTATAAGTTAGGGTTGGCCACGCATTTGACCGGTAATTTTATTTACGTTACAACACTACACCGGGGTGTCATATTAAACCTTATCATATAAATATAATACTGTATACTAATTAAAAAAAATTAAATATATTATAATTTAATTCAAACTCACTTCTAAATCGGTGACAACATGTTTATTTTAAAATCATTACTTAGTTATTTTTATTTTCAACAAACGAAATCATAATGACCACTTAATTATTTCTAATTCGTTTTTTATGTAATTAGGAAAAACATTTAAAGATTATTTTTTTTTAATATGAAAATGTAATAGTATGTTTTAAAAAGATTATAACCTAAACAATTCGTAGAGAAATGTATGCATATTTGAGCTATTTAAGCGTATTTTAATAATGGCAATGAATTTAATAACTCACCATTATAGTAAGGTGTTCCATTACAGTGAGATTTTCAACAAACAGTTCATCTTGATGCATGTACCCACTCTCACGATGCATGAAATCTCCTATAGGTATACCATTCATTGCGATTGCACCATCCACTATTGTATCGTCTAAAAATAAGTTTTACATAAATATATTTTTTAAATTTATTTATACTATAAATACGACAGTTTTTAACGAAATGAAGGTGAAATACTTTCGAATTAAATGTGTCCTTAAAATAATCGATATATTTTTTAAGGTTTTTTCTACATTAATTCCTACTTAATTTTATTTACCTATTACGTTAAATTATATAAAATTTTATAAATTTAATATATGTTATATTATTTTATATTATATATTTAATATGTATATGTTTCGATTTAAATAAAATTTAAATTAAAAAGGCATAGACACATTTTTTTTTCATTCGGTTGATTAAACGTATCTGTTTTTTTGGAATTTTTAATTCATTCAAAATCGATATCAATCCGGTTTTCATTTGGAAAATTTGTAAATTCAAAAAATAAAATTTTGAAGGCCGAACATCTTTTTATGTCACCCATATATTAATTTTAATTATATAACATTAATATTGACTTAAACGTTTTTCCATTTTGAAATGTCTATTAAAGACAAAAAAATATATAATTTTTAAAAATATATACGTATTTATATACCATAGTGTAAAAAAGAGTGTTTTTTTTATTTGTGTAAGAAAATAAGTACTTTTCTTAAACTTTTTTTTATATTTTTACCTTAATATAAAGAAAATTTGGTTTTTAATTTTTAGATCGATTGGTTTAGCTATCACTTCATTGCTTTTAATAAAACGAGAAGACATTATGAAATTTAAAAATAACTTTTGACCTTAATGACACAAAATGTTAATTTTTCAAAATAATTTAAGCAGTTCACAAAACAATATTAATTGAATATTTATAAATATATAAATGTTTTAATCCGGCTCGTGCCAATAATTTGAATTTTGATGTTAATTTTGAATATGAGCCGGTATTGTAAAGGTTGCCCACGTGCCGGGGTCACTAAGAAGACTTAATTATACGAAAAATAGAATACTTGTTAAACAACAAAACTATCATCACTGAGCTTAGAATAAAAAAAACTTATTTATAGTTCGCGTATATGATATTTCTAAGTGTGGTCACACGGTACATACGAAACGTTACTCCTTCGAAGATTTAAGAATGGAAAACGTTATACGTTACGTATGCCGTGCCGTGTGATTATGGAAACTTATAGTAAGTATACTGAATTCTTTTTTATACTGACCTGGACTTCTCTGGGCCAGCGCGGTCATCAAGGTCGTTTTGCCGGCACCGCTGAGAAAATACAATTGTCTCATTAAAGATACCCACTGTTTCTAATAAAGATGTATTATTTATAATAATAATGTTATATTGTTAATTTTTATGAGCTCTTATCGTTTTTTTATCTCGAATTATAAGCTATAGCTATATTTGATTGTTTTTATTCAACTTAGGATTAAAAATATTTCTTAAAATTAATCCTTAAAAGTTGTATGGTAAAATCGTTTTATAGATCAATATTCTAAGAGAAAGAATTCTGAAACGCCCATTAAATCATGAGTTACCTATATATAAAATAAATATACATATATTTAGTATAAAATGAGTCTAAGTTCTATTTTATTTTTGTCTTCTGTGATCTCAATAAACCATCATCGTTGATATACATACATATAGATGTATAATCTGGTAAGATTGTGGTTACAAGTTTGCATAGTCATTCATAAGAAGAGCTAATAGTTTCATTCATAAACCTTCGCTTACGATAGTAACTCAAGTTAGGTTCATGAATGAACAGGCAATATTCCTCAAGCAGTGTCAGAATAGAAACTTGTGCCAAGGGTACATTAATATGTATCAGAGCGTGAAATATAGAGTACAATATGATATAAGGATCAATGCTAAGGTACTGTATCTGTTGATTGAGATTCAACTCTTTTGAGGTCTAGTAACATAACACCGTTGATATTCAACACTAGGCGGTTTTTCTAAGCCAACCAACTAAATATGCAATTCCACACTCACAATTACAATATACGTAATATCAGAATTTAAAAATATATCCATATATATAAAATACAATGAGATTTAAGGCTTTCGCGAGTATTCACATCTCGTCTGTCCGTGATCACGGTTGCTGAAAAGTAAACGAAACATCGGGAGTATGTAGTTTCTAGAATAACAAAACACGCGTAGTATATCCGAAAAATATTAGTTCCATTTATATAATATATAGTTTATAAATGATAAAATTAAGTTTGATCAGATCTTTAATTAATTCTTTAACCTTTCAACCTTTAATCGAATGGAATAATCTATAAAGGAATTTAATTATGTGTTTGTTTACTTGTGAATGGATCGTAATATAAAAAGCTTAATATATAATATAATACATATGTAATATTAATTTTTATTTAAATAATATCTCACCTAGGTCCCATGAGGGCCACTAGAGTTCCGGGTTTTGCAATACCGCTCACTGTGAACAAATACAAGCATTAAAATATACATTTAAACATTCATTTATTATTAAATTTAACATTTAATTAATTTATTATTATTTTTTAAAAATTTCGTTGTTTCATTTGTTTTAATTATAAGTTATGACATGAAGTGTCATAAAATATATTACATATGGGAAACTGTGAGTGCGTCAGAGTGTAAGAATTTGCGTATTCGAAGATTTTGTTATTTAATTTAGTTCACTTTTTAGTTAATTACGTAAACAAAACTATAACTTTTTTATTTTTATTATAATTCAACAACCAATCCTCCTTTTTATTATCACTGTACTGAACTAAATTTAATATTATTTTACGAAAATGTAAAGCAGAAAAATAACCTCTGTATCCGAATATGTAAATCAAATTCAAATTCTTTACGTCAATTCTAACGAGAATCATTAAATTGATCTTAATCATATCAAATTACTTTTCTGTCTCACGTCCTTCCATGAGAATATACCTTTTGAATGTCGTATTAAAATTATCAGATAAAATAATTTAGATGAATGTTATAAGAACAAATCTTCATTTTATGAGATCCAAGATTTTCTCGAATTTTCATTTAAATGTAACTAATATTTTTCGGATATACTACGCGTGCTTTAATTTAGTAAAAAACTTTATACATTCACATCTCGTCTGCCCGTGATCACGGTTGCTGAAAAGTAGCCGAAACGTCGGGAGTATGTAGTTTTCTATAAAAATAAAGCACGCATAGCATAAAAGAAAAATATTACTTTCATTTAAATCTTCATACTTTTGATTATATTAATCGTAAATCTTACCATTATTAACTAATCTCTTGAGCTTTCCATTTTTCAGTTTGATATGTACGGTCACGTCTCTCCACACGAGGGTGCAAGGAGCTGGTGATGAAGAGGAACCCAGGAGTTCTTCCACCTCATCGAAGTACGGCTCGTCATAGTATTTCGGGTAGGTTATTCCGCTATCTACGTATAATATACTTCCAGGTATTTCCTGTACAAAAATATGTAAATCAAATTTAATTTAATTATTTTTATAAGTCTAAAGTACATAGAATATTTTATTACTGAAGTTTTTATTTTGTCTAAAAAATCTTTAATTAGTCATAAACATATCAGCCATTAATCAAATATCGCGACATGATTACTTAAAACATATATATTTAAAATAATGTATTAGAGTACGATTGATATAATCTTAATATCATACTTCGTTATTTTAAAATTCTCTTACATTAATTTTAAATTCAAAAATAATGTTATATGAAATATATAAACATCATAATAATTTCTAATAAAACTTGAGTCTTCATAATAATTGATCATTTATATTCATATCTCAACTTTAGGTGGCATGTCATAAAACAACGCTATATATACTATGATTTTAACAAATATGACACTACAAATATCTGATTATATGTATTAAAACAGGTATTGATAAATTGCAAATGAATTATTTTCTTTAAATTTTACTATTAAAATATCATAAGTTTATTTGTAGGATCGTTCAATATAATTACGTTGTAGCAATTACAAACAATGGGACATGCTATTAATTGATACGGACTTGAAGGTAAATACATATAAGATATATACATATATATCATTTATTGAATACTATAGCTTACTTCTTTATATATAACATGAAGATTCCTTTTCAAATTTAAGACTATAAAAAGTTAATTTTATTCATCAATAGATATAGGAAATTAGATGATTATATGTGTATTTTTATACGACTAGATTAGAATTAAAGAATGACTCAAAGGAACGAATGAATGAGGTAAACAACTATTAATTGACTATCAAGAGTATCAAAATTATGCTTTCAAATATTTTTCTAACCTCTTAAGATTAACTAAAATTCAAAAAACAGGTTTATAATTGCCGCATATTGCACAATAAACTGACTTCCATAGAATCGTAGACAAGTTAGTTGTATTTTAATTTGACTTGGACTATTTTTGAACAATACATTTTAATATACAATTTCTTTTAGATAATTCGTCTTGAAGTTTCAGGAGAACTACACCTAAACTTATACGTATGTAAGCTTACACAAAACAACATGCAGTATTCTCGTAACGAAATGCTTTATACATTATTACTCATATTTTAATACATACATATATTTAAAATCTTCATCGAAATAACTGTATTTTAAAGGGATTTTATACTTTATAGTAATAATAGAAATAATTCAAAAATCTTTTAATTTTGTATTAATTTATACGATACAAAGACTCAATTTCTCCATCAATTGCTATAATACAGGAATAATGGGGAAGTGATTGGTGTGAATTGATCACTTACATTGGGATCATCCGCGTGTTCATCGTTCAGATTATTTGGACTCGAATTCCCCGAGGATTCAGCGGAGGAATTCCCATCGGTGTCTGTCTTGGTCACGGAACGCATTTTTTTGAACACGATATAATAAACGAGTCTATTGTAATATTCAACGTAACATTTTCTAGAGTGCGTGTTTTAGAGCTGGCGGCTCGACTTGTACTTTACGTGTGCCGCGACAACTGAGTCTACGTTTGTAGGGGAGGGAGAGGGACTGATAGCCGGCCGGTGGATCAAAACTATGGGACCAGCGGGTATGTCGTAGAGATGACACACACAGTTTTGATATGTATTAGAACATACGAGATGTTTAATGAATCTCCTAATATTGGTTTATATTGGAAACGAAAACGCCTGTGGTTGTGGGTGGGTGTGTTTTTTACGTATTTAAAACCTAACAGATTTGTATGAATATACGTTATTTTACTTTTAATAAGAATAACGATAAAAATTACAAAATCAAGTGTATATTAAATTTTTCTTTATAATTTCTAATGTTAATGCAATGTTAAATTTTCTCACATTCTTATATTCTAATGTCACAATTTCATTTTTTTTTGTCATATATTTAATTAAATGGATTATGTAAAATTTTATTTTAAATGTTATTCATTAAAAATAAAACTAGTAGTATTTTATTTCTTCTGATAAAATCTTGTATTTATAACGATTGCATTAAATTTTATTGAGATTGTTATATGTATAAAATGCATGATTATAAGATATATTAATGGATTATTAAATATATGCTAATTCTTTATTAATTATATTTTTCTATATTCTCAATTTCATTGGACAAATAATAATTATTGTATACATTTTGTTTTAAAACATTCAACTGATAAAATCAAATCTTTGTTCTTCTCGACGGCATAAAATAATTATGGAGATTAACAGTATAAAGTCAAAATCCTGACAAATTAAATAGTCTTGAACTACAGCGATTTTTAATACTAGATATTGTCATATTTAATTCTAGAGGGTAAAGTCAAAATAAAATACATTTGTACTTACTGTATTCTTTCGTATTTTTACTTTCTTATTGTTTGAAGCACATTAATTAATGCGAAATGAAAATAGTTTTTGTTTAATTTCTCTGAAATATAGAAGATTTATCTTGTAATAAAGTTATAATAATAATAATAATAAGGAGCTTAAAACCAACTCGTTTTTATGACGAAATTATATAAATGTGTACTTTAAGTGATTAATAAGAAAATAAATAATAATTATTGATATAAATATTTTTCACATATAGAGTTAAAAATACTGGTTCAAATTAAAAATCTCGTCTGCCCGTGATCACGGTTGCTGTAAAGTAACCGAAACGTCGAGAGTATGTAGTTTGTAATCAAAAATTGTAATCGCATTCATTTCATTTAAAAAAACTACTCACTTTAACAGGAGCCTCCACAAACAAGTCCGGCAATATATTTAAAACACAAGAGGTTGTAGATGTTGATAGGCGACGGTGACTACTTACCATCAGGTAGATCGTCTGCTCGTTTGACCCTTTGGGTCATATAAAAAAACTGAACCTGTAACTCCTAAGATAGAGCATCGTAGTCCCTTTCCCAACAAAGATATCGTGCCCCTATACGGTTTGGTATTCATACGTTTTTAATTAAATCGTTCTGACTATGAAAACTATTATTATTTAATTAGAGTAAGCCATAAAATTATTAAAATATAATAATAATTACTTCATAATTCCTTAAAACATCTAAGGTTTTCAAATCAACCGAAATTGCTTATAATAATTTTTAATTATAAATATTGTAAATTATTTATTTTATTAATAATATAATTATTATATATTTAATGAATGTAAAATTTCATATAAAATAACATTCAATTAAAATTTTATTCATTCCTTATATATCATAATAAAATATAACAAATTTAATTTAAGCTAATTACTAATCAACAAAGAAGAGACGATCTAAATAATTCTCTTAAATTAATGATAAAAAGAAAAAATATGAGTAGCTTAAAATGTTTCTTTAAAATATGTTAAATATATTCTTGTCATATTAACATAATAATTCTCAATACGTCGTCTTCATTTTGTTATTTTTTAGTTTATTTAGAATCGAGAATTCACTACCAAAATGACTAAATCGAATAAAAAATAACTTCCAAAACTAATTTGAAACTGTTACATCTAGATATCTTATCACTTACTGAGAATGTTTTTTTAGAATACAAACGAAAAGCCTTATTATGTTTCATGTTAATTTATTACAATGAGTTGGGATCAAGTATTATTATCTATACTAATATTATAAAGCTGAAGAGTTTGTTTGTTTGTTTGTTTGAAAGCGCTAATCTCCGAAACTACTGGTTCGAATTGAATAATTCTTTTTGTGTTGGATAGTCCAGTTATCGAGGAAGGCTATGAGCTATATAACATCACGCTACGACCAATAGGAGCAAAGATATAGTGGTAAATGTGTAAAAACGGGAGAAATTATTTCATCTTTGAAGCCTTCCGTTGCGTGCGCCGTTAAAACGGTTCAAGATACACAAAAAATATGTGCTAAAGAATAATAGCTCTTTTAATGATCTAAAAAACAGTCAGCGACAGTATATGTCTATCTTTTAAGATTAGCTCACAAAAACCGTTTTTATGGTACCTAATTTGGTCGAAATAATTTAAGTTGTATCAACATAATAATATTAATCTTTATTCAAATGAACAAATAATTATGTGGTTGGTTAAGAGTACTTCATTGTGAATTAAAAAAAAAACATAGGTTTTATCCTGAAAATTCTACGGGAACTCGACCATTCCGAAAACCCCACAAGAACGGGAACTATGTGGGAAGAACCAAAAATCTGCCGGAAGTCACTATTCCACGCGCACGAAGTCGCGGCAAAAGCTAGTTACTGATATAATTCTTTCATTCATGAATCTACTACAATCTTCTTTAAAATCCTGACGTAATTACTAACTTTTATTTACGAGAACACGTTTGCTTAAAGAAATTTGCCGTAATTATAACTAACAAATACTTTGATTTATTAACAAACAAACAATTTTAAATAGTTATTTTTAATTAATTGTGTATATTGTGGTAAAAGTAAGTAATCTGATATTTGAAGGATTAACCAAATACTACGGTCACCGTCGTGGTTGCCTTGTGGTTTTTGATATTACTTATAACGTTATACGTACTTTAGACATTCCTTTATTTGATCTAATATTTCTATAACTTCTGTCTTTGTTTATTTGAATAATCTACTTTTTTATATTTTTTTGATAAACGTATGAAAAGAGTATGATTGTTAGTGACTCGAGAACAACTACATACTGGTTTAAATCTATTTTACTTACGCGGACATAAAAAATTAATAGGTATAGCATAAAAATTTAAATTCACCCACAATGAAACCAGGATAAATTCGCCTTTTATACTTCACTATGTTCTTATATGACTGTATGTATTTATTACTTTTATATATGCTATAAATCATACTATATTCTGTTTTATTCTATTTAATCAATTTAACTATTTGTCGTATTCCTATCTGTTGTTACTGTAACTGCCGACTTGTCTTGAATACATATGAAAGTTTTATACATATGAAATTTTAATCATCTTTAAGGTAAAAATTAAGCTAAGAATATTTGTGGAGCATTTAACACCTAGTAGTAATTAGTTACTTTTGTCCGTTAACACTAGGAAATAGGAGTTTTTCGTGAAGGAACAAACGGATTGATTGAAGAGATATTTTAAGTATTCCTAAAGTTTCCTCAATGATCCAACGTTTAATAGAGCAGGTCAGGTTGCTAATGTTAAATACTTTAATTGAAGCCTTTGAAATACATTAAAGTTATTACGGTTTTATTAAATTACTCGCTGCGAAATTATAATATCAATGAAAATATGTATGATTTAGCATCGATGTATTAGCAAGAATAACCAAAAAATGCAAGTGGTGTATTTTCAACTAGGATGATACTGGACCCGAGGCTAAAGTCACGGTGAGGCTGCGGTCCTGCTTTGACGAGGTCCTCGAGTCGAGTGGAGTGCCGGACCACGCTGGCATCTAGAAGCATCTACAAATCCATCTTGCGTTGGATTTGGATCGCATAGCCATAATATGCCGCGTGGTGGGCAAAAGCGTTACAGCAGCCTCCCCCATCTTTTATGGCGAGGAGGAATTACGCTATTTTTGTAATGGGTAGACAAGGCGCTTTATACCTAACAGTCCCATATAACCACAGCTGCCTTCCCGGGGTAGAGTGGTGTTCAAAAGCATTTTTCCATCGTCATCAAAAAAGGATGCTAATGGTTTAGACGTTTAATAGGGCTTTGTGGGGCACTTATTACTTTAGCAAAAATCCACAGTCTGTTATAATACGAATATAGAGGAACCAAAATAGTTCATGCGTTAAATTCGATTGATTTTGAATTTTGTTTCGATTTGTTAGATTTCCTCATAATTTCTGTATGATAGAATTTACAGTACATAATTTTAAAAATATTCTAAAGTTCAAATAAAATATACGGATTTTGTTCTAATATATCAAAAGTTCTCCAACAATTATCGGAAAAAGTCAAAAATTTTATTCAATGAAACATGTTTTTTTATTTATAGCCTGACTTCTTTCTGTTACTTTGGCTATATGTAATGCAAAATGTGAAGGTTAATTAATATTTTTAATTTATTTTTGTTACGCGTAATGTATTACATATTATTTTAAGTTTTCAAGAGCAAACTTAGTTTTAATTAGTTAATAACGAATTTAAAAATAAGCTAAAAATCATATCCAGCATGTAAAATGTATACTGCCTAGTGATATTTAAGATTTTCGCAAATATTCCTTGTGATAAAACTAGTATTTTTCGGATTTACTACTCGTTTATAATTATTTTTAACTACATACTCCCTACATTTCAGTTACTTTTCAGCTACTATGACCACGGGCAGACGAAAATCACATGTCTTTCAGTTAATCTTGTTATTTATACTATTTGTTTGTTGAATTTAAACTATCGTATTCTATGGTTGCAGAATGCTTAACAATTATAAATATTATAAAAACACTTTCAAGAAAAAGTTTTTGTTACGAACATTTTATGTTATAGGTAAAAATCTCTGAAAACGTAAGTATAATTGGAAAAGTTAAGTTGTACATTATAGGAGGAACACAAACATTCTGCATGTGTTTTTGGTCAGTATTTTTTTATATTTGGTATTAAAGATGCGACGAGAAATACTATTGACGAGTAACCAGTACAGTATCAAAAAACCCACCGACTACGCCGAGTAGGTACCGAGTGGTCGGCCAATCTATATTAAGTATCCTTTAACCTAAAAAACAAAATATTATTAAATCGGGTCTCAATTTACGTTAAAAACCTACATAAATAAAAGTCCAAAATCTGTTTCTACTTCCTGAGAAAGTATATCAGATCATTCACCTCGTGACAACAACTTTCAACAACCTCGCGTCTTAGTAGATCACATCAGATAAGTAAATGCCAACGCCTTCATAATTTTAATGATAATTTCTTTTAAGGATATATATCTAAGTGTTAAATATGAACAAAGCTGACATGAAACGAGGTTTACTTCCTAATTCATTTGAAAATCAGCCATCAATATTTTAGAAACTTCATTAAACCTTCTGTCTCTTACAAAACCATTTCTTTTAATTTCTAATACTCTACGTATGTCTGATCAATGCTTTATGTTATTCTTAAGTTAACTTACCCTGGTAATAAACTATAAGCTAGTACTCTGTAACAGTTTTCCTTGTGTTGTTTTAATAATTCGTAAAGTGACATCGAAGACTACAAATGTATTATTTCCTTGGTATTATCTTTTGAAAACAATTGAGCTTGGATTTTTTTTTGTTAGTAATTTAAAAAAAACCTTATTGGATTAACATATATTTCAAATCGTACCTTAAAATATTTCTTTGCATTAACACTTAGTAATCAGTTTTTCTTTTACTTAATCATTTAATAATAACAAACTTAGTACTAAATTATAAACCTTATTTACAAAATACTATCTTCACAAAATAGTACTAATTAAAAATATATATACAAATATATACTACAACTTTGGTATGACATAAAAAAGAATTAATTTTTATATCAACATATCTCACAACATTCACAAATCTTTCATAATTTACAATATTTACTTGCTCTATAAAATGTGTTGACGCAAGTAATTACGAAACACACAACGCTTCCCGTATCTTTAAGTTTGGTAAAAGGGAAGGCAAGGTGACGTTTAAAGATAAAAAAAAAACAATATCACGTCTTCCGATAACGTTATAAGAAAGGTTTTATTTTTATACCTTAATATTAAATATGAAAAAAAATCTTTTTATTATATAACATGCTACGGAAATATTCTTTCTCTTTTTCTTTTGTTGTTAAAGATAAAAATGATTAAATAACCAAGAATTGGACCAATGAGTTGAAACTCTCATCCCTCCATACATCACCTTATAATCTAAGATTATCCAGAGTTCATTTCTAACTGGTTTTGACTCAACTGAATTCAATTTGTTTCTATCTTTCACTAACAAGAATGGGTCAAATTTTTATTCGTGAATATACAAACTATTTAATTTGTTTATTTATGTAATGTAAATGTTCTAAATGTCTAAAACTAATTGTAATGATAGAAAGTTAAAAATAAAAGATAACATAGATTTTATAAGATACTTTTATTTACAGAAAAAACATCAATTCATTAAAAAACAAAACAACAGCATAATGACGTACTCTTGATAAACATAGAAATGGTATTAAAACAAATTACAGTATGAAATATAAACACGTGTATCTTTATTGATAAAAATTTATTTATATATTTAAATAAAACGGCGATAATATAGGAAATTTTTAATTATTTTTTTCATATATTTGCTTAAAATTTATTTCCCGCGCCTCGTCCTCCATAGCAGCGCGAAGTACGCCAACAGACGAAAGCCAATGAACAGTAAAACCATGTTGACTACATCCATTGTGAAGTCTTTCTGTTAATCATACATCATTATTTATTAATTACAGGTTTATTATTAATATTGCAGAGATCGTCTCATCTTAAAATGAACGCTCCTCCACTTGTTATAGTTTAAATGTACTCAAAGAAAGAAAATTCCCAATACTTTCTTTGTATGTAAAGAATTAATGAAATTTTTTACACTTATAACACTAGTTTATTTTTCTGGAACTACATTTTTTATTGAATTTATATAGAAATATAAAATGTAGACGACAATATTTAAAACAATCAAGATTTAATGAAATTATATTTTAATAATAAAAATTCTTTACAAATGTCTATATGTGTGTTTAGTCTTACCTAAATTTTTAAGTTTATTTCTAAATCTTTGCATGTGATAATATCAACAGGAGTTAGTATCTATTAGTATTAGTAAGATCATAGTATTAAAGAAAAGTTGTAAACGTTTTGTATACGTGTGTGTCTGTTTATATTCTATGTTTCCTATTTCGGTTTTAATTGTATGTTATATAATAGTTAATATAGAAACTTATGTATAAAAACTGTTGGATTACCAAATAAATAAAGTATGTATGTGTGTGTGTGTGTGTGTGTATGTATATGTGTCTGTATGTATGTGTGTGTTACCTCCGAAAAGCTCAGTGTCGTGAGCACAACATCCCCACTAGCTGGACACGTGAAGTTCTCTCTTGTACATGCGATGCTCTCAACTCCTGACCACTGGTTCACTAATAATGCCTCGTTACCATAACGGAACCACGACAAGTACGAAATCCAGCCGAGATATGGAGGAACGGAACTATGAAAAAAAAGGTTAAATTTAGTGACAACCCTGGAAAGATTAATGTTATTAATTTCATTAATATATACCCTGAGTTGAGGAAGAATCCTCCGAACAGCATGAATGGTATGATGATTGGCGGACCGACTGACGCTGCCATACTCACGCTGCTGCTAGCACACGAGATGAGGTAACCTGGGAATAAAACAGGTATAATGATAAACAAATATGCTTTACATAAAACATGTTCAATTAATAAGCCTTCATATACACTATACAAAGGTTTATACATCACCTCATAGTACAAAACAAAATCTCATGGGTAAGTATGCTTAAATCTTTTAAACTACACAATGCATTTCATGCGGTTTTTTTTTAATACATAGTGCAATTAAAGAGGTAATATGTTAAAATGGTTTATATGTATAATATCTATTAAATAGAGGAGAAATACTGTTATTTTTAAGGCTTCTAATGAGGTAAGTAAGTACATTTTTTTCTCTTACATCACAAGCTCTGGCTGAACCCTACGAGATTGATCAAAATAATGTACCAAGTATTGTTCATATTGAAAGGGTCTACAGGAAACTTCGCGATGGTATGTCTCTTATGGATATACCACGATAACATTATTTCTCATTTACTTTTTACGACAAATAATGAGTATTTTATAAGCCATTTTAGCCGATACAGCATTAATATTATCCAATTTATTACTTTTGATACATCGTTGTTTTAGATAGATAGATTTATATGGTCATTTACAGCACATGATTTAAATTTTACACCCGAGCAAAACCGGGATTTTTCACTAGTATATATATAAATAAATATTAAAATTGATATGATAATAATATGATTGTTATATAATTATTTAATGTAGCTTCTTAATATTATCGTTTATGTCATAAAAGTAGTTTTATTCCTACACTCGTACACAGAGTCTCTGTCATGTGCGGAGGTTGTATATGTTAATTAATTTCCATAACGCCTTGACTTATCCGATGCGATAATGGAATTTATACGGAAGAAGGGAATATTGCATAATATTAATGTTATTTGTTGTAACATGTTGCAATTATAACATAATTAATTACAGAAGACATATTTACTCTTCAGTGAGGCTTAGACGAAGCTCTTACAATACTTCTTCTACTATGACTTTGTTAAAGTTTAAGGATTTTCTATATTTTAAATTTTACAAATCAAAATAGATGATTTGACGTCCCTTTAGTAGCTTAAAGTACAATTCACATACTACCCTTAAAAAGTATAACAATATTAAACATATATTGCCGAGTACAACGTGCAAAGAAGCTTTTGCAGTTCATTCATTTATTCATTCATTCAAAACCTACAACCGTTATTTGTATAGCATATACATTATATATTACTTCATACTTAGCTTAGAAAACCTGTATAATTCAAAGGTTAGTAAATACCAGACAACATTACATTCTGACAAGAGGTGTCTTCCTATTCACGATTCTAGTACTCAATAAATAATTGACTAACTACTATAGAATTTGCAAGATAATATTAATGGCATACTGACGTGACATTATAGAATAAATATTTATTTAATATTTGATTTATTTAATAACAATATGTAAAATACACATTCTTCAAGTAAATTGCATGGCAATTACAAATAATGTCATAAAAATTTCAATTCAACATTTTTAATGAAGTAATTATAAGGGTTGCTTCTGTTTTGTGTTATCGAAATGAAAAAATAGAGCCAAAAAAAATCAAAAGAAATTAACTTTGAATTAGAAAGGACGATATACCAACCTATTTTACATTTGACAACAAAATGGACACATTCGTTTCAAACTGAATACTTTATTTTCGATTATTCTTAAATAACATATCGATACATCTATATATCGATACATTGATTTGCATATAACTATATAGTAATCGATATTCTTGTGTGAAATCACCACAAAAACCGCCGCTAACAATATCAAATGTTTCACCTTCGTGTCGGCCTAGTTTAACGAATTCTTGTATATGAGACGTATTCATTACATTTGTTAATATAACAAACAATATGTAAACAAAGTAATCAAATAATTCAATATTCGTATCGTTTTTGGGTCAAACTTTCAAAGTTCAGAAACCCATTAAATCGGTTACTATTTGAGACGTCCAAAAGGTTTCGGCTATAAAGAGCTTGGCGTGTGTTTTGATTGTGTCATTAAAATAAATTTCAAATTTTTAATGACCTATGTTGACTTTTTTAACATGTTTTTAACGATTTAATAGAGAGGAAGTCACGTGTTTTGAATTAAATAACAATATATTTGTATGGTAATTCAAGAAAATGATGCAACTTATGTAATAATCAAATTAAATGATTTTTTAATTTTGAATTCACATAATTGTATGGTAATAATAACAATCTTATTAATATAAACAGATACAGAAAGTCTTTAATTATGAACTATTATTTGGATCTGAAGTTTTACTGAAATTTTCTCAAAAACATTCAAGAAAACATGATTTCATTGACGTTTTCTCCAAATTATAAGTTCGATCAAATTCTCACAGGTCATTGACCGCATTAATAAAATAACTAAAAAACCTAAGTAACATAATTTAACGACCTGTATTCTTTAGTCATTCTCTTAATTTTCCAATTGAATTCAACCATTTCGTTTATTTTCAATCCCTATATAATTAACAATAGCAATATTTTAGTTCACAAATACAGACAAGTAAAAAAATTATATATTTGTACATAAGTAGGTACATGACCTTTTATCAAATAATTTCATTATATTATGAGTTAAAAAGGATATCATTAAATTAAGTATTGTGCTGCCGTCTAGCACTTTCATGTATTGTGAAGAAATCTAAATATCAACTTTAGCTGGTCTGTATCATACTTCTGATCTAACAATGAATTCTTCTGGAATTATTTATATATTTTATAAAACCTTTTCAATAACTTATTATTTCATATTCTTTGCCACAGCCTTTAAAAGTTTCAAAATCAAAAAATTTAGAGAACCCACTTTTATCCTACAATATACATTTCCTATATTGATTAGAAAGACTTCATAAAAGAATATTCGTTTTACCTGGTAATGGTCACATTCCAGTAATGTTATCCAATAGTCAAAATGTTATATTAAACTTAATAGAGTCATTGAGGGATTATTTCAATCAGTTATATTATTCAATATAAGTCTCACCAAAGATAGTAACGAAGTTGGTGATCTAATTGTTGCAATATAAAAAATATTTGAAAGATTATTCAATCATTACCCACAGTTGTACTGCAATATTATTTAATATAAGTATTACATATATCTCACCGAATGAAGTAGCGACGTTCGTAATGAGTGCAGCCAGTCCAGACGCTATGAAGAATCTTTCAGGCGAAGGGTTCAGACCGATCATGTAGTAAGCTATGGTTGTGAAAACCAGCGGGATGGTCGCGAACACTGGCGCTTCAGCCAGCGTCTTACTGAGGAAGTAAACATCAGCTCGGTACATGCCCGAGTGATGCTCGCGAATGAAGATTGGCAGCTCCGAACAGAATACCTGGATATATTATATAAAAGAGACTTTTTGGATATCATCAACATCATTAGCCTATTAGAGCCCACTGCTGAGCAAAGGCCTCTTCTCAAATGGAGAAGATTTGAGTGTTAATCACAACGCTTGCTCAAGACGGGTTGGTGATTTCGAACTTATAATTAGAAATTATAAATCCAGGTTACCTCACGATGTTTTTTGGATACGATTCGTTCGTATTAAATAATCGACTTTCAGTCAAAAAAGTAAATTCTGCAATGAGTTTATTTAAAGTAATGTATTATAGGTAATAGTAAAGTAATGTATATTCTATATTTTAAATATCTAATGACCTTTGACAAGTATTTAACTGGATTTTTACTGTTTCGCAAAAAAAATCCAATACCAATAGTCACTTATCACTTATATTAAAACAATGTTTTATGTATTGTTTTCCAAGGGACTATATTAGTATGAGTGTCGGATGTGATGTTATAAATATTGTCAACTAACATTGATGACAGCGAAGATGTTCTGGAAGGTCATGTTGGTGAGGAACATGAAGATGGCTCCGTTGATGTTCATCACACCGTCCTGGTCCAGCTCCTGGCCGAAGTAGATCACACCGATCAGCAGCGCCACCATCTGGGGAAAAGTGGAATTAAACTCAAAATTACTACTTCCATGGAATCTAAGTCTACTAGGAATAGGGTCATCGAGGAGTTGTACGAAGTAGAAGACTCTTTAATGATCTACTAAATGACTTAGGCCTGTCCATAATTAACATCAATTTGTTTTGGAATATACTTCGAAGGCAGCTGTAGTAAGTTCCTTTCAAATTTTGTTAGGTAGAGAGAGGAGCTTAAGCGGTGGAGGCAAGAGTTTCACGCGCGTTACATAGGGGATCATCAAACCTACACCTGGGTCACAAGTCCTGTTGAAGCTCCTCTCTCTGCAACGCAATGGACCCAGCATCCGCACATTAAATCCATAGAATGCTTAGAAGTTTCGTGTCATTTCATCTCCATAATAATAAGTAAAATTATAAGTCATTCGCTCTATACAAGGAATTGTTGATTATACGCAATACAAGTAAAGTTATAGGATAAATTTAATAAGGAAAGATATAAACCAACTCACAATAGTCTGTAGGAATCGCACTTTGATGAGCATAGGCTCTTTGGTGACTGAGAGCCAGGAGCGCCACAACACGGCCCGGAACTGAGCACACCACGACGCCTTGTATGGGGAGCGAGGAGAGCGACCCGTGAGGCTTGATGACCACGGAGACTCAACCCAGCCGGACGCTATCTTACGCTAAGGAAGACATTTACCACACACATAAGCCTACTTAGGTCTATAAGTAAATCTAGGATGACATTTACCACAAATGTAAGGCTACTTAGTTCAATAAGTAAATATATTACTATAATAAGACCTGTCTCTCGCGAGTATTCATTTAAATGGAACTAATATTTTGGATTACTGTACATTATTTTATTATCATCTTCATTATTTCGTCTGCCCGTACGCTAAGGATGACATTTACCACAAACATAAGGCTAGTAGTTCAATACAATAATGAGATCTAAGACTATCGCGAGTTTCAATTTAGATGAAACTAGTATTTTCGGAATAGGAGCTATTTTCATGTCTGCTTAGAGCCCGTGATCACGGTTGATGCTAAGTAATCGAAATGTCGGGAGTATGTAGTTTAAAATAATAAATTAACGCATAGCATTAAGTAAATATTAGTTTCATTTAAATCTTATACAAATACTGTAGTACTATATTAAGAAAATTATTTGTTAATTATATGTGATATGAAAGTTTTACTTTATTTAGGAATAATAGTATTTATGGTTCTACACTAGTAAAAAAATTATCATCTTTAATTGGTTCTACCTTACTACCTTACTTAATTATAACTTACTTCTACATTTTAATTACTAGAGTTTGTTATTAGTCATATATTGATTTATCTCGAAAGAACTTTATTTGAAATTATTATTATAAATCAGATCAATGAAAGTACCTCATGATATAAGGCGTTTTCCGCCTCAGCAGCCAGTTTGCATCCAATTTCTGATCGTGCGAAGGCCGTGCATACAGTGTCTATAGTGTGACGTGTGGTCTCCTCTCGACCTGGCACTCCTGCTAAGAGCTGGATGTAGTGATCCGCTGGGTTGTAGTTAGCGGGACAAGCAGCTCCTAGACTATAAAGTGGTTACAGATAGAGAAAAGTTGAGTTATATTTTCTGCTCCTAGACTATAAGTTAATAGATCTAAGAAATAAAAAGTTACCCAACAGTTCTGTTGTCAATTACCTTCAAATTTAAGTATTTTATGATAAAATAAGGCAGTTTGATTATTAGTTTCAGTGACTTTGTGTTGCTTAACGTAGGAAAGAAAAATCTATTGCATACTTACTCTCTAAAGAATTCTGTCGCTTGATCAGGCGAACCGAGGAAAGCGACTCTGCCTTCCGCCATTATCAGTAGCTTATCAAACATAGCGTATAACTCGGAAGACGGCTGATGTATCGTACATACAATGGTCTTGCCCTTCTTGGCTAAACCACTTAGTACCTGTTGAAGATATTCCACATATATAAAGTAGTCAGTGGTGGCCCATTGGTTAAAAGGCCCGCCTCTCATGCTTTCATACACGAGGGCACGGGTTCGAGCCTGAACCTGGCAAGTACCAATGTGATTTTTCCGAGTCATATGTACTTTCTAATAATATTTAGACATCACTGATTAATGCATTCCCAAAGAGGGTTGATGTCAGGCAGGCGACCGGTCGTAAAAACAATTAGCCAAAACTATTCACAACATGTAAGTCAGACCCTGGCTAAAGCTGGGAAATTGGCAGGTAGAAGAAAGTAGTCCTATCTCTAATATTCATTTACCAAAAATATCCTATAACGTTTTTGTCCGTTGTATTTTTTCTTACCTGTATAACATTCTGTGCCATGAATGAATCCAATCCCGATGTGGGTTCATCACAAAACATGAGCGGTGGATCTGTTAGTACCTCGCTAGCAAACGACAACCTCTTCATCTCTCCGCCAGATATACCCTTCAGTCTGCCAGGGATACCGATCACTGTATTCTGGCATTTTGTTAATGCCAACTGAAATATATCTCACTTAATAAATATATGTTATGATAAGTACAGTTTCTGGCAGAAAATAGTGACTAATAAGGGAGATTAGTTAGTGATAGAAACATAAGTTAACGTATCTTGTGTATGAAAAAATACCTATTTCAAAAAATATCAATATTAAGAAAATTTTGAACAAATATTTCACCCTTTCTTAATAAATTCTTTGAAGCTGAAAACAACAATTTTTTGCACAAATAATCTAATAAAATCGCCATAAAAATCATGCATAACTTTTACGGTACAAGATTCCAATGAATTGAGTCCAAAAGAAACCTCTATAAAAAATATCATAAATAAACATCAAATTGTTATTTGATAACGAATAAAAATGCCTATAAAAACACATAATCGCCGGAATAAGACTCTGACAAAGAAAAAAACGTAATTCGAAGCTATTATGTTACAAATACTCAAAGTTCAAAAAGATTATAAACACAATAAGGCTTTATTGTTCCCAATTTGGTCGAGTCTAGAACACAATCCGATTATGGAATCTTCACCGCGGCAGTCGCACACTAATCTCATTATTAAAACACCAACAAGTTAAATAATATTAAAATATTTGACCAAGGTAACAAGAAGGTAATATGGATCAATAACTGTTTTGTAACAATTTTGAAACTGGTCGTTGTATGTTGTCATGCAGGTATTTTTTTTTAAGTTCTTCGTTTTTTAATTAGCGGTTTTTAATTTCTAAAGAAATGCACTCAAAATATAAGTATATAATCCTGTTTATTAATTTTAATAAATTTTACATAGGACCAAAATATTAAATAACTACAATGATATTTAAGACATTTTAATATTTTTTTCATATTCCCTATATTTCGGTTCTTGTATAGCAAATAACCTATAACGTAAATTATCCGAAAAACTTCGTTTCTTTTCAATCTAATTATTCTAAATAAAATGAAAAATTTTGTTTTCAATATATGTATATGTAAATATAAATAACAAATGCATTTCTCGTTTATTTTTTAAGTTTTAATAAACTTTATATTATCTTTTTATTTCTCTATCTTTGTATGTATATATGTATATCTAAAAAGTGAATATTGTTTCACATATAACATATGATTTTATCCCCCTATGTGTTATTTATAAAACGTCCTAGCAACGAAATATATTCAAATTATATCTTTACATAATATAATGTTGCAGCCGGTTTTTTTTATTGAAGCGTTCGTGTCAAGAACATGTGAGTTTTTATTTCGCCTACATCAAACTTTAATAGACGTATAAGTAGGAGTTGATTTTGGATAAAAAAATAATCTATTTTTAGATGTATCATGAAGAAAAAAAATATGATGTCAAATATTTGTAATATTTTTAATCTGTTGCTTCTTAATGACTTGTATTGAAAAATAGACGGAACCAAAGAGTTTCTATTAATTTCACTAAACATAAAATTAAAAAACCAACACATTTACATATAAATACTTCTATTATTTCTACAAAGGTCATATGAGAGACAACACAAATCAAATTCAACTCTATGGCCTACGTAATACGTACCTCTGATATAACTTCTTGGACCCTTCGCATGCGCTGAGCGTAAGGTATGTGTCTATCCATTCTCACCAGAGCCTATAAATATGCAAAACATTCAAAGCACATCAAAAATAACAAAGGAAAATGGATGAATCGTAAATTAATGCATAATTGTAATAAGACAAGATAATCTTTTTATTTAATTTATGTCTTTCCCGCCATATTCTAGCATACAATCAATCATCTGAATGTAACTGTCGCGTGTGTACGTTCATTTCAACATCGATACAAGATGGCGCCGGCCTTCGTCATTATTGTGTAATTATATAAAATTAACAACATTATATATATAATACAACAAGGTACAGACGCCTTTAATTATAATTTAAACATAATATGCAAAATTTATATAATTACCGGTTTGTTTGTAGTACATTTATTTTATGAATTTTCTAAACAGTCTTTATATAAAGATTAACTATTGTATTACTCTTAAAAACTTATTCTCTAATTGCTATTAAACCTGACGTCCGATGACAGATACATAAATAACCAATGGCTGTAATTACGGCAAGTAATTTTCTTTGACGATGACAATTGACAAGTATATACTTAATATTTATTAAATTATTGGTAATTGGAACGGCTCACGACCACTTTAAAATGAAATTGAATTTGCTTACATGCACCCACACGAATGTTCGTCAAATAATATACAAATAGCTTACAGTTTTTCATTCATAAATCTTTGTCTTTGAAAGTATAAACATATGTATAAAGGTATATGACCTTATAAATCAGTTGCCCTGTCCTTGTATGATACCTCGTATATTTATATTTTCTATAAAAAATTATTAAAATCTTAACGCATTAAACTGATTCTATGGGGACTATAAAATAAAAAAAAAGTTCCTAAAATTATGACATTCATCAAGAAATCTCTATATGATCAAATATAAAGCAAAAATTTTCTCTACACCAGAAAAACAATAAAGAATTAATTAGAAATACGTCTGCTTTTCAAATCCAGCACTCACCTGGAATATCAGATGCTCCTTGACTGTAAGAGTTCCTATGAAGAGGTCTTGTTGTTGGACATATGCTGATAGGGCAGCCATGGCTTCAGGAGTGGCTGGTTGGCCATTCAAAGCCCTGGTACCGCTCGACATCACACCACTCGGAGTACGGAACGTGAGGGTGTTTAATAACGTGGTCTTCCCAGCTCCTGACGAGCCCATCAGTGCTAACAACTCTCCAGGGTACGCGGCACCGTTAACTAAGGCGTGAAAATTTAATTTTAATTTAATTTAAAATGCTTTATTGCACAACACATTGAAAAAAAAGGGGGAAATACAAATCATAAAGTAAGTACATACATGGTGCGCAAAGGCGGTCCTATGACTTATAGCGATCTCTCACAGAAAAACGTCTTGGAGACGAATATTTGAAATACCACAGCGGTTTCTGCACATTGATTTATTGTGGTATAAGTTTTCTTAGCGAATGTAAGAAGATACTCAAGTTTGAAGACATACCATGTGAACTTCGTAGGTCAAAGGATCGTAATTGACCTAAATAATTTATTTTTTAACAGATCAAACCCTGACCAATATAATATTTTTAAAGTACATACATCAAATCTTTTTTTGTAATTAAAAAATTTAGAACAACATAACGAGTTTCTTTTTTTAAGTGGATCACATTTAGAAATTATATGATAATTCAAAATGCGGTTTTAAAAAAGTGCAGCGAGTTTTACTACAAAAATCAAGTATAGCAACTGACATTATTAATTAATATAAGAATAACCTTCCAGTCTTTCTCTTTAAGTTATAAACTTATCGAGTAACGAACCTATAGACATTCCTTTAATAGCCAATTAGAATATTGAAAAGGATAACTTTTTATAATAATTTTGTAATTAAAATCATTAGTATATAAAAAAAACTTGCTGTAGCCATACCAAGAGTACGCACAGATCATTGACACCTATTAATTACGAGACCTTGCTCATTAATTTTCGTAATATTTTTTTTACACACATCGGGATTGCCATACCATTTCTGAGCAGCTGTTTTCTCTGTTGGAACATTCTGTTGTTGGATCCCCTCCAGAAGTTCCAGAACTTTCTGTTCCTCGACCTATCTTCAGTGGCGAAAGCGTTGATGTCCGCCCACGTATAAGTGACCTTCTCAGCGCCACCGATCGCCCCATAGCTTCTTGGTTGTGGTATAGCTAAAGTAACTTCCCCAGCGCTGCCACGTGGACTGTCGTTCGGCGATGTATCCTACAAGGAAGCTTACATTCAACAAATCAAACACAGTAAGCCCTTTAACTTTAACAGGTTTCATTGTGGTATTCAGTTAACGGATAATACGAGCTTACAAAAAGATCCCTTGCTGCAATTTATTACGCCCTATAAGGATTGATTCCTGAATATTCATTAGTCATGCTAAATAAGAAAACTTAATTAAGAAATATTATCAACTACATAAAGTATACAGGGTGACTGGTGAATTACTATCAATATTTAAAGAGAATACTCGGTACATGATTCTCATTCGAATTAGGTAAAAAAAATAGGTACTTAATTTTTGACCAAATTTCCGTATAAATAAATAAAGTGTGGACACGTTCCAAGTGTTCCAAGTGTGGACGCGTACGGCGGCGTGCTGATACAACACCACGCCGCCGCACGCGTGTGTGTGTGTGTGTATACCTAATCTATAGGGTGTTCACACGATGCCTAATTAATTACATAACTTTTGGTTAACTTTACTTAGAAGTTTATTAATATTTATGTTATATTAATTTTTATTTTGTCATATATGATCGTCAAATATCACGTCCTCAAGTATCGATAGTAATTCACCAGTCATCCTGTATATTATTTCATACTATCAAACAACTAATTATTATCTACTTGCTTTAAGGGGAACAAAAATATATGTACATATATATATTTTTTTCCTATTATACTTGTAAATATAAAGTTGTAACTGAATATCTTTTAGTTTTTATTTACTGGGTCTGTGTATAGGATTAGAATTAATAGGCTTAAATAACCAGGACGTTGGAGCCGCTTCACCGTTCCATTGGTAATCAGAGCGGGGCCTTAAAGTACTGGTATCGATTGGTTACTGATCTCAAATTACACGTACATATTTTCTCGTTTTAATTAACTTTTAAACTGCCGACGGTGGAATGACATTGCGAGAACTTTCTGCGTTTATAATAATTTAAAGCTTTATACTTGTACGATTTAAATACAGCCTTTAAGCCTGCTTGCTGCTATTTGAAATATTATATACATTCACTCGTTACTGGTTCGTATATTAAAGTATAAGTTTAAACATTTAAATCTAATTAAATTAGAAATAACTGAAATCGCTGTGAAAGTTTCAATTTCATACAAAAATCTCGTTTTACGAGAAACATGGATGTAAATTTAAATTCCTACTTATCATTGCAATTTCAATTAAAAAGCTCTGAAGCTTATAAATTTTAACGTATATAATGCATTATAGTATTATAGTTCTTTATAATCAATTTTACTTTTTTAATTTTCAATTGAAATAAATAATATTGAAAAATGGCCGTATGTAATAAAATAACCGACCGCAAGGATTAAAAAATGTCTTAAGCTCCATTTAAAACAATAAAATCTAGAACCGGATACCATTTAGCGAAACAAATGTCTTAATTATAATCGCAAATTAGCGTACCAGTATACAAGAGAAAAAGAGTCGACTTACAGAATAATATACACAGAAATGTCGATTATAAAGTACTAAGTTTAATAATGTAGCGTTTATAATTCTTTAAGAATATATTCATTAAGAAAAAGTAAACCTATTATATCTTGATTCAAATTTATACTACCCATCTTCTTCTTCTTCTACCTGGCAATTTCCCAGCTTTAGCCAGGGTCTGCCTTACAGGTTGTGAATAGTTTTGGCTAATCTATTATTTTTTACGACCGGCCTGACATCAACCCTCTTTGCAAATGTAAAATTTATACTACCCATATTACTTCAAATACTTATATCTGACGTCTAGGGAAGACGGATAAGGTAATGTGTCAGAATTCAAATAAATTAAGAAGCCCAACAAAGTTTAAAAAAATCGTTAATAGCTAATTGCATTGACTTCTAATTAGAAAAGAATAATTAGTAGAATAGAATCATTTCATTTCATACTACTTCGTGGAAGAACTACACAAATGGTTGGTTGGTTATTTAAAATATGGCCTTCAAACGTGAAGAACTACACAACACTTTTTTTTTATTAATATTACTCTAAGTTAAAGTCACCTATCCTAGCTTATTTGTCAATAATAATTCTTGTTGAGTGTAGATATCAGATATATTATTATTTATGGGTCTAGATTTATTATTATTATATAATTATTCAAATTAATTTATTAAAATTATTAATCATACTATGATATTAATCTGAGTTTCCCACGATCATTGTATATTTTATTTTAGTCACAAAGGCATTTGAATGCTAAAGCTATCAATGTACATATATATTTTGCTGTGACTGTATTTTGATCTAGACTTTCTTAATAATAAAACAAATAGGTACTTGATAACTATTCTGAATAAATTGAATTTGACATTATTATTTTTTAATTCATTGTTTATACAAACGAAGTGAAATTTAAGCTTACTTGAACTTTTTTTTAAGTATAATAATTTATAAAAGAGGTTGCGGTTGCTTTTACAGTTGAGTAACGTGTTTTCTGTGACATAAAAAATGTTTAAATTAATTCCAAAATCAATATCTATACTATAATTACAATCAAAGTAACCGTATGCATATAAAATAAAATCTTAAATGCCAAATATCACCTCAATACCTACTAATACTACGCAGGAAGCAAATGATTGTATCGAATTGGACACAATTCGATGAATTGGTTCGGACCATGGACTTACAATAATCCATAATGCCGCCTTTAAGACGAAAGTTTATCTTTAATTTATTTTTATACCTGGCAATGATTTTTTATAAGTTATTAAAAACACTAAAAACTCCTTTCTATCAGTGTAATGTCATTGTATTCTTTGAATTATTATTCAATTAATACTTATCAAAATAAATGACAAGTGACAGTGACTTCATTCAAATATACCTATACCTAATAAGAACGGCCATTACTATAGGAGTGTTTTAAAACCAGCGGAACGGGATCGTTATAAAAAACTCGTTTGACTTTTTTATGATATTAGACGATGAATCTCAAATATTTAGCCTTGTAGCATTTAGAATTAAATAATCTTTATTATATTAAATAGGAATGTTAAATATTAGTTTTATTTATAGAAGAATACATGTTTTTTTAATTAGGGTACCGCGTGGCCGAGACGAAAATTGTATGACATAAAAATGAATGTATTTTAGGTAGGGTAAAATTACTACTATGGAAATATTCCTTCATAAATATTTATGTTAATAGAATTTCTTTTTAGCCTTTCTAGAACTCGACTTATTATTTTTTAATTCTGATCATAATCTATTCGATCGCCGTTTATTTAAGCTTTTAAACATGTTTAGTGTAAAATGTAGAAGCATTTTTTTCACTTTCATACCTTCACCATATTGAATTTGGAGTAATCTTATTAAAACCTACGCTTGAACCGGTTTCCATGCGAGATTTAAGTTATACCGTAGAATTCCACTGCGACAAAAAACTAAAACCTCGTAGATTTAAGAACTAACTTAAATGATAATTAACATTATTCGTGATCACTGATTCATTATAAACTAATAAAAAACTTGTTAACTTAGGTTTTTGTGAGTTACTGCAATTACTTATTATTGTGTAATGTATTTAAATTATAAAAGCAAGTTGTTTCGGAAATTTCCTATCGTTTTATACCTGTGGAGAATTATTATATGTAACACGTTGATTATCAACCGAAGATGATATCAGGGGCTCGTGCTCTTCCGATCCGGCGGTCATTTTGAGTGAACTTAAAACAACAAAAATATTACTTTGTCAAATTTCAAAACCACACGGACATGTTAACACTGATTGACGTATTTTTTTTTAATTTATTGGCGGGAAATTTGACAGCGCAAGGTTCGCGTCTGTCAATGCGGTGCGCGCGACGGTACGCCGTATACTGCCGAGCTGATCCAATACAACGCACGTTTGAAAGCCCTGTTCAAACAAGTCTCATGTGTAATTGTTTCTTAACGCTAGATAACAGGTGCATTGTAAACCCTTTACATTTCTCCTAAAAAAAGTTCAAATGAAAGACATTTAAGAATGTAAATGTTTATTCAAAAAAAAAAACATATTTGAGATAGCAATTAATTATTCGGTAATTTATACAATATTTAAATGAATATCCTTTATTTATATGATTACAAATGACACATGACAAAGGAACTATTGTATATAGACTCGAGCCGTATGGTATCCTTAATATAAATGCCTAAACTAACATACTCTCTCATACATCGCAAACTTTCATCGGATTATATGTTATATATAGAAATGCATTACTTCATCTGTGTACAGTTTTTTTGTATTGAATCTCTAGATATGGAAATGCGATTGTACTACACACATAATCCGATGATTTAACAATAAACTTACATCTAGAATACGCATCGCTACAATACGCATTATTTGGTGAATATATCAAGCCGGTTACTTAAATTGGAATCATCTTTCATACTTTACAAAACTGAATGTTCAGTTTCTCAACTTCGTGTATTTTATCTCACTGTAATTTGAGAGTTGAGAAAACTTTTTCATTTCTGTATTTTCTAGGGACTATAAGCTCACGTATGCGAGTTATTATACATAAATATTATGTCATTATTTACATAACACAAAACTTAGTTCGTGTAATAAGTAACAGTTATTTAGCACTGCGCGGGAAGATTCTGTTGAACTATTCACTACACTAACATAGCTAACAGTTTCGTTTGTATGTGGGTGTGATTGTATACATGTGTGTGTGAGAGTTACACACACACACATGTACGCGCACTCACCGACTAGGAGCTATTTCATTATAATTATTATCAAAGATATTATTAGATATATGTTAATGAGATACCGGAAGTTGTATTTGTTAATATTAATAAATAGTGTCTAATTAATTACCTACCTTTTTTATTGCTTCCGCACTACACTTTTGTATGTAATGACGTCTTCCTTAACAATATAAGAGTTAAAGTCGCTAGAATAATTTTAAGGGATTTCCAAATAATCATATTATCTGATTTATTTATATTATAACAAACTGCGTATAATTTAAATTGTAAGTATAGTTTTAGAGACAAGTTTCTCCATCATGTTAATTCAGCTGATAAGAGCCAATGAACGCATATATTATATCCTAACTCACTCCGTAGGTTGATGTTCAACAACCAGTTATTTATTCTGCAACATATAAAACGCTTATCTAAACAGCATCATTTTTTAATAATTTTGGTAATATATCTGATTTCATATACGTGATATTACACGAATGAAGCTTATAGCAAAATTTTGCTAAATCCTAGATTTATCATGTATCATTTTTTATTATTATATTGAAGTGAAATTTCTTATGAGACTTCCAAAAAGGTTGCGTTAAACGTTTAACGCTTTGGGGGGGGGGGGGCTGACAGCGAGATGGAATGCTTGGCATTCGAACTCATGCGGGCATTCAATTGTGACTTGTAAGCATTGTTAATAAAATTTGTGTTGAAAAAACTCTAATAAATTCCTTAAAAATCATTTTCTATCCCTTCCTATTTTCATTCCAACATTTCAGTTTCAATTCTTCCGCGCGAAGGGACTCTATGTTTTTAAATTAAACATTTCTACGTTGATTCCGGAAGTCTTCATGCATGCACTTATATGACGCATGGTAATATATTCTTCTACAAGAGTAAGAAATCGGATTAAAATAGTTTACCGGACAATATACTTGCCATTAGTTCGGGTCGCCACACTGTATACGAAGCGTTCGTCGTATTTCATTCAATAACCCGCCTTAACGCTAGAATGTGCGAAGATTTATGAATGATAGACTTAAAAACTTTGCGTATGTAGTGTGACTATGCAAACTTGTGATAAGAATTCTGAGATGTTCCGCGAAATTATGACGAATATTCTGAATAAATAACTACAAAGAGTTTTATAATTATAAACAACATTAACCCCACTGAAGTAATGCTTAGCTAAACCTTGAAGTTTATTCGATAAAAAATATAAATATACGCAGAAATTACAAAAATTTTAGAGACGATTTAGGATCTACGTAGGTTGAAAGACAGATAAACATCTACAAAGTTTTGCATTAAGTAAATAATCAACTGGGAACAGTCGATAATTCATTACAGAGACGTACAAAAAGTCTTTTGTTACACATATTTTTATATGTACGTCTTATCAAGTATCGCATTACACCGCTCTGTATTCAACGACTCATTGTATCAGGAAGCAGCCATTACTTAAACGAAGATGAATTATCAATATACAATTACAATAAAAAACACTAGCGACTGGTAGTAACTGGTATTAAATAAACAAAAATAAACAAAACTCTCAAACGGACGTCTTAAATAGATGTACAGCGACCAGCACGCACCATGAGGTAGCCAGAACTTAGAAACATACACTAAACGAAACATAATACTGCTACACTAACATAAGCTAACTCGCTGAGAGCGAGACGCGGTGGCCCGTGGTCAGAAACGAATCATATAAATAATATTAAAACTAAACGTACTATACAGAAAATAATTTCGACCCAAACATCGCGAGCCCGACGCCTACAGCGGCACTTAATAATCAGTCTTTCATTACTCGACCTTACCGATGTTCGACTACCCTCCGAAAAAATATATATTAAATTAAACGAAAAAAAATTTAGAAACATACAAACATACGAATGTATAACTCCTTTATCACAGCCAAACGACCACCGCTCTCACTTACTAACCTACCGTCATATACACGGCTAACATTACAATAGCAGACGACTATAAATTTAATTATTATTATCATAATTGTGATTACCACTTCACGTATAACATTTTAAACTAATCATCTCGTACATGTGTTTGTTAGTTACACTTGTGTGCGTCATTTCTCTACAATATACTAATGAAAACGCTACTTTCAATGTTACTAGGAGCCGAACTACACCGACCTTATGTATATATTAGTTGAGCGAACCTACGGCCACCGTGACATATATATATATATGTAAGCAAGTCGTATGTATGTTCGTATTTCATATTACATATAATTCCACTATATAAGCCGGCGGCCGCGGCACTGTTAGTGAATATATATCGGTAACATTGCACTATTATAACATATCGAACATTAATCGTTTAAGCGACCCGTTGTATCCGGAGTACTAATTTGTCTAAGCATCAACAATACATCTTATGAACCTTATCCATATAGTAATAGAGTTCAATATCGTTATAACATCATCATGTCTCCATGTAGGCCGTGGCCGAGCGTGGTCTTAACATACGCTTCTCAAAGTCTATCTTTTCATCTTCAGTTTTTCTAATTTTAATCAACTCGACCTTGAAATCTTGAAATGTATATCGTGACGTCACAAACATCATCACACGGTTCCGAACGTCAAGATATGACCCACACTCGATATCCAATCAATTATATAACTTAACACCTATACACAAAGTCCAAATTCACTATAAACCTCAGCGGGCAGAGTTCAATAACAGACAAGCTGTGTCTGTTATATTGAACCTTATGCGTGTAACATAAGGTCGATGTTTACAGTGTCTGCGGCGAGTATTTGGACGGCGCTCGTTTGAGCCGCCGACTCATGGGTCACTGTCAGTTGTTCTTGTCGAAGTTGTGAAGGGCCCAGTTGAAGGAGGCCGTCCAGGAGTTCTTCACAGCCTCGTCGAACTTCAGCCTGAAGTGTTCCATAGCCTTCTCCTTAGACAGATCCATCACCTGGGAAATAGTGGAATGTTAGAAATATATGACAAAGTAGATAAATATCTTAACAAAATATTAATTACGTTTACGATAATAACTGGAAGATCTTTAAAAAAATAAAGTTTTTTATAACATATTCAATACCAAAACTTATATGAATAAAAAATAGTGATTGATGTTAGATTATTGAATATGTCTTAATATATTGTTATTGAATATGTCTTAATGATTAAAATAGACAATATATAATGTACAGACAACATAGTATTAATTTAGGGTTTCTTGTACAAAACACCACCTGGTGGCTCATTAGAATCAGTAGTTGCCCAATAGGTATTCCATGTAATGTGCTAGGTATAACTGAATGACATTGGCAAATGCCCAATGGATAGAGAGTATAACAAACTTAAAACCAAAAAATTTAAATAATAATAAGGTAAATAAATAAATTCTGTACAATTTTCTATTTAAAACTAATGGCTACTGTTTTTTAACAAGCTAATGTTTTTCATAGATTCAAATATTATAAAGACATTATTACGAAAGTTACAAAATATTACATTGTTACCAAGGAAACAAAGAAATTAAGCATCATTCATATAAAAAATACGTTAATTCATTAAATATTAATTAACATAAAAGATGTAAAGAGACGAATGCCTTTCAAATAACTCATAAAACTTCTTAATCGACAATACAATTAAATCGTCGTTAACGGAAAAACATTTATTTCACAATATTACTTCACGAAAAGAAATTTCATTAGTACATTAAATACATATAATAAAAAACAAAAAGTAAACTCAAATTTTATATAGAGTTACCAAATTTTAAGGTAATAGAATTTACTTAAACTGATAATATATAGTATTTATGTAACTTATTACCAAGTCTTATATACTTAGAATTTATTCCAACTGGGTACAACAAAAAAATATATATTCTGTAGGACTATTGCATCACATATGTTTGCATAATTTGTATGATCTTATAAACTTTTCAACACTCTCTGTAAAATATTTTTTATTATTTAAATATATATAGTATAATATTTTTGGTATACACGTGGACCTATCGGTAGAATTGATAAACTCCTTATATGAAATCCAATATATAAATGTCTCTATAGTTATTTATATATATATTAATTACCAAAAAACTTATTATAGACATTATCTATTATCGTTCAAAGTATATATAATTTGATTATTATATACATATGTGTAGTATAATAGTTTTGGTATATATATGGACCTCTTTTTATGAGGTCTGATATATATAAATGTCTTTATATATATTATTAATTACCAACAAACTTAATATAGATATCATCTATTATTATCATTCAAAGTATATATAATCACCAGTGTTTCCCTGAGGTATTGTAAATCCTTCTCCGAGCTGAGCTCCGGCAGACCGGTGCTGATCATCATAGAGAACAGAGACAGGATGAGGTGACCGTGAGAACGGAGGATTATGAACGCCTGGGTATAGAAAGAAATATATACAACATTACTATTAGACCTATTGGTTTTGACAAAAAAATTACATATATACTTTAATTATAACGATAATTACACATGGATAGAATCCCTACTAATATTATAAATGCGAAAGTAACCCTGTCTGTCTGTCTGTCTGTTACGCTTTCACGGTTAAACCACTGAATTGACTTTAATGAAATTTGGCACAGAGATAGAGTTGACCTTGAGAATGAACATAGGATAGTTTGTATCCCAGACTTTTGAAAGGTTCTCTTGGAAACGCGATATAACCGAACTCTACGCGGGCGAAGCTGCGGGCGGAAAGATAGTAACTAATAAAATAATAACTAATGTACTCAAATAAATATATCAAGTATATTTCAAAAACATTCACTAATAAGTGTTGTACTTGTTTATTAAAGTTCTCGTTACTCATACATATAATAACTATTATTGGAGAGAAATTATATTCTTAAATATTTTTAATCTGTATTGAAGTTATCCAAATTTTATTTGTACTAGTTACTTTCTTTTAAACTGAGATTCTTTTTATAATTAGATGTTTTTGAGAAACAAATATAAGCATATATAAAAAATTTTGTATAGTTTTGTGATTTTTACAAATGAGACACACATAATATCTTAATGAGATAATAATAATAATGAATACTAACAAAAATAACCAAATTACTTTTATAAAGATATCAAGTACATTTTAAAGTTGTTAATTTATAAGTGTTGTATTCTTTCATTAAAGTTCCAATATGAACTACTGAGACTATTATATGTATAAGTAATGACTTATACATTTATTAGTCCTAACTAAGAAAAATATTGAATTCAACCTGATTAGGATTTTCACTATTTAATTTGTACCATACAAGTATATAACTATTAGTATGGTGATAATCACATTATGTTTAAGAGTGAATGTTCTCCTGAGTAATGTCTTGTATGGATTTGGAAATTTGACATAACAACAATAAAAAATCTTACAGTTATGTATATTCAATCGGACAAAAAATCCAATATTAGCAATGAAATTTGTTATCGTCTAATTTGATGGATTATTAAATTAAAATTAATACATTCATAATGAACGTTGTATGTTAGTATTCATTATCACTAACCGTTTCACAAAGTTCCCTGAACCTCTTGAAGTCTATGTCGTGCACTCCGCCCCGCTGACCCTTGTTGATGACGTGTATGAAGTCATGGGTCAACACGAACGGGACCCGCTCTCGTTTGAACCCGTACTTCTGCTTGAAGTGACCCAAGAAGTGACCGAAATCGATGTGGAACAACTGGGAACATAATATTAGTAAGATATTTAATTAAACCAAAATATGTATAACTGTTCTACTATTAATTTAGGATCATGAGAGTTAAATATATAGTGTACAATAGTTTAAAAACTAAGTAAACAAAGTTTTCTCATCCCAATAAGTGCAATTTAAGTCAGTTTTCATCGACTCTTTTTAATCATTTTTCCTCTAATTAAAATGTTTTTTTCTCTTATCATCTACATATCTCACCTGGCCGCTTTTCTTGACCATAATATTATCAGGATGCCTGTCAGCTATTCCCAGTACGTACGTGGCCACGCAGTACCCAGCACAACTCATAGTAAATTCCTCCACAGCTTTATTGAAAGATTCCTCCGTGGGATTCTGTTTTCTCAGCCATTCTGTGTTTTAAGATTACAATCATAAATTAATAAATCATATCATAAACTCCATAAAAAATATTTCTGTTATAAGGATAACGTTTTATTAATATAATAATGAATCGTTATGTCTACAGCTGTAGAAATATAAATAAAAGAATGCGTTCGACTAAAATAAAATCTTACTTATTATTAATGTACTAAATTCAAAACTAAAATTACTTAAAATACGATCAAATGTTAAGAGGTATATAATTTGACCTCCTTAGAAAATTATTTTTATATGCAATATATATGTATAACTCACGAAACAGATTAGCCTTTGATATAGTAGAGGCTGCGTTGAACAGCGCGCTCTGTTTCTGTATGTTGGCGACCGTCTCCGCGTCCTCAACCACCTCGATCATACCCACCGCGTACTCCATCGATATACAGTTGTAGGGGTTCAATCTGTAACACACATTATACTATTATATAAAGCAATGGAATTATAAGCGATGTACACACTTATTTTGTAATGGAGCTTTTTGAACATATACAATAACGAGAAAATAATAAATAATACAACTTATGTGCGGGTTGTATAAAAAGAATATGATTGAACTACTCATTATTCTTTTTTTTTACAAACGAGTAGACGGCCTTCTTTATAGTCAATAGTCACCGTTACCCATAGACATTCGCAACAAAATATATGTTGCGTAGGCGTTGTCAACCTTGGTTGTTGAGAAAAAGAAAGGGATAGGAATAAGGAAATGGCTGGGCAACCGACTCTCTCACTCATTGGACAGCCATTAAAGACTACTTCACGCTGATCTTCTGTGAGAAAATGGTACTTCCGCTGTCAAGCCAACCCATATTCGAGATAAAGTAACTTGACCATAGCCAGCCTTTACCTATCTAGGTATTCATACGATCATAACATTTACCTAAAGTCATATCCCTGACCACAGCTAGGCTCTACCATTTTAAACATAGACAGCATCTTTAACAGTGTTCATTTACCTAAAGTCATATCCCGCGTTCTTCCACAGCCGGTCCATGATCCGCAGCATCTGTAGCGTGAACATGTCCTGCCGCAGGTCGTCTCCTATCTTGAGTATGATCCGCACGTCGCTGCCGGTCGGGTCCACGTTGGAGAACTCCAGCAGTAGGGGACGCATCTTGCTGTCCATCACGCGACATCTTTCCGGTCTGGTGGGTTAAATCGATGTTAGTCATTTGATATTTGGTCATTTATAATGACGATGTTATGATAGAATAGTATAAAGAACGCTTACAGCTGTAGAAGAAATTATTTGGACACTTTATAAATTTTATCTTCAAGACAACAACACTTTGGAGTTGACAATATCAAGATTACAAAAAGGATGCATTATGTATACTATAATACGAGTATATAAAAACCATTACTGAATCCGGTCATAATATTATTTCTGATCAACCGTATTCACATTCAACACTTTATTAAAAATATTCGTACATTTCACTGTGAATTATAGTTGCGTTTGCAAAAGAATTTTCAGAATCTTGTTAATTAACCGCTATACAGGACATAGATATGGTTTTTAGAAAGAATATCGCCAAAAAAGATAATGAATCATCATTCATCACATATATCTTTGTAACAGCTTTTCAGATATCATGAAACGGAAGACGCGCTAAACGCTGAACACCCCCTTTATTAACAGACTGAGCGGGATAGAATGCATGTCGCTCAAACGCATGCGTGCAATCAATTGTGACTTACATGTAATATTTATAAAATTTGTCTTTTAGAAACACTAAAAATGCCTTACAAATCTTATTATTACCTTATTTCTACCCCTTCCATTTTCATTCCAAGATAAAATATTACGAAATCACACTTCTTCCGCGCGAAAGGACTCCACGCATCATATTTTTCATACATATCTACTTACTTAATCATCTTACAGATGAGGCTGGGCGTGAGGGGTGACACAAAGTCAGCCAGCGTGTCCACACAGTGCTGCTCTGCTAAATGCTGCTGCAACGCCGCACGGGCTTTACTTATCTCCTTCTTCTTGAGGATACATTGACTCGCCCCTGGTCAATATTAACGTTAATACATTGTAATTGATAATGTATGTGAATATTAAGAGCTTTCGTTTATAAGAATTGCATAAAAAAATTCTCTCGTATTTTATTCCGATTAAATGGTTATCATGAATGTAAAAGCATATCAAAATTTGATACAAGGAGAAATGCGAAAGCCACAATAATTTTATTTCTTAAGGAACATCCTGTATACTTTACATAATAGCTACCTCATAAATTATTCTTTATATACTTGCTTTATAAAAATTTCATTAAATATGAGAAATTACACAACACTCTTTATGTAATATGAAACCTCTGTAAACACGAAAGGCTTCATTCTAACAGAATATATTAAGATATCTTTATAGAAGAAATACCAAGGAATACATTACTAACATTTTAGTTTATCCAGACACGTGATCTGTCTCATGAGACTGCTGATATGGTCTTGACAGCCGCGACAGTAAGCCTCCAGCACTAGACCGAACCTCACTGACACCGAAGGCACGTGCATCTCAGAACTATGAATACAAATATATATATAGAAGAGATAATTAATTATGTTAGTACATATAAAAATTATATCACTTCTATCGTGGAGCGAACGATATACATAGACATTGTTGTCAAATGAATTAATTACGATGTCATTACACAACATAGAATTAAAACCTTTCAAAATTAGAGCTCCATTATTTTATGAGGATGACATTTTATACAAACAACTTAGGGGCCGTTCCAGTATTACGTAAGCAGATTTATTACAATTATTTACCCCCCCATCCCCCTTGTAAGCAAAAGTAAGCAAAGCTCTTACCCTCTCCCCCCATGCTTACGTAAACATTTTCAATTACTATATTTTTTTTTAATATAAGTCCAGAAAAAAAATATAATTGTATTTGTTTATGGATCTACTCGATGTGACGATTTAAAATTAATAACTACCGATGACTTAATCGATACCTAGACTCGCCTACCCCCCATGTCGTCCAAAATAAGCAAAGCAAAGACCCCCGCCCCTCCATAGTGAACTTGAATACTTGAACGGCCCCTTAATAGTATTTAATATATGATGAAATTTAAATTAAGTATACATATATGTATAATAATATCTATGTTTCATACCGTAAATGCCAGAACAGATAGTGTCCTATGGTCATATTGTTGAAGGCTCGTTGTAATAGAAAAACGGACAGGTCACACATCAAGTATGATTCGTGCTTCAAGGCCTGCACTAGCTGGAGGAGGTATAGCAGCAGATCTTCATCACTGAAACAATATTATTATTATCAGTATTTATACATACAACAATATATTTATTACATATATACTATATGTATATGTTATGTACTAGATAGGTAGTATATAAAATGTAAAAAGTTTATAATGAAGTTGAGAAATATGTATATGTCACAAGTTGCTTTATGAATCTTCTCTCATGAAATGTAATTATCCTTTCTTTCTTATGTAAAATATAGTAATAACAATATCATAATACTTGTTTCAATAATTAAAGATGCTACAATTACATCACTTCTTGTTGAATGGAATTAATTTCTTGTATTTTGTATATCTTTAAATGAGCAACTTTTGTATGTATCTTCTTCTACATGGCAATTTCCCACCTTTAGCTAGGGTCTGCCTTACATGTTCTGAATAGTTTTGGCTATTTGTTTTTACGACCTGCCGCCTGCCTGACATCAACCCTCTTTTTGGAAATCATCATTAATCAGTGATGACTAAATACGCTTAGAAAGTACATATGACTCGGAAAAATCACATTGGTACTTGCACAGACCAGGATCGAACCCACGCTCTCGTGCATGAGAGGCGGGACTTTTAACCACTAGCAACTCTACTAGCAACTCTTGTATATATACTTATATATAATGGGAATCTCGGAATCGGCTAAAACGATTTTCATGAAATTTAGTATATAGGGGATTTAGGGGGCGGTAATCCGATCTAATTAGGAATCATTTTTAGAAAATGTTATTTTATTTAAAAAATACAAAAAGGAGTCGTTTAAAAGATAACTCTTCCTGACATCTATTAGCGAATAGTAATACTAATAATACTTTTTGCTAATTGCTTTACGATACAACAGCAGATGGCTTTGTTAAGTACCAGGAAGTCAATGACTGTTTGTTTTAAGGTTAGACTAAAAATAATTGTTGATTTATATTGTTTTGTGTCTTCTTAACGTGTTCACTTAAAAATGCATAAACAAAATAAATAAAAAAAAAACAAAATAAATACTAATAATTCCTAAATACCGAGCAATGCTCGGTGTCCAGGTATTGAATTAATAAACTCATACATATACCTCATGTTTCGAAGACTTAGTCTAAGTCAACTATACAAATTAGTAAATATACTCTTCTATATTAAATTGAACCTTAAGTTGAGCGCACCTGATCTTAGCTAGACAATTAACAGCGAAGCTCCTGACCGCAGCGTCCGCGTACGCGTAATCCAAAAGCTCTAGGGCGGCTTCAACTCTCAGGGGTGGCCAAGCAGTGAGGGCGAGGGCTGCGCGGGCCGCCTCACGACGCTCCGTCCACTCCACACATGATAATAACTTGGGAAGCAGCTCCGGGGCGCACGAACGGAAATACTCACTGAGAAAGAACAGATATTTATAACGTTTTGTGCAATTTTTGAATTATGTTTCTTGGTAAATGAAACGAAACTGTTATATGATAATTTAAAGACAGCGCCATCTATATTCGGTGTTACGTAACTTTATATATTATAATGGAAATTGTTGACTTGTTAGTGGTTGATTATACACGGAAAGGATGTACATATAGAACATATGGCATTCTGATGTCTAAAATATGTTATTACAAAATTTTATCTAAAGCCATTTGCTAGTTTATGAGTGAAAAAGAAAGAAACATCCATAAATCATAGCATTTGGCATTTATAAGATCGGTAGGATTATAATTATGGACAGATAATAATTTTTTAGCAATAAACACAAGTAGTTATTGCATATGTCATGCTATTTGTATTTTAATAATATTTTCTCGTAATATGTAACACATGTTGACACTTACCGTGACGCCCAAATACCTTTCTTCTCCTGTTCGTGTATTTCATACAAGGTATCTCTTTCCGCTGTTAGTCGCAGCTTCTCCAAATCTTCGCTCAGTTTAGTCGCTACATCCGGTGACGCATTCTCAAGCTGTTCCGCGTAAGCCTTAACAGCTTCTTGCTTCGGAAATAGTATCGGATATTGGCAATCGTAGCTATAAAGAGAAATATTATTTAATTTAATTTTTAATATTTATATAAGCACAATTTAAGTTGGACTGATATTCTATTAGAACTTATCACCATGCTTATATTTATAGGTATTCATACCTTACAAAATATTGTTACATTAAAACAATGTAAGGTTAAATAGACATAATATGCGATAAATAATCTTCTATATATATAAAAATGGATTGCTGTTCCTTAGTCTCGCTAAAACTCAAGAACGGCTAAACCGATTTGACTAATTTTAGTCTTAAAATGCTCCTGGAAGTCCAGGGAAGGTTTAAAAGATGAGAAAAATTGGAATTATTTCCGGGAAAACCCTAAAAACAGCCCTTTTCTATTTCCCATACAAACGATTTTTTGACATTAGACTTGACAACTAACTAATAAGTCAATCATTCTGTTCGATTGAAACAGTAGAAATTTAATAAATACCAATACCGGGTTATTGAAGACCTAATAGAGTTTGCCCGGTCAGCTATACCTATATTACTAATGACGAAATTAAAGCGGACGAAGTCGCGGGCAAAAACTAATAATTAATAAATATACTAAGTTAATGTCCAATCCTGCCCATATCAATTGATTCTGGATACTTCTAAAATATATTGATAACTAGTTTTTGCCCGTGACTTAGTCCGCGTTAGTTTCGTCATTAGTAATATAGGTATAGCTGACCGGGCAAACTCTATTCCGTCTTCAATAACCCAGTATTGGTATTTATTAAATTTCTACTGTTTCAATTGAACAGAATGATTGACATATTAGTTAGTTGTCAAGTCTAATGTCAAAAAATCGTTTGTATGGGAAATAAAAAAGGGCTGTTTTTAGGGTTTTCCTGGCAATTTTTCCAATTTTTCTCACCTTTTAAACCTTCCCTGGACTTCCAGGAGTATTTCAAGACTAAAATTAGACAAATCGATTCAGCCGTTCTCGAGTTTTAGCGAGACTAAGGAACAGCAATCCATTTTTATATATATAGAAGAAGAAGATAGAAGATTATTAACTTAACAATAATAATAATGCTATGAATGTGATCATTATTCACAGTCGACCTTCCACTCACTTGGAGAAGCGTACTTGTAGGGCTGCGCACGAATCTGTATTAGGGTTTGAGACCACTGTCCCTAGCGGATGTAGGAGCAGGTCGTCTCCTTGAGTCTCATCAGCCACGTGGGTCCACATGAACAACGTCACGCCGTCTGTACGTAGCTGCTCTTTGTAGTCGAATATCATTGTATTGGCCCACGCTAGACGGTTTATAGCGTCCTGTAAATGTCAAAATCCACTTTAAGTTTACAGTATTAGTGTTCAAAATGTATTGCACCATTCAAATTCTTTCTTAAAACTTTTGTAATAAGAATGGATAAGTGATTTTAGTCAAATAATATAAATATGAAAATATTGGATGATTTATAATATAACCACATTAAATTTTCCATTGAATTAGAGACATTAAAGACACTATGAAATGTCTTGAGATTTTGGCTAAACACTGATTACAAGAAAAATGGGCGAGTTTGAAGTATTAAAAGAACTCGCCAAATTAAAAACAAAATTTTTAAATTCAACTATCTTATAAACATATCTCTCATAGTAATTTAAATAGCTTAAAGTCCTATCCATGTTATGTTAAAAACATACAATACTTCTCACCTTACTTCCCTTGGCTTTCCGTTTGTTCTTGGCCTTCGATATCTCGTATATGACGAAGCAGAGCCTCGCCATTCTCGGTACATTACACACTTGTATGGGGAACTTGAGTTCTTCATCCCATTGAGCCTCTCCTTCCCTTGAAACCACAGCCACCATAGTCTTCTGTGGCTCACACAGTGATTTACCACCGTGGTAAATACCAGCCTGACATACCACCTAAAAACAACATTATTTTATTAATATATTTTTATCCAGGACTTCTTTAAGTTTAATCAACTACTAGCGACATCTATCGGTTGTATCATGTGACAATAAACATAATACATATTTTATGCTGTATTCTCGTGTAAACCATATAGAATTTAGGGGTAAATTATAGCATGTATGCTATTTCTGTCTAAGCTACATTATTTGAAGGTTTTATCAAAATTCGGTTGGTAGTTATTTAGTCAAAGAAACATCAATACAAATTATTGCTTTAATAAAATTATTGGAATAACAAAGATTATTTAATTAATTAACCAACAACTCATTGTATGTCTCATGCCAGTTTAGAACAACGCTTACAACACAAAAAACAGTTGATCATCACATAATATACAATTAATTTTGCTTCCCTAAAAATCCTTAAATAGTCTCCATTTTAATACAATGTTGGCCTATTTACAGATATAAAAATTGACATACACAATTCTATAACGACTGTGACACAGCATAGCACATTGCACAGAGTATTACTTAAATAGCTCACCTCCACATGTCTCCCAGGGTCCACGTTCAAGCCTCCCACCGTCTGTACTATACAGGAATAATTCTTCTCTATTTTCCAAGAGGACTCGTTGTTTTTCTTCTTTCTTATAGTATTCGACTGTTCTGATGTTAGCCTTCTTCTCTCAGGTAGCGAGTAATGTTGAAAATCGCAACCGACCACTGGACAAAATATATAAAGAAGTTACCATAGGCGTTTAGATGATACATATCGTCGGGGACAGTGCAAATTCATTTAACTACTATTGGATAATTTCGCATATCTAAATTGGAAGCAGATTATCAGAAGAAAGTTTAAGCTGAAATATTTTATACATTAACATCTTTTAAAGTAATTTTTTCGCAATTAGTAATTATTTAGTGTTTAATTTATTACTAATTATGAAAAAAATTACCTATATATATATATATATATATATGTTATATGTCAATACTAACATGGTATCTTATCTATGCTGACTGTCATGACCTGCGGTACCCCGTCCCTGGCAAGCGTCTCCTGGATGTACAGGAATTGAATGAGAGGATCGTCTCCCAACAAGTATTCCTCACGTCCGCAGACCTTGGATAGCAATTATAATAATATTAATCTTAGTGCAAATAAAATGTCTTACTATATATTCTTGGATATATGAAAAGGTTTTAAAAGATTTTAATGAAGTCTATTTGAATCTTAAGACCCAAAATTTTTCTTTAAGTCAGTTATATACTTTTCATAACTAGCAATATATAAAATGGAAGTAATTTTACTCAAACAAATATCATGTTAAAGTAGAACAAAAAATGCAAGTGCAGTTAAACCTCTATTGTATCTGTTTATTAAGAAGTCTGTTATTTAATATGAATCATACCTTCAGCACGTAATTCCTAGGATGTTCTCCGCGCATGTTTAGTGAATTTGCCTTTTTCCTGATGACTGTCTCGATGTGTTGTTGAGGGGTCAGGGTCACTGGTACGTTGGATGTGAAAGATATCTGGAATATGACAAAAATCTGGTTTATTATTACAGTTTTACGATAAGTAGAAGAAAGGAACAATCAATGTTCAATGACAGATAGTAGTTACTTTGAGAAATGTAATCCGTTAACCCTTAATAACTAAACATTTATTTGATGAACTATTTGTGATTTTCGTGTCTAGTCACTATCAGTGCCGTAACTAGGGCGGTGCCAGCAGTGCCCAGGCACAGGGCGCAGAAATGACCAGACTAGTATCTAGTTTTATCTCATGCATGGTAGCTATATACTCATATACTTTGTTACTTTGGTAAACAACAAATAGATAGATTTACTTGTATGCACATTTGTCCATTTTATTTTTAAAGCCTGGTTAGAGCATTTTTCAGGGGCGCAGTTTTGAAAGCTCACACCGGGTGTATAAAAGCCTAGTTACAACACTGTTCACTACCGTCTGAAGGGGCCTTTCGTCTCTTTTTTTTTCACTTATGAAATAAAGAGTTTATCTCATCCTCTCGACGAAAGATTAGTAACAACGCAAAACTTTTGACGTACGTAGACGTTGAGATTAATATGTATATTATTTTCGTGGTATATTTCTTTCTTTCTAGGTATTTTGATAAAAAATATTCAATTATAATATATTTTAGAAACGCGACGTCTGTTTTACACATAATTTTTATACTTAAATATTGTTTTAACGTCTATGTCATATGTACACGTATTTATTTATGCTAACATTTTATTTTAACTTCCCATAAGTCTGATTTTGTATTAAATATGCTACTTATATCCAACAAAGCCCCGTAGGATGATCAAACATCAATGCATCAAAGGCAAACTATATATTTGTGGACCTCATAACGTGGATGTGCATGACTGTGTGAATTAGAATTTAGTTACTATATAGTGCATATTTTCTTTATACTGATCTAAAGAACATATCATTGTTAAAAGTGCTTATACTTAAAAAAAAAATTGAATAAAAAAGATGCCTATTCCTTGATTTAGTTCGTTAGAATGAAAAAAAATTCGTTATCTAGGTTTAATAAGACGATGTTGAAGTTTTATGAAAGACTGGGTTTTGAAACCATAAATATTATGACTGAGAAGGATTTAGGAAGTTAATCTGCTTAAGACAATCGATTAATTTATTTGGTACAATATACGCCAAGTAACTAAATAAATAAGATCACTTACGTGCAATCGACAATAAAAAAATATGAAACATTAAAATCATAAATACATATAACTCACTAAAAGTTTTAATTTAAAACGTTTTAGACCCAACAGGCAAGACAATTATTGACAAACTTCAAAGCTAACAAAACAATTAAAAACTAAATCAAATGACGTTGTCACTTTCAACTGAAACGTAGTTATACGATTCTGTAATACAAATATGTTAAAATCACACTTTAATCTACAGCAAGATAATGAGAAAGAAGCGGAGGAGACTCCAGATCGCAAAAAGAATGAAGAGATCGAACTGCTGGCTGAGGAGTTAGAACACGAACAACTAGAAGAAGATACTGGCAAAGAAATTATACCAAGTTTCCCAGAAAGAATACTCAAAAGATCAGAGATTAGCATACGACTTAGTCTACTAGGAAAAACTGCTGAAGGAGATGGGTAAATTACAATATTTCTATTATAATATATGAAGATATGTTTCTGTGAACCATCGCATTAGATGACCTATAAGTTAAGTTTTATGGTAAAGAAACATCGACATAATATTTTATTTCAAATCTTTCAGTTTCTAAATTCGATTTTATTGATGATTTATTTATTTTTAACTAGTGCCTATGAAAAAAAAATTAAGACGTTTTCATTCTGAGTCTATAGATTTTTTTATAGCAAATCAATGAAAGTCTTTGAAAATGTTTCCAGGTACACATATCTTAAAGCAACTTGCACCGGCATGGGTCTAACAGACATCACAGCTGTAAAATCATTCCAACACCTACAGTTCCTCGATGTATCGAACAACAACTTGAATTTGGCCAGTCTACAAGTTATCACGGAACTGCCATATCTGGTATTAATACACGCGGACAAAAACCAACTCTATTCCGCGGCATTAAAGACTATGAAGTACGTGCAAGTTATTATAATGAATAACAACAACATATCTACAGTATGGGACGTGTACCAACCGGAATTATCCACTTTGGAAGTCGGATATAATAAAATAAAAACCATTAGATTCGAAGGAAACATGCCAGAAATAAAATGCTTGGATTTCCGATATAATCTCATAGACGACATTTCGAATCTGAACTTTCCGAATTTGGACAGCCTGTATTTGGCTGGAAATAAAATTCAAAGTCTCATAGGTATAGAGAGATTGACCAATTTACGAATACTGCACTTAAGGAATAATCCCATAAAACTTTTGTACGGTTTTGAGGAGAGCATGAAGAAATTGCAGTACCTAAATCTGAGAAACTGCAAAGTGTCAACATTGAAGCAAATTAAGAAACTGCGGGTAATATATGTAGTTATAGTTGGATCAAAATCTTATTTTTTTTCGACAAAAAAAGACGTTCTTTTTGTCTTAGGTGCTAGAATCATTGACAACATTAGTGATAAAAGGTTGTCCTTTCATGGGAGGAACTGGTACAGAGGATGCAGAGGTTGGACCCGAGGAAGAAGATCCAGAATTAAGGATCGAGGTCCTTGCATCGCTGCCAAGACTGAAACGTCTTAATAAAGGAGTAGTTTCCCCCGAAGAAAAGTACATATAGATCTTTTAAATTTTTTTATGCCCTATAATATAAAATAATGACATTTTTTTTTGCAGAGAGGAAGCAAAAGAGCTGATGAAACAGTGGCTCGAAGAAGGTGAAAACGATGAAGAGGAAATGCAAGAAGAACAAAACGATGAAGACTCTAACGCTGATTAAGAATAGATGGATATTTTAACCATATTAGAAGTAAAACATCCTTATTACATATACCTATATAATATATTTCATGATTAATACAGATCTTTAGAATAAAAAAATGAATATAAAACTCATCAGTATTTTAGGTGCCCCAAGAGTATTAAATATCCAAAACAAAAAGAATTTTATTTAAAATCTAACAAGACAACTAAATAATATTTTAATAAAACAAATTGTTCTTGGCTTCAGATCTTTTGTAAAAATATATACATATTTACAAAAAGAAGCCAGTTAGTAAAAAGTATCCTATTGTTATTAAAGAGCAAAGAAAAAGAATGATGATAAATCTTATTGAAACACTTATATTTTTTTAGTTAATGTAAATAGAATATTTTTTTGACTAAATTAATATTATTATAGTGGTCAAATTTCAATTCTTTTAACATTATTCAATGAATAAATTTTACCCTTATTTAGACCACCATATGAAAAAAAAAAGATAATTGACAATTTAACAACAAAACAAACATTCAAAAAAATATGCATATAATGATATCTAAGATTTTTGCATGTATTCATTTAAATAAAACTTTTTTCATTTCAACTACCCATGATCATGATCACTGCAAAGTAAATGAAATATTGGAAGTATATGATTTAAAATAATAAGGAATTCATAGTACATCTAACTATCTTAGTTTTATTTAAATAAATATGCCTACTAATATTATAAATGCGAAAGTAACTCTGTCTGTCTGTCTGTTACGCTTTCACGCCTAAACCACTGAACTGATTTTAATAAAATTTTGGTACAAACATAGATTTGACCTTGATAAAGAACATAGGATAGTTTTTATCCCAGACTTTTGAAAGGTTCTCTTGGAAACGCGATATAACCGAACTCCACGCGGGCGAAGCTGCGGGCGGAAAGCTAGTAGCCTTATATATGTATAAGAGTTTTACTGACCTCTGTATTTGCTACTTTAGTTACAAGTATGAAGCAGTTATTGTTTAGGTGGCTGGTTAATGTCAATGGTACTGTAGGATTGTCCGCCAATCTCGGTGGACAGTGGTACTTCAACCTCTCGAGTCTCGTGCTCTGAGCACGCTTCAATAAACTCTCCTCGGCCAAATACCTCATTCTCATCCTAAAGTCATTGACCTCTGAACTTCTAAGTCTATCAAATTCATTCAAACCTGAAAAAATATATATTACCATTTGAAATTGAATTCTGGTTTAACTTTTCTGTTATGTAGCTCTTTTGCAATGAACAAGTTATAATTAGTAGTTATAACCAGATTGAATTCCTATTTTTAATGATGTATGAAGTGAATTTTCTACCTTTTCCGATCAAATGACTGATATGTGTGTTTAACAATTGTTCCCCGGGCCCTTCTATGGAACGCTCAATAATCATAAGCACTCCAAATACTGGCCGTATATCACGAACCCTCTTGTTCTCATCATCAACTTCCTCGGGAACTGCTAAAGAATTGATGAACTGGAAAACATATCCCGACATCTCATGGAGCATCCCAAACAAGGGTTGCTTCCCCGCCAGGTCCCATAATTCCTGAAGAAATAAAACATTAATGAAAAACCAGAAATATCAAGATTATAAAAACATAATAAATCCTTAATTCTCATAATTTCTCATTTTTTAACTAATATGACAGGAAAAAAGAATTTATTTATATTTTATGTTGTGAGTTAACAACTAAACAAGCGAAAAGTATACTATCTTTCGGTAAATATTTTTGAGAACAAAATGTCTCCCAACAATCAAAAGATGACCTAATATCTTTTAAATTGAATCAAAATGTGTAGGTCCAAGTTCACAAGGAATAAAGCAAAATAGATAAATATCAGCGTGACTGATAGATCTTTAATTATCAATCTAATGGTTGTATTAAACAAACAGGAAAAAGAGGTGCAAAAAATATATAACTCAATACACAAGATAAAATATAATAAAGAAACTAAAACTTAAATTACAAGCACCTAGAATATTATACATAGCGACTAAGGCTCACTCAAAAATGTTCAAAATAATATGTTTGCTATTGAAACCCTAATTTATTTATCAATCAAAGAAATTTAAATTATCACTCTATAGTAGTTCTAATAATATAAGATAGGTATCAGAATTCAAATATAATTTTGAAGTATTTAAAGTGAATTAATAATAAGTATTCATGTAAGTAATGTATGTATGTAAGTTTAATAAACAACTCATAACAGATTTCCCTCTCTTATGTAATACTATTACAAAATAAGAATAAACAAATAATTAAGGGTACTTATAAGCTTCTAAGACACTAGCATACAGAAATTTCAAATTAGGAACACAAACATTAAAAAAAAATACTCTTATATGTAAGAAGTAAACATGTCAAGATTTATGACAATAGACTGTTGCTTATATTGTAAACTACTTTCTAAAAAATAAAAGCTGATTTATCTCAGCCCATTACACAATAGCTTGACCCACATCTGGGACCAACAAAGTCTGTTGACAATGAGTCATGTTGAGATCAGTTTGCATCACTAACCTCCTTAACATCTTGGAGAGTTGAATCCCAACTAACAGTCACTGCTAGGTATATAGAATTTGGCATAAGACATGTCAGCTCCACGTAGTCCGAGGGCGTGGACATCCAATAATCCCATGTGTAGGGGCAGCTCGGTGCAGGAACCATTGTTATGGTCAATTTCTAACCAGTTCACACAAATATTGTAATAGTACACAACATTTTTACTTTCACTGACAAACACCTCACATGGCAACTGACTTTGTTTTTTTCTAACTGAAAAATATCCGGTTAATGTTAGTCATTAATATTGAAAATGCAGTGTTGAATCATAGCATTTCCTGGTATTTTGATTAGGTTTCATATCGCCATTCGAAATAAAACTGTCAATGATATATAACAAACATTATTAATGAAAATGTCGATAGCATACTTTTTTAATTACCTCGCAATAAATATTTACATAATTTATAAACCGACACGAATTTAATATGAATAACACTTAATTATGTTACTGAGAAATTGTAAATAAAGATTAAAGATTACGTGCAGTGCAACAATCTACAACAGGTACCTATAATTAAAAAGTTAGAAAAATTGTTTATGGTACATATATCTTTTTATTTTTTTATTTTACATTATCTAATATCTTCCATTATTAATTTATAACATTATGATAATTTTAGTTAAAACAATTATGCAGATATTACCACTTTTCAGTATTGGCTTTGAAATCATTACTCTACCCTCTGTGGTATGCAAGAAAGTAACGATTGTTTAATGTTGTTTAAAAAAATCTCAACTCTCACTTTATTGCATTTATGATAATATGGACTTATTACAATAGAATAAATCACGTAATACATATTACCCGTCATCGCAATTTAGTAAAAAAAAAAAAAAAAATTTATCACTAATAAAATACATATCTGAAATAAAAGTATTTTTTTATAAATATGCAATACATGTATTTCTCTAAATAATATTCAAGATAAGTTCTTCGGAAGTTTAATACATTTCATAATTCCTGTTTCATATTATTCAAAAATCTTAAACAGAATGCACTATAACCTCGCAATGACATATGTCTCGTGATAGTTACAAATGAAAAAATATATTAAACTTTTTGATGTGTTAAAAGAAAATGTTTGAACATTCTGTAAAAGTTCCAAGACATTATAAAGTAGCTGCAAATATTTTTAAAAAGGTTGCCACAGAAGGCGGTAGTGTCAAGAATTTACTGTACGACGATAAATTAAAGCATTTCGTAAGTATGATTTAAAAATAATATTTTTATGTTTTTCTTAAACACCGATGCTCACGATGTTGAACTCCATACTTCCAGAGAACTAATGTGCTTTACGCACTCATAACAGAGACAATTAAACATGCGACTGATATTGATAAAATATTTGAAAATTGTGGTATTTTGGCGAAAGAACAGCGGCTAGATCCCTGGCTCGCTAAAATTCTTACCGCTGAGTTACTTTTCGGCAAAAAGACTCTGCCTGGGAAAAGCAAACCTGAACTGACAATATTATCATATAAAGAACAGTTTGAGAACTTTAGGAGTGAAAATCCAGATGAAGTGAAATCTAAAGGTAATATTTTCTTTTCCAGGTATAATCCTACGTTATTGTAAGCATGATGGAAGATACCGATAGGGGTCCTCTCATACCGAAACAAACAAAGTTGGCAGCGCTCGCACTAGCCAATTTATTTTTATATAGCGTGGCAATGTTTACTTTACCATTCATAGCATTTTTTGGTGTACGTCATATACTAACAGACTATTACCCAGTTGATCAATTCACAAGGAATGTTTGGTCGGTCGTATCAGCCGTTACTGTTGTCAATATCATTATCGCTATGTATGTGTATAAAGCTTATCATGAGAAAGAATATGATGAACATGGAAATGAGATTGATCAACATTCATATGATTCTAATGAACCAACTAAAAAGTCATTGAACGCAAAAGAGGATTAACACAAGATATTCTTGGGTCATTCCATTGTATGCTTTAAGTTTTCATAACCAAAAACTTACCTTCACCGAATAATGTTTTTTTTAATTCTAATAAATAGAATACACTAATTTGGCTGTTTTATTCATGAATCATTGCTTAAAATATGTTATCTAATGATATTAATGGATGTAGAAATGAACATAATTCACAAATCTATTTAAACTTAATAATATTAAAATTTGGTATGGATCTCAGAGAAAACAAAAATTATAATATTTGTATATATCACTGATACCAGTACTAGATAAATATCATGTTTTTTAAAGCTATAATTTGCCCGTAAATTATTTTGTGAGCAAAACCTCAATATTTCCATCAGTTGTTCACAGACCACGATACGTCAGGATAAACACGAACCTGTTAACCACCTCAGATGCCATAAGAGCATTCCAAGACGAGGGTTACAAGTTCATAAGATGTACGTCAGGGTCATACGACGATTACTTGAAGCAGATCCAGGGTTTGACGGAGTATGATTTCACTCAGGACTACCATGTGAAAACTGTGTTTGTGTTTGCACCGGGGACCAAGTTTCATGACCATGAATTGTATCTGAATAATCAGATTATTTTGCAAGATAAGGTAAAGTTATTTAAATGTGAAGATTTTTATACAGAATTTTCTTTTTAGAATGAACAAGACCTATATTATTTCTAAGTTAGTAATATATTTTTGCTATTGTATTATGACAAGTATTAACTCTAACTATTTTATGAAATTCAGACTAAAATCTCAAGTTATACATTTTATTGTTTTAAACCTTCAAAAAATTAGTATTTGTCTAAATAATACATACATATAAATATATAAATTTTAAATAATAAACAGGAAAAAATTGCCCTTACCATTAATATCCATATTTAGAAAAGTATAACAATTGATTATATAATTTGTACTAGATCATCCAAATGATTTTCCATCTAAAGAGCCAAGTGAATCTAAACCTTGTGTCATATAAATTAAAGATAATATTTTATTAACCCAACATATCATTTTCAGGCCACAGCTCTGGCTGTACATCTACTCGCCCCGCCATCTGGCAGCACAGTATTAGACATGTGTGCTGCTCCAGGTATGAAGACCACACAAGTTGCTGCATATCTACGAAACCAGGTTACATATTGATTCATACAATTACTTAATTTATTTTGATCACATTAAGGTTGATTATTGGATAAATATTTACAGCTTTTGTGGTTTTATTTATAGGGTAAGGTGTACGCTGTTGAAAGAAATGATCAGAGATATGAAACACTGTGTCAATTAGTTGAGAGCACTTCGTCGAAATGTGTTGAGACCATACATAAGGATGTACTGGAGATTAAGAGAAGAGATTTAGATGATGTGGAATATATACTGTTGGATCCTAGCTGTTCGGGATCTGGTAATAAAATTATTATTGAATGTATTAATATCTAAATATAATTTAAAATACCCTTTTATTAAGTAAAAGCTATAAAAGTAATTTCTTATTTATTTTTCACAATATAGAGCAAAATCATTATGAAATATTAATTTGTGCAGCAAAAAGATTTTGATCTAACTCAGTTTTTTAAGACAAATCCAATCAACTTGAAATAAGTTTTTGTTTTCTTTTGTTGTATTAAATTATATATGGATAACAGAATGATAGTAAATGTAACAACAGTAATTATAACACTAATAATTTCTAGGTATGGATTTTTCTGTTCACAACTACATCGAAGACACGAGGCTGGCTAAACTAACCTCGTTACAAGAGAAATTTCTGAAACACGCAATGAACGCGTTCCCTAATGCAAAACGCATCGTCTACAGTACATGCTCGATATTTCCCGTGGAAAATGAACGGGTTGTGACGAACGTGGTGAAGACTTCAAGATCTAAGTGGAGGGTGCAAGATGTTAAGGAATTATTGAAGAACCAGTGGAATAACTTCGGTTCAGGAATGTATGGCAGTATGGGTACTAGGTGCTTATATGCTAGACCAGATTCTGATATGACTACTGGATTCTTCTTAGCTGTGCTTGATAGAGACCAAAAAGCCCATGAAGATGAGGGGAAATCTCTTAATATTGATAATAATAAAGACAAAAGTAAAACTAAAGACATGTCAAATTGTAAGGCAGATCATGAAGCTCAAAATGCATCTGCCTTAGATGAGGTTACTGACGTCATAGTAAAGAAGAAAGAGAAAAATCAAGAAAATGAGAACGAAATCAAAAATAATAGTGAAATAGCATCTGAATTAACAAATGGTGATGTTGAAACTAAAATAAAGAAAAAGCACAAAAAGAAAAAATCCAAGGATGACAGTAATGATCAAGATGTTACAGAAGAAGTGATTACAGAATATCAACAGGATGTAACAGAAGTAGACCATTCAGAAAGAACAGAAAATATTGAAACCGAGAACAAGAACAAAAGAAAGAAGAATAAAACTATAGAACATAATTTGGGTGACGATGACAACTTGAAACAAAATCACGAACCAGATGAAACCGGTTTAAATGAACCTACAAAGAAGAAAAAAAAGAAAAATAGAGATAACGAAATATCTACAGCAAATTATAGTTCTGTTTTAAATAGCTCAGATTTTAAAGAAAATAATGAAAAGCAGAAAAAGAGGGATGGAGAAGAATCTACACCAAATTATAGTTCTGTTTTAAATAGCTTAGATTTTACAGAAGATAATGTAAAAGAACAGAAAAAGAAGAAAAAGAGGGATAAAGAAGAATCTACAGCAAATAATAGTTCTGTTTTAAATAGCTTAGATTTTACAGAAGATGATGTAAAAGAACAGAAAAAGAAGAAAAAGAGGGATAGAGAAGAATCTACAGCAAATGATAGTTCTGTTTTAAATAGCTTAGATATTACAGAAGATAATGTAAAAGAACAGAAAAAGAAGAAAAAGAAAAAGCATTTGGATGAATGACAACAATTTTGTATTTTTTTATTCTGTTTTTAAGATTAAATGATAAAAAACATCATTGAAGTTTAAATTTCCTCTTAATAATAAGATTTATATAGAAATAATAAATTATTTTATTAAAAATATATAAAATGTATTGAATTTGACGTTCAACATTTCTCGTTAAATGAATATTACTCTCAATAATAATTATTTTTGTAGTTTTAAAACTTCTTCTTTTATACCTTATCTTGGAAGTTGGTAATATTTTTCATATTAATTTCATTTTATACGATTATATGGACTTATATCTTATCAGCGCCATCTATGTATGTCAATGCATAACTTACGCTTTCATTACTACTAAAATAAGTAGTGTACAATTACGCTTGTATTTAAAAAGAAACGAATCACGTATGATTTTAACCTATTTTATATACGAATGCAAATCAACGTCTAGCCAAGTCATAACACCGGTTGATTAAGATTGAAGATATTATGAACTTTATGATTAATTACATAAGGACGGGTTTGTAATTATAAGTATAATATATAACTTGCATCAACCCGAACGGTTTCGTGTGGTTTTATTGCGATCGTTTATAATTCAGCCCATAAATAATACAATGTCTTTAACATTAATTCAACATCATTATGTTTATTTATTACTAACTTTCCGCCTGCAGCTTCGCCCGCGTGGAGTTCGGTTATATCGCGTTTCCAAGAGAACCTTTCAAAAGTCTGGGATAAAAACTATCCTATGTTCTTTCTCAAGGTCAACTCCATCTCTGTACCAAATTTCATTAAAATCAGTTCAGTGGTTTAGGCGTGAAAGCGTAACAGACAGACAGACAGAGTTACTTTCCCAATTTTAATATTAGTAGGGATTTTATATAAATTAAACTAAACAGCATCACAAGTATTATAATTCTTCGTTTACTACATTTTAGTTTAATCTTTATACAGGGTGACTGGTGAATTACTATCAATATTTAAGGAGAATACTCGGTACATGATTCTCGTTCGAATTATGTAAAAAAAATAGGTGCTTAATTTTTGACCAAATTTCCGTATAAATAAATAAAGTATGGACACGTTCCAAGTTTTCCAAGTGGGGACGCGTATGTGTGTATGTGTGTATACCTAATCTGTAGGGTGTTCACACGATGCGTAATTAATTACAAAACTTTTGGTTAACTTTACTTAGAAGTTTATTAATATTTATGTTATATTAATTTTTATTTTGTCATATATGATCGTCAAATATCACGTCCTCAAGTATCGATAGTAATTCACCAGTCACCCTGTATATACTAGGCTTATATTACGATGGTACATAGTTATTTTTCCTGAGAATATTTTTTATTGAAATCAATGTATACTGTAATAAATCGTAATGTATACTGTATAACTAACAAAGAAACTTATTTCACCTACAAAATAATTTAAGTTGCGACGCGTGTTAATTCAATTTCCAAGTAAGTTCACACAAAGCGAAACGTCCTAATTAGACCAAGGCCGTAGAATCAAAGGGAAGTTTAATAAAATAATAAATTTGTAACGCAATTGAATGTGACCTGAATATTTACATGAAAGGCCTATTTCACTCCTTTGACTTGACATACTGACTTAATAAGAATATTCCGTATCTTTTAGAAATCAATCTTTCAATTTGACGAAAATATTAGTTTATTTTTCTTTTTGCAAGCCTTGAAATCTTTAAACAAATGATTACAGTCTCGAATTAAGCGAACGCACACTTAATGGCCTTTCTTTTGCCCTGTCTAAAGGAGAAGACATGCCTATTGTTTCTAGCATTTATCACATATTATATATTCAATACTAATTGTTGCCTATGGTTTAGCAAGCATGTTAAATCCTCATTGAGTACGCATTATTATCATTACTATAAAGTTTTCTCCCAATTTTCAAAATGCTCGTGCAATCAAAGACACAGATGAAAAATTGCTCATCAGTTAAGGAGCCATAACGTAATAAGCAGTTAGTTAATTTGAGAACTCCAATCTTTTTGAACTGGATTAAAAAACCCGAAAAGACTCACTATGATATTACCTTTTTGCGAGTGAAGTACCCTTTTCGTCAAAATCTTTGCAGCCATTCTAGTGCTTAGCCGGACATTAGACGGGTAGACCATAATAGGTTGCAAGTATTTAATGATGAATTTTGTCCGTAAATTGTACCTATGGTCAAAAAATGAGCACGTTTATGTATGTCGGATTCTAGTTTGTGCGAGACTCTTAACGAAAACTATACCTACTCATATTTACCTAGTGTGGCATGGGCTTGTCTTCGCCACTGGATATCTATTTTAAATCTAACTTCTGTTACCAAAACTAAGTCATCTACTGTATTTCTTAACATCCTGCACGTAGGGAGTAAATAGTTATAGGTTTTTTTTTCAAAGGTTGTAAGACGGCCTACCTGATGGAATATAGTCACCGTCGCCCATAAACATCTGCAACATAAGGGATGTTTCAGATGCGTTGCTGACCTTGATTGTAAGAGAGGGAGGGAAAGCAGCCGGCGTTAGGGAGGGGGACGATGGGCCGACGGCCTAGGGCGCCAAGTTTCGGGGGGCGATTAGATTAGGTAGGATACTTATAAATGAAAAAAAATAGGAGCTACATAACTTTCTACGTCCACGTCGTTATCTCTGGGTCACGCTAAAGGAAAGATGGAAGATGGTAGATGGAATATAGAATTCTTAATACACGTTCAGTGTTCACATTGGTTCAGAAAAAAATAATACTCGATTTTGATTTCTTCAAGTGAGCGCCGAAATATTCTTGCCCAGGATGTCAGTCCCTCTAACGCTGGCACTGAGGGAAAGGGTAGGAAAAGTAAAAGGGCAACCAGCTTTCCCACTCATCGAATGAAAAGCAGCCATTAAAGTTTACTTCACGCCGATCGTCTGTGAGAGGGTAGTAGATTTCCAGTCGAGCCGACTCATGTTCGAGCTGTAGCAATTTGTCCACAGCTAGGTTCTAACACCTACAATTTCTATTTTCGAGAGAGGAAAAATGTAATAATAGTAATAATAGATTTATATTTTTATTACAGTATTCATTTTTTTATTAAATTTAAAAGACCTTTATTCTTTTTGGATGTTTCCATGTTCAACAAGATTCAAAAAAATTCTATAAAATATTTAATTCACATTACATAGCAATTCTATCAATGCACAATCTATTAAAAATTAAATAGAAAAATATACCATGTTTTTTTACATGATTTTTATATTGATTAATAAACTAAGTAGGTACGTTATATATTTAAAAAAATCTCAACATTTTCATAACAGTTCTAACACTATGTAAGTTCGTTCCAGCTAAGCATTTCATAATAAAAATAGATTCTATTTCAAATATAAATATTTTAAAAAGTAACACGCAATAGTCGGTCATTGTATTTATAATCTGAGAAAAATATTTATTAGTTAAAAGTCTTGTTTTTATCAAAAATATTAGTTACATTAGAATGATTCTCGAAAATTTTAGATCTCATTAAGTTTTATGTGTTAGAGGTTTTGTTGATATAGTAGAATATACTGTCACATCTTTGCACGGATGAAAGCCATATTTTAAACCAATTTAAAGGTTTTGTTAAGGCTGTATTTATCTCTAACAACTCTGGTTTCCAAGCGACGCGATGCCGGGCGTGGCTGAGGCGGGCTCCATAACATCAGCCAATGAGGAACGGAAGTACAATTATTATGACAGTGTCTGTCACTACATGTCACCAACGAATCATCACCAACAGACGAATCTAAACCTTATTATATATGTATAAAGTTGAAATAAGCTTGAAGCATATCATGTAGACGTTTCCGTTATTGGTCCTTTTTAAATAAATGGTCTGGTTTACCTACAAACGTAATTATATATTTTGTTTCATTCGTTTGGTATATGTCAATTTGAAATGTCGTTTAAAAATTGAATATAGATAATATTATTTTTTTATTTAATCTGTAACATTAACGATTTTGCATCTATAAATACATATAATTATTTTCATTTTTATAATATTTTAAATGTATGACATCCATCAAGTAGAATTATGTATGCAAATGAACACTTAAAGTTTAATTGCCGTTTTGCTATGCTCATTTCGTACGCTTGCATGTATAAAATATATTAAAAAAATGATTAAAATAATACAAAAAATAACGAAATAGCAAAAGATTTACTGTTCCAGTTTAGTTATTTATAAAGTTGGATTTTTATACACTGTAAAGTAATTAAAAATAAATATTTATTTAAAGTATTTAAACACTACTGCATTATTTATATGGCTCCAGAGCCGTAAAAACATTAACAAAAAAAGTTATTTATATGGTAGCCTGATTTTTTTTTCATTTATAACAAAACTAGCTTTCCGCCCGCAGCTTCGCCGCGTGGAGTTCGGTTATATCGCGTTTCCAAGAGAACCTTTCAAAAGTCTGGGATAAAAACTATCCTATGTTCTTTCTCAAGGTCAACTCTATCTCTGTACCGAATTTCATTAAAATCAGTTCAGTGGTTTAGGCGTGAAAGCGTAGCAGACAGACAGACAGACAGACAGACAGACAGACAGAGTTACTTTCGCATTTATAATATTAGTAGGGATATGTTGTTCCACGTCAAATATAAGCGTCGTCCAAAAAAACTTGTCACTATTCTGAAAAAATCATTTGTCTGTCTCAGTATAGAATTAAATGTTAAAATCTTCCTCACGTTTCTGACACTCCAACAACATTGTTCAATGGTCAAAAATCCTTATAAAATATATGTTATAATTACTTTGGCTGTCCCAGACAAAGTTTTTGGAATCATATGCTACGTCTAAGAATTTTTTACATCTAAAAACAAATATTATGCTTTCATGTCTTCAAAAATCGGCATAATTTTTACGGGGAATAAGTATAATGTTTAGATTTTATTTGGTCAATTCATAATGAATACTTATTAATATAATATATTTATAGGATTGCGTCACAATCAATTACAGGTAGCCTTATTGTTTGTAGTAACGCAAAATTCCGATTCATCATAACGAGAACCAATCAATTTATAAAATACCGCAGTAATAATGTAACATGTAAGAAAACTTGTGACAAATAGCTCAGAAAACTATATAAATGTTAGCAAAGCTATCAAAAAACTTTGTAATAAAAGAGTAATATTGAAAAACTTATAAGTACAGTAACTATGATAATATATTATTTAATAATCAGCTAGTTCTTGCATTAGGCTTCGCGTAATCTAATTTATATTCTGTTAGAAGCTTCTTTACAATATACAAAATTTTATTTAAGTTATTTACGAATTTATACATACATCTGCACCGTTTGATCAAACTTATTCCAGGTCCACTCCTTCCAGAGGTTATTCGGCACAAACAGACTGACACATATAGATTTTTATTCTTGTGTTTTTCCGTATGTATTCAGTTTTATTTGTATTAGAAAATATCTTAATGATTGTAGACACTCGTAGCTCGTAGACCATCTACGAGCGCGTAGCTGTTACATGTAGCCACAGATGATAATATGACATTCGCATTATATTTACCACCAAAGAGGTTTAGATTCAAAGAAGTTTTTATTAGAATAGTTTATAATACTTTCCCTCCATCTGTCGATATTAATTATTGACATAAACTATATAATTTCATAATAATTTTTATTGTTTCGTTGATTGCTAACTCCATAGTTTTTTGCATATTATTTGCATATTACCAACGATTTGTGCGTTATTAGAGCACAGTGAAATTTCTGAAAAATTGCCTTTAATTATGGGACTAATAAAAAACAACCAAACAACAGTTAAGGGGGAGGTTGTATAGCACGCCACGGAAAAACTGGCGCGCGTGGGCTTCTATGAACGATTGACCAAGAATGTGCAATACATCGGTAGTAACATTTACATTTAAAATGTGCTAAAATTACCACTTATATATATAAGAAATAAATAAAGTACTATTCATATATAAAAGCTTAGTTTTAGGATTTAATTTACGTTTTTATTTTAAGTTTTTACGATTATTTTTATCATCTTTGATCACGGTCAGATGAGATCATTTTTTTTTAAAATATATTTTCACGAAAGTCGTAAATATCGAAATCATTTTACGAATATTATATTTAAAATAAATATATAATATTTAGTTTAAATGAAACTAATATGAATAATATTAGTTTCATTTAAATGAATACTCGCGTCAGTATTAGTTCCATTATATAATCTTTTTTAAATGAAAGTAAAGTTAATTCCATACAAATAATAAACATCAAGATTCAAGTGTTCGTTAGGTTGTATTGTACACGGCACAACCGGCCAACACCCCTTAAGCCTTACAAACGGTCACTTCGCCACGCTCTCAAAACACAATCGGACGGGTGCTACATTAAACTATTAAATCAAATAATTTCTCCTAATTATTCTCTATATAAAATTAATTAAATTAAAGTTTCATTAATAGTTCTTAATGAATTTCTTACTTTTGTTTAACTAGTTTCAGTGACTTGTGTTCAATTTGTTTTTGAATATGACGTCTGAAGAACCGACGCCGTCTGTGGTGAGTTAAATGATTTTGTCCTTTATTTAGAGTTTTTTAAATTAAATTATATTGAAGTTAATAAATGAATGAAATATTTTAAATATATAATATATATTTAAACCATCAAATCTTTATAGGAGATTTTTTAACGATCTATTCGTGAAACATCTATGTAGATACGTCAAGAAGAAGCTATCAAAACTATTCTAATAGCTTATCTATGATAGCTATTAAATAAGCTATTATTATTGTATGTTTCATATAAATATGATGGAGTGTTTAAATTTATTATAACATAATGAGGTTATACATAATCGTGACTAGCGTTACTTAGTCACGCGGCTCGCTGGAACTCGTTAAACTAATCGAGATCATCTTAGATGAAACGTGCCCTTAATATACTATATTATATATATATACATATATAATAATAATATTTTATATAGATAATCATTTTATTGAATAAATCATACATTAGTTTCGTTTATTAGATATTTATTCAGTCCTATGAAGTCGTCGGATTATTGTTTGATTTAAAAAGTAAAGTTAACAAATATATAACATTTAAGATAATGTTTGATAAATTTTATGAATTATTCAAAATAGGTTAAAATTTCAGACTTCTTATTACTGGTCTAGTATTCTATATAGTATAATGAAGTATATAGAGGTTTCATGAAACTCATAGTCATGAATGGAGAACAACATGCGTCGTATCAAGTTAGTAGTTGGGTAGCGGCATTCGCCAGTCTTGGTGCGGGCGGGCGCTCGATATGTCGCGTCGTGTAAGATCCCGTCAACGTCCGCAGGTCACAGCGGAGCCCCCGCCAGCACCGGAGCCTCCGCCCCAGGAACCACAGCCTTCAGATGACGAGAAATCACCAGACTGGAGACCTTCCCGACCGCCGTCGCCACCGCAGCGCCAAGACGATGCCTCCGAAGGCTCAGAAGCAACAGCCAGACCAGCCAGACCTGAACCCGCCAGTCGATACGCCAATCTCAATTACTGGAAAGCCAGACGAGTTACGTTTTATAGGAACGGAGATCCTTTCCATCCTGGGGTTGAGTTTCGATTTAAACTTGGCAGAGATCTTGTATCGATGGACGCTTTGCTCGATAGATTGTCTGAAAGATTGGAACTGCCACGAGGTGCGAGATTTATCTTCGGCATGGATGGCGATAGGAAGTACAGGTTGGAGGAGTTAGAAGATGGAGCGTCTTACGTTGTCTCTTCTTATAAGACATTCAAGGTGAGACCATGTTTAAAATGTTCAATATTAAAGTAAGGCTTCATCAGATATACTTTAATCACCAGGATATAATTTGCATGTGACCTGGTATTACACCAGAATAATGTCGCCAAATGAATATTCATACACGCTAGGATTTGACAGATTGTTTGAGTCATTTCAGAGTAGGTCGCGTCCTTGCTAATTTAGGACGAAGGATTTTCACGCAACTGAATTAGCATTTTGATTACCAGAATTTGTTTTACCGACGACGCTAATTGTTAATGGACACTGCGTATATATTATACTAACGAACTTTTGATGACTTATTGCTTAAATTTTGTTAATGACTGATTTCTTTATAGAAATATAATTACATATATAATAAGCTATTGCCTGTATATATGTTTAGTTTTCAACATATCTATTAATGGACCATTTCTGTGAGTACGAAGCTTCGAAGCTAGCAAGTAGTAACGACACCGGGGTTCAATGCACCACCTTGCACTTAATATGCATCAAAGCAAACGCGTTTCGCTTCATCATGACAAATTAAAACATTCAAAGAAGTTTCCTTTGATATTTTTTCTACCTTGATAATAAATTAAATTCATATTTATACTATCATTACTTAAATTCATAATTACATAATAAATATGTCTCAGATATTTCTAAATTAAATAATGTAGTTTCAAAGATTTTTAATAACAACAATGATTTCTGAATTAAAAATATCATCATTAAAAAAATATACATATTTTTGGGATCTTATATAAATTTACATTTTATAAAGAAATGTATGTTTTATTTATTTTATTTAATATCAATACATTTACAATTTTATCCAGACTTTACACGGACTTGGATTGATATAGGTCAAGAGTGTCGCATTATGTCGAAATAAAAATAAAAATTAAATAAATAATCTATTTTAAATTCTTTAACAATATTTATATTATTTTAAATGATAGCCTTAAAACAAAAAAAATGTATTTATGTATTATAGTAAAAAAAATCATTGTTCATATACTTAGAAAGAATCAATTAAATGGTTTGAAATTAAGCAGTCACCTTCCATATTATTTTCTTTGAACAAAAAAGATTTATATAATATTTTGCATAGACGTATTAAGAGTCGTAGTATATATGTAAGTTATTTGTTGCCCACAGGAACCCTACTGTATTTTTTACTGTATTTTTTTCTTTAAGAAGTTACTGTTCTACAATAATATGTGTTATGCTTCATATATTATAGCAAACCTTATAACTAGTCAAAAAATTAAAAAATGCTATAAGTAAGTCCACATGACAAAAAAGAAAATATTCTCGAAATTAGTTTGTAAATGCTCATTCATAGTACATTTTAGAAAGATTTTCTTAACAATAACTTCCGATAACTTCTCATCTGTCGCTAAATCGTCATCTATCTCTTATTCTTAATTCCTTGTTCTGTGGCATAAAATGGTATCTAGAACACAAAAATAAAGTAGCTTATACTAGATATTAACCAAATGTACTAAAATTTGTATTAAAAATGACTTAACAAAAAACCTTGATCGATTCCTCTAAGATGCCGCATTTTTCTTTCACGAATATTAGGAATTAGACGAACTTACGTAAACCTAAATTGCCCTGATAACCTTTGTTTCGACATTGGGAAATTACTTACGAAAAAAACAAAAATAGAACTTTAATTTATTGATTTATATTATGAATTTGGTTAAAAATACAATTAAATTTATGACTAATATATATTGACAAATCATAAAATTCTAATAATTGTTTTACACTATTTTATGAGTTCTGAAATATGTTTTCTTTTTGTTCAAATAACAATGAGCTGATTTGCTATCACGTGTTATTAAGCCTCCTATATATCATAACTAAATTTAAAGCGGTATTAGTTAAATTTTTTTAAATTTACATATATGTAACATATTCTTCATGAAGTTTATTTTTCTTTGTAAAAATGTTGGCCAACAGGCAACATATTAATATAATAATCTTTTATACTTTTATATAAAGTTACATACCTATGTATGAAAGTACTATTCGTCATCTTCTAGACAGAGATTATTACACACACACATATTTGTAGAAAAATACATAACGTAGACAGAGCTTACTTCGTAGACCACAGCGTTGTAATGAAATGTATGAATCCTAACAAAAGAATGTTATTATACGCTCATCGATACCTCTTAAATAACAAAGAAGTTTCAATATTTTTTCAAACAGACCTCCCAAACAAATTTTGATAACAGTCCCATCAAGGGCAAGCTGTACCTTTAAAATGTATGTATATATTTTACTTGATAGCTCACGAACATTACACGGCATACACCAACAACCTTCTTTGTTTTCACCAGCTAGTTTGCTGTCGAAAATGAATATAGGTCAGACGTCCGACACTGTTTAAAGTTAGTACCTTCGTTATATGCGATAATAACATTACTCACTTTAATATAATGCAAAATATTCAACAAATTCATATTGTTTATTTATCATAAGTACTGCAGTACTATTGAGTACACAATTTTCTATATTAAGTATAGATTTATTGGTGACTAGCTTTCCGCCCGCAGCTTCACCCGCGTGGAGTTCGGTTATATCGCGTTTCCAAGAGAAATATTCAAAAGTCTGAGATAATAACTATCCTATGTTCTTTTTCAAGATCAACTCTATCTCTGTATCAAATTTCATTAAAATCAGTTCAGTGGTTTAGGCGTGAAAGCGTAACAGATAGACAGACGGAGTTACTTTCGCATTTATAATATAAGTAGGGATTATTTTAGCTATTACTGATATAACAAACGTCTGGTCCTCACGAATTTCCACGTTCATGTTTCTTAAATCACTACAAAGCATTTAGATCAAGGTTCCGTATCAACCTTCGCCTAATTTCTTTTAATTTTCGTAACGCGTAATCCTGTATAGCATCTTGTCGCGTGTTCAGTTTCCTTAATATTGCTAACACGTTACAATGAGTTTTAATAGCTCGATACCCGATCCGTATCGGGTTAAGTCACTTGGGGGTTGCGTGGTTTGACTGAGAGTGACCTTGGCCAGCCGTCCCCGCGCCGACTTCGTATTCAAATCTGACTAGTTGTTAGCCTTCTACCGTGCTATGCGCATATCTTCTCAGTGGTATAACCGACTCTGTTCTCGTGATTTAGATATCTATTTGGTGTGAAATAAAAACGGTGCTCTTTACTCGAGCTAAAATCTGTTGAGCTTGGCGTAATTATTCATCAGCTGTTCTTCGTCTATTTAAGTGATCATCGAAAGATAACACATTTAGTATTACTGATAATAGTTGTAATAATTTTATTTAAAGTGCTATTTTTGTGATTGTGTACCCTTAAGTGTTGCTACGGGTCTTTATTAAATAACCCATATGAGTTGTATTTTTTATTAATACATATACAAAACAGATGTTTTACACAAGTTAATGCAAGTTCTAAGAATTTATTAGAGTGTACGAGAGTTATAAGTGAATTTATCAAGTTTTATTACTATCTTAAATTCGTCACTTAATTTGAACAGAAATTGATTAATAATTGCCTAAATTAATAATAGTCTTATGTTGTCTTTACACGAGATGCTTCTTTTATGTAATCAATAATGTAAAATAAATTTATATATTTTATTTATTTCGTTATAAACAACTTACGTGACCAAATACAATCGCGTGACATATTCGATGTGTATCGTTGACAGCCCTTGAAATAAGAGCCTTAAGAAATATTGCAAAAATTCTGTGTTATTAACTGTTATATAGTGCGTATTACTTCGGTTATGAATATAGAAATATTAAAAATATTATAAAACTATTCTATTATTATTATTTAACAAATATACATAAAGACTTAGGTACTTTATTACCTATACTGAAAATGCCAAAAGTTTAAAGAAATATTAATAATTTATTAGTTGAATTGTATAATACAAATAAATTTAAGCTTTCAAGGCGAATCCAAGGCGTCGTAGCTCGTAATTTTCAGCATGCATTGTATTTGCATCGGTTATATGCTAATGCATGCAACGGATAACGCAAACAAAGTCGTATAAAGAAACGTTATATCGTTGGGCGAACGTCGTGGGTACTTGAACTTGCAGGGGTTGTGAACGGGAGTGACATTTTGTTTTTTTATACTATATAAAATAATATATTCACGTTTTGTACTGTGAAAAAATATACGAATGTTATCTATTTAGTCTTATATTGCATTACTAATATATAAGAACTATTTTGGGAGTAATAAAACAAAGAAACGAAGCTGTGGCGTCCGTGCCGCAGTCGCTGGTACGCCCCAGCTGACATGATTGACAGTGACGAAGAACCCTTCACTGTCATAGCACTGCCAGTTAATACTCCGGAACCACCAGTGAGTATTAGGTTTGGTCTAAAATTAAAACTACCAAAAAAAAAGAAAAAAATCGATATAAAAATTCCCATCTCTAAATATTTAATCGATTAATTCTATGCTTTTTTCTCGTTTATACCTTGTCTATTCTTGTCATTTCTGTCATTCTGACAATACTTTTTCGTCGTTTGAGTTTTCTTGTGTACGAGGCCTAGTGTATAATTAAAAATCATCAATGAGGATGAGTGTGAATTTAGTTTTAAACAATCATTACAAAGTTGAATGGTGAGAAAAAATCCTAATGGAGTTTCTTTTCGTGACCCTTATAGAAAGGTTCTGCAAGATTTCCGAACCGCCTCTCACTATGACAATGTATTGTTTTGTTCAAAAAACTAATAGGTATATTCCCAAACATAACGTTAAGAAAACGATTTTACAGGTTTTAATTTTTTCCCTCCAGCTGATTATTTGCGATTAACCTGTTTGTTTTAACATTCACGAAAAAAAAATGTATTTAATTTATTCAATTATTCATTAAAACAGATTTATTTGTATTTTTTCCAATTGTAAGTAAAATCATGTCCTATTCAATTCCTTACCTACTATATAAGTGTTTATAGCAAAATAGTTTTTAATAACAAACACACCTCTTCCATTACATTTCATTGTTTATTGAAATCCAACACGAATTTCAAAAGAACGATTACACTAAACTACACAAAATGATGATGGAGGGTCGAATAACATAACTAGTCTTATTAAACACATAAACACCGCAGTCCACTTGCTATGCAGCAATTTGTGACTTGACCTCGCCCGCGACATATATTCTCTTTAATAAGTCAAACCGAGTACATAACATCTTGGTATTCAATATTATAATATTCGTTAGTACTTCGTTCTAATTACACGCATTCGCGATCTATCCTTGAGCGTTCGGTCCCTTAGTCCAAGGACGGCACATTTCGGCCCTTATCGCGTTGTTTACATCGTCAGTGGACGCTTGCCGCTGGCTAGGGACGGACGATTAACAAAATACCTCGTATAAGAATACGCTATTACTCCAGAAGCAATGAGAATTTGATAATTACTGACAATTTGGTGAGTTTCGTACTAAGTTCTGCGAGTATTGCTTTCTGGTTCTAATTAAAGTTGTAACTGAATTCTTGAATGAATTATCCCGCTTAAAAAGTAATTCCCAGTAAAGTTTTACATGTAAGTCGGAATATTTCCTGTAAACAATGTAATGTTGAAAGTAACGATCAAAAGAAAACTGGGTTAAATCGTGGTATTTATTTGAAATTATAAAATAGCCGACGAATGAATGGAATTCATAAAAATGTTTCATGAACTATTTGTAATGGCGTATTATACTGGCGTCAAACAATTTGTAGCGTTTAGGTTCCGTTTAAAGTTAGAAATTGGATCAGTCATAAGTTTATACTTGAAGAAATAAGGTAGAAATAAAATAAAGGAAACCTTTAATTTTTAAAGAGTTTAAGTTAAAGATCGTATAATATAAGATATAGAACTAAATTTCGCCTTGTGTTTGTTCAATCATGAATTACATAGAATCGTGTCAGGGGCACGAAACCGTCTAACTGAATCAGATACATTATTATTGACTATTACCATTACTTCAAATATAAAGAAGAGAATAGATAGTTGCTTTATAGGTAACAATTCTGTTCTTCTTCTAATTTGTTCATAAGTATCTTGACTAAAGATTTATATCGACTTGGAAGTAATTTACTCATATTAATTGGTACATACAGGCAGCGAGTTACGGTAAGAAGAACGGCATGTGGTACGGCGGCACAGCCACGGGTACCAGTGGATGGTCTCGAGCTGGTACTCGCAAACAATCGGTGGCCGAGTCTGACGCACCCCCACCCGGAGGCGGCAAGCCAGCCAGTGGCAGAGTGATTCGGATCATCAACAACATGGACCATTCTATACAGGTTAAAAAAAAATATTTGACAGTCACTTGACACCTGACACTTGACAACTGACATTTGTTTTTTTTTATTTGATTTTATTCAGCCTAAGAACGGAATCATGATTAAAGTCATTTAGGTTACTAAGTAATACAAAGTTTATGCAAATAAATGAAATTGGTGACATTAAGCTACGTTTAATACGCTCGTTGTATCGGTAACGACAATTACTTTCGCTGAAAAAACTAATAGTATGGAATAATATGTAAAACGTTTAAAGCACGAAGCTATTAAATTTGAATTTCATGTGTATTTTTCAAATGGTTTTTCTTTTTTCTTAAATTAACTATTATAATTCTTAATCTTTGTATAAATCGTTTTGTTTGAAATATAGTTTTTTTTAGGTCACTGTTTTAATTACTTTTATTACTAACAAAGAGTATTACTTTAACGAAGTATTGTTTCACAGTGTCGTGTTTTATTAAACTTACGTACAACGCAACCCTTCGAAGAGGTTTTAGAGGATTTAGGGCAGGTTTTAAAAATGAGCGGAGCAAAGAGGATGTACACAATTACGGGGCAAGAGGTACGAAACCTTTTTACACAATATTACGTCATTTTGCTCTGTAATTTAAATAAATCTTTCTGTAATAGGTGAGGAGCTTTTCACAGTTGCGAAACGAATTCGCTGATGTAGAGACGTTTTATTTGGGAGCAGCGATGGTACCTCCCGCTCTCAGTCCGGGAATAAGCGCTCCTCTACCTATAGAGTCACCAATAAGAAGGTAAATATGATTAATATACATTATACATATATACAGATAGCATGTTATAATTGAAAGAGAAAAAGGTTTCGTGATTTTATAAAACATTTGATTATCGAAATGAATGCTTTAGAAATATTAGTGAATTGTGTTTTGGTTCATCATAAACAAAAAAAAATGGTTATTAATATTATTTTAATTAATTAAAAAAAGCAGATGTAATGACAACTTTCAAACAATTTTATTTACTAACGTTATTCATAGCAAACTAAACATGATTCTACCCTCCGTATATACATATATGTTTATTGAGGTTTTATATAAATTAGAAAAGCAATTATTTAGGTGTTTTCTAGATCTTAATATCATCTTTATGTCCTAGATCCAGGTCTAGAGGGAACGTATCAGCTGTGTCAGTGCCTGAAGAGGGGCGTGGTCGGCGCGCGCGCAGCAAAAGTCGACCGCGCGTACTATACGCACCAGAAGGAGAAATAATAAGAAATTCAGGTAAATAATATTATTCATATAATTAGATCTAAGACTTTGAGTATTCATTTAAATGAAACTAATATTTTTGCATTACTACGCGTATTTTGTTACTTTTAAAACTACATAATCACGTTTGCTGCAATGTAACCGAAACGTCGGGAATATGTAGTTTTTAAAATAGTAAAATACGCGTAGTATTTCAGAAATATTAGTTTAATTTAGATATTGTTAATTATTATTAATTATCTATTATATTTTTTTTATTCTTAACGATAGTTGACGTTTTAAATTTAATTAAGTTCTTTATATGTACTTGTCATGTATTAGTATCGTAAAAGCAAATAAACCTTCTACATTTTTTGTTCATATTTCTCTCCGTAAAAGTAAACATAATAAAATATATACTCCAAACTTTCTATAATAACTTTGTTTGTTAACGAATAGTAAGAATAAGATTATAGTTTTGAATAAATTTAAGACTACCTATAAGAAAATCACCATCGTAAATGGACAATACTTCTGTTATTAATCATATATTATTTATTTAAATTAAACTATATATGTTTCTGTTTTATGTCATAGATTACACCCTCCTAGAGGTTTTAAAGGAAGAGCCTATCCGTGTAACAATACGCGGTCTGCGTCGAACCTTCTACCCTCCAATACACCACGCGCCGATAGACAACAGTCCTCCGGATAAAAAGATGCAACTGGAATGGGTGTAAGATACATATATTATATAGAATACTAGCTTTCCGCCCGCAGGTTCGCCCGCGTGTAGTTCGGTTATATCGCGTTTGCAAGAGAACCTTTCAAAAGTCTGGGATAAAAACTATCCTATGTTATTTCTTAATCTCAACTCTACATCTGTACCAGATTTCATAAAAATCAGTTAAGTGGTTTAGGCGTGAAAACGTAACAGACAGATAGACAGAGTTACTTTCGCATTTATAATATTAGTAGGGATATATAAGTAAGTATGTAAGTATAAGTAAATTATGATGTAATGAAATCTAAGATTTTCTCGAGTTTTACTAATTCAAATAAAACTAATATTTTTCGGATTATACTACGCGATTTTATTATTGTAAAAACTACATACTTCCGACGTTTCAGTTACTTTACAGCAACCGTGATCACGGACAGACGAGATGTGATTGTCGCGTAGTATATCCGAAAAATATTAGTTTCATTTAATTAATTAAGATATACATTTTAATCAGAACACAAAAAATTGGATCTTATATAATTGTACATAGAATCTAAATTGCATATTACGTATCAAAGAGCATTATTAACAGCAAATGTAAGTATTCTATCCAGTCTATGAAATAGCAAACCAATAGTCGCAAACTATGGGTACAGTAGTGATGTCAGCTGTATCCACAGATACGGTTATCGCGGCTTTGATTCACGTCGCAACCTGTGGGTGCTGCCCACCGGTGAGTTGCTTTACTACGTCGCAGCGGTGGCCATCATGTATGACAGAGATGAACACGCCCAGAGACATTACACTGGACACACTGAGGATATACAGTGGTAGGTATTATGAGTTTGAAGTATTCAATAGGAAGCTTTTGTAGTTTTTTTTATAAAATTACGTTGGTGTGAAGTGTGTGAAGATGCGATGCGTTCATAGTTATGTTTTTGATCAATAAAACAGTGAGTTTTTTATTTCTTTGTAATAAAATTTCAATAAAACTGAAATAGAATTAATAGTAATCTCTATAAAATACATAGTTCCATTTAACAGTATCTTATAATAAGCGGCAAAATTATAAGAATTAATAAACATTTATAATCATTATATGTAATTATAATGTTTTCTCTATAGCCTAAACAGAATATACAGTCTCCTACGGCATACAAAGGGAATTTTATTTCTATCTAAATTAGCACCAGCCAGTATGAAAACACAATCACGGAGATTTAATTCCAAAGGTGTCAATACTCAATATTCATAATCCGTCAAAACCAAATGATTTTTAAATTCAGAACGTGCCAGTATGAAAACACGACCATGAAGGTTTAATTTCAAAATGTCCAAACACATCCGTCAAAAAAAATAATTAAATTCATAACGTGCCAGTATGAAAACACGACTATGAAGGTTTTATTCTACAATTTAAATATTGTACAAATGTATGTAGTATGGAGTTGCACCCTTCCCGCGAGCTGGTGGCGAGCGGTCAGCGCGCGGGGCGAGGTCGCCGGGCGCAGGCCCACGTCCGTATCTGGAGCACCGACACGCTTCAGACGCTGCACGTGTTCGGGATGGCGGAGTTCGAGGCCGGAGTCTCCGCGGTCGCCTTCTCGCAACTGGTGACTCACTTATATGACCTTATGTAGTATTGTGTAGGGAGTATTTCGTATTGTTTGAAACTTTTGAATGAATTTTTATGTTGTTGATAAGTAATGCAAGATAAATGTTGTAATAAAGTAGTTAGTAAATATATTAATATACTTAATCACGTCATGTATTGATTTTAAAACAAACTATGATGGATAAAGTAAGTAATGGACAGATATTTAATGAATACCAATCAAAGGTTGTGTTACCTATATCAAAGAAAAGAAAATAGAAAAAGTAAAAAAATCTTTTTTTTTATTAAGCTTCTTAAACTCAAAAATTAAATGTATGTTCTTTTACTCTACGAATAAGATTCAATTTATTAGATATAATATTTTCGCATTCATAAACAGTTCCGTGTCTAATACAATACGTTCTGCCGATCTGATAATACATACGACCGGAAGGCCGCGCGAGGCTTACAACATATACTAAACTTGAAAAGAATTATTTTTATTTGTAATTATTGGGTGACCTTGAATATTTCCTCTTTCGTCTTTGTCAGAACGGAGGTAGTTACGTATTAGCAGTCGACGCCGGTCGCGAAAGTATTCTGTCCGTGTGGCAGTGGCAATGGGGACATCTGCTAGGCAAAGTTGCGGTAAGTTATCATATACATACTCATTAGAAATATATGGCAGTTAAATAATAATAAAATTAAAAAAAAAAAACAAAAATGACAACTGTCAAAAGTGACATACATTTTTTTTTACTACTAGTCATTATAAATGTCAAGCATTTAAATAAAAAAAATAAAATGGGAGCTGTCAAAAGTGACAGCGATTTTTTTTTAATGAAAGTGATCGAAAGAAGGCATGAATCCGAAAAGGGAATGATCGGTAAACAAAGACATTGGGCACAAGTTCAACACAACACCCAGGACACGCCCACCGCTACGTGAATACGTCATCGCTACACGATATATATGATAACAAGTGATTCTGATCTTTATACGTTTGTAAAACAGTTCAATTTCGAATGACAATATTGGGGCACTAAAAGCTAGTTGACTAAAAATTATTGCTAGGCAACTAGTGAAACCAATAGAAATGAATATAATGCATTTAAAAATAGTCCAAATGTTCGCATATAATAAAAGGCATTTCAGGTTTTAAAATATAAAGATTATGACTGCATCTTTTATTTGTACATTTAGCTATTTTTGTCAAATACTACTATAGAAATGCTTATGGATCGATTTATTTATAAAATTTTTACTTTTTTTATAAGCAGGTACATTGACACTTTATGTATATTTTTTAACAAAACAAAAAAAATCCTACTACCACTTTATTTAGGCATACATTGTTCTTATTGACTTCGAGGATTGATGTTGCGTTAAAAAGCATTAACTTACAAATGTCTATACATATAGAGTTTATTTTTGGTTAGTATTACATACGTATTAGGTATACAAGCTTGTTTATCGTATTTCGCAGAACCGAACTCTTAAGACAAAAGGAAGAATCTTCATCCAAAGAAGTCTAAAATCTCATACAAATCTACCCAAATACATACGTAACTAACTAATAATGTTTTTTAGACTAATTCTCATCTCATACTTCATACCAAGTACCATTTTTTTCCGCTGCAATATTTAATAATATTTATTGTGCAATACTTTCAATAGTTATATGAATCTATTTTTCTATATCTTAAAGTATAAGTCTCGTTGTTAATGTATGTCCTACAGACTCTTCAAGAGGAGCTGACAGGCGCCGCCTTCCACCCACTGGATGACAACCTGCTGATCACACACGGGAAGGGCCACCTCGCCTTTTGGAACAGGAGGAAGGACGGCTTCTTCGAACGAACGGATATTATTAAACCGGTTGGTATACATTATATACATCTTTATATATATAATTCTTCTGTGAGTGTTTGTCACTGAACTTCTCTCAAACGACTGGACGGATTTTGATGAATTTTTTTGTGTGTGTTCAGCAGGGTTCTGGGAATGGTTTAGATTCACAATTTTGTCCGTTGGACAATGTTTTTTCATTAATTTTTAATTTATTAGTAGTTGTTGATACAATTGTTTTTTTGACATTAGATTTGACAACTAACTAATATGCCAATCATTCTGTCGCACTTCAAAACACGGAGATTTATGGCTTTAATAGGTAAACTCCAAAAATATAAATAAAAAAACGTAACAGATATTTCTTGATTATAGGGCGATACGAAGTTCGCCGGGTCTTCTAGTATACGTATATATTTTTATATCCCCAAACAAAAAAAGGATATACAGGGTGACTGGTGAATTACTATCGATATTTAAGGACGTGATATTTGACGATCATATATGACGAAATAAAAATTAATATAACATAAATATTAATAAACTTCTAAGTAAAGTTAACCAAAATTTATGTAATTAATTACGCATCGTATGAACACCCTACAGATTAGGTATACACACACACATACGCGTACTGATACAACACTACGCCGCCGCACGCGTCCACGCTTGGAACACTTGGAACGTGTCAACACTTTATTTATTTATACGGAAATTTGGTCAAAAATTAAGTGCCTATTTTTTTTACATAATTCGAATGAGAATCATGTACCGAGTATTCTCCTTAAATATTGATAGTAATTCACCAGTCACCCTGTATATATATTACACATTCGACATAGATGTATGTGTGTGTCTATGTGTTTATCTGTCAGTGCGATCATAGCTTTTAAACGGCTAGACAAATTATGATGCGGTTTTTTCATTTAATAGACAGTTTCCTTGCGATCGTTCTTAAATATATTTAGTTCATATCGGGACCAGCAATGTAAAAGGACTTATAAGCTGTTTTTTAAAATTATTTTAGACATTCTGTCGTATAATTATTTGATTAAGTATTTCAGAGGCCAGTGTAATTTTGAAATCACATTTAAAATTAAGGTTTTTTTAATCAATAAGTTTTTGTTATTACTTACCAATACTTTCTCTTTTAACAGTTATCGGTTTTATCTTAATCCACCTTAATTATTCACCAGCTGCAATATTATAATAGCAAAAGTAAAAAGCATTAGGGAAATGCATATTTCACGTGTACAAGAGCAGCATTAATTCCTGGCTCCGCGTAAATAGTTTCGGTCACCTTTGATGAGCGTAATTTACTAATTAAGAATATAAAGACATTTATATTTTTATACATACTGAATTATTGCCTTTTGTCTAAAAAAACTTGAAATTATAAACCTAACTTAGTTTCTACTGAAAGACGCACATTTAAATATATGAATCTACACAAGTTGGAAGAAAAGAATTAATATATGAGTATACAAAATCTGTCTTTGTTAAAAATACTTCACTATTGATTAATACAATTTTATTTTATTTAAAGTTATAATTGGTTATTATTCTTCAAGTTTCGTTTAATATTTACATCCATTACATGACATTTAGTGACGTAACATAAAATATATACCGGTTTTTTGTATACAGCCGGCTCGCACACAAGTCACAGCCCTACAGTTCGAGCAAGACGGTGACGTAGTGACGGCCGATAGTGATGGGTTCATAACGATATATAGCGTCGATAGTGATGGGGCTTACTTTGTACGAATGGAGTTTGAGGTATGCTAATAAATATTAAAATGGTATTAAATTTAATAAATTTGAATATTTTCTTTTTTGTATCCAGGGTCACATAAAAGGAATTTCTTCATTAGTAATGCTCTCAGAAGGCACTCTTATATCTGGCGGTGAGAAGGATAGAAAAATTGCTGCTTGGGATTCCTTACAAAATTATAAGAGAATAACTGAAACAAAGGTATACATATTTGAATATAACTAATAAAGTGTCTCCTTAATATATAATCAATTTTTGTAGCTGCCCGAATCGGCTGGTGGAGTACGAACGATTTATCCACAAAGACCTGGCAGAAACGATGGCAATCTATACATAGGAACTACGAAAAATAACATTCTAGAAGGATCACTACAGAGGCGATTCAATCAGGTATATAAATAATGATCTAAGACTTTCACGAGTATTCATTTAAAGATAACTTCATACAGTAAATTTTATATAATATAAATTAGGTATAAAACTTGCACATAAAGATTTGAAAATATTTCTCACAACTTCTCTATTATACATACTGTATTATAAATTAATTTATTATCTTTAATGAGATCACAGACGTTCGCGAGTATTCATTTAAATGAAACTAATATTATACGGATTACTACTTGTATTTTATTAATTTAAAACTATATACCTACTCCCGACGTTTGGGTTACTTTTCAACAACCGTGATCATATAGACGAGATATGAATGATCATGGTTGCTGAAATTAATCGAAATGTCGAGAGTATGTAGTTTTAAATTAATACAATACGCGTAGTAATCCGTATAATATTAGTTTTATTTCAGTATAATTGAAACCAACCCGTCTTGAGCAAGCGTGGTGATTAATACTCAAACCTTCTCCATGTGAGAAAGAGGCCTTGCTCAGCAGTGGGCGTCTGATAGGCTGATAGGCATAATTGAGTATATAAAATACATTAATAGGTAACAAAAGCTAATGTTTTCATTTTACAGGTGTTATTCGGTCATCACAAACAATTAATGGGTGTAGCTGTTCATCCCGATGATGAAATGTTCGCCACCGCCGGCCACGACAAGAATATAGCTCTCTGGAAAGGACATAAGTTAATATTTGCCACACAGGTATTCTAAATACCATATAATTTCAAATAATATTACTTCTTACCTTGGAATATTGATAGCGAACTTAACTATGACGAAGCCTAACGCGATAACTTAATACAGTAAATTTTATAGAATCTATGGAAAATTGAGTAAAAACTTGTAAAAAAAAGATTTTAAATATATCGAATTTAAAATAATAATTGCTCACAATTTCTCTTATTAACATATGTACTTTATTATAAATAAATTAATTACATCAATGGCTTTCGCGAGTATTCTTTTAAATGAAACTGATATTTTCGGATTACTGAACGTTATTTTATTATTTCTAAAACTTTCGAAATTTCGATTACTTTGCAGCAATTCCAAAATAAAAGTTTCATTTAAATTATCTTATACTAGCTGCGCCCCGCGGTGTTACCTATTGATTTCCGGGAAAAAGGTAGCCTATATTTTATTCCTGGACGTCAGCTTCCTGTATACAAAATTTTATCAAAATCGGTTCAGCAATTTCAGCGTGAAGAAGTAACAAACATACACACACACACTCACAAACTTTCGCAATTATAATATTATCTTATATATTAATTCTTATTCCATTGTCTTTGTCAGGTGGGCTATGAATGTGTGTCTCTAGCGTGGCATTCCGGCGGGGGGGCGTTGGCAGCCGGCAGTACTGAGGGTCACCTGGTCATACTGAACGCTGATGCTGGAACACACGTAGCCACCATCAGGGTCTGTGGCTCTCCTCTCAGCTGTTTGCAATACAACACTGGTAAATTAATTAGTATACAAGATGAAGTATTTTCCACTACCACAAAAATATCCATGTAATAGCTTTAAAAAACTATGACAACGAAATATATCGTTAAAATAATTCATTAACTAATCTATCTCTTGCAACTCAATCTATTGATATATTAAAAGACAAAATCTCACACAAAAATTCACAATGATTTTGGTCTACGGGAGCGTTCAAGTATTACGAACGAAATTTCCGAAGATTTTTGACCCCCCCTTCCCCCGTCGTAACGCACAGTAACGTTTTTCTGTAGCCCCCCCCCCCTTCTCATAACGTTACGTAACACTCAAGTGATCAATTTCATCAAAAGACTTACAATGCAATCTAGGTATTCCCAGTAAAATATCAATTAAGAGGTTTGCAAACTTGGAATAACAAATAAAAATATCGACCAGACTAATACAATCTGGTCAACAATGTAATGTATATGAAAAGAGTTGTCAGTTTGGGGGTTTTTATTAATATATTTATTTAGAAACAATGCTACGTAACGTTTTATAAGAGACACCCCCTCCCGCCCCAGTAACGCACCGTAACGTTTTACGAGACCCCTCCCTCTCCCAAAATTGCGTTACGTAATACTCGAACGCTCCCTACCTTAAAAAATATTAATGTAAAAGATTTAAGATACAATAACGAAATATGTTCTTATAATAATCCATTTGTTGAGTTACATCTTGTATCTCATTTATACAGTTAAAGTTTTCAAATAATACCCGATAAAATATTCAAAAACATAATGTCATACCGAAAACTTATTGTACTACTTCATCATCGTTTTGTTTTAGCCGGAGACGTACTAGCCATTGGATCCCAAAACGGCAGCATATATTTATTCCGCGTGTCACGTGATGGGTTTTCTTATAAAAAGTCGAACAAGATCCGCGGAGCTCAGCCTCTTGTGATGCTGGACTGGAGTCTCGATGGAAACTACTTACAGACAGTTACCGCCGACTATGATTTATCATTTTGTAAGTTACTAAAACCTTCATGTAAAGTAAAGTTAGGTAGTAGAGCCTAGCTATGGTCAAGTTACTGTAGCTCGACCGGGGCAGTACCACCATCTCACAGAAGCTCGGCGTTAAGTAGTCATTAGTAGCTGCGTTTTGTCCGATGAGTGAGAGAGACGGTTGCCCTTTCCCTGTTCCCACCCTTTCCTGCCATGTCCTTATTCCCACTTCTCCCTCTTCCTCAACCACCAAAGTCGGCAACACATCCGTATATATCATCTCTTATGTTGCGGATATCCATGGACGATGGTGACTATTGCCTATCTAGTAGGTCGTCTGCTCGTTTGCCACCTTTTTCATAAAAAAATCTTTAAAAAGCACAATATGTGCCCCGTAACCTTTTCATGTTTGAAACTTGATATCAAATTAATAATTCTTGAGATGAAGTAACCAATTGTATCATGGTGACTAGTAATGTTTTGACAAAATTTCACACATATCTATTTATCTAATAGGAGTTTTATAACAGAAATGTTGGAACAACGATTACATTAACATAATATATCATTATTTCAGGGGACATCAAGGCTCTATCACCTGAGAAGAGTCCGATAGCTATGAAAGACGTCAAGTGGGCTACATTTAATTCGACAGTTGGCTTTCTTGTTTCAGGTCAACAGAAAAACTTTTAACATTCTCTACTTTATAGCATCCTTATATAAGTTTGATAATTGAACAATTATATATTTCAGGAATGTGGAATAATCGTTTTTATCCTATGACGTCTCTCATAACTGCCGCGAGTCGCTCTGCGGCTCACGACCTTTTAATAAGTGGAGATTCAGAAGGCCATCTTCGTCTTTTCAGGTATAAATAAATTTTAGTCTAAATAAAATTCAAAGGAAGATATACTTTCTACGTTAGCTCCTATCAAAACTGGTAATGACAGTTAATTTGTTAAAATATGCATTTTCTTATTAAAAAACGGTACTGTCAAAACTTTGAACTGGTAATGACAGCTAATTTGTTAAAATATTCATTTTCCTATTAAAACACTGATCCTGAACATAAAATTGCCCTTCTATTATAGTTTTTGTTACATTGTACACAGAAAACCCTTACAAGTTTTTCTAATAATGTCTTATTAGGTATCCCTGCGCGAGTCCAAAGGCCGAGTACAATGAGATCAAGGTATATTCTGGAGCGATCCACGCCGCCCGGTTCCTCTTCAACGACCGCTGCCTGGTCACCTCCGGCGGGTCTGACGCTGCTCTCATGCTGTGGGAACTAGTGGACGACTAGCGCCGGGCCGCGGCGCCGCTTGTCTTCGTGGCGCCACCCACACCATCACCGACCCTGACTTCCCATACATTTAGAGTACTCGACTTTGAGGAGCTCGATTGAAAGGATAACAAAATTGTCGGTGAATTGGTACTTGTTCATGCCAGTGTTTTCTGGTCTTGATTGTCAGATCCGGTTGAATCCGGTTGAATCCAGTTTGTATGGAGTACCGTGTTCCGGAGTTTAATGTATTTTGGCGTAAGCTGTGAGATCTCGTAAGACATATCTATATACATCTAAAATCGCGTAGCGTCACGTCACTGCCATTATAACTTTGCATATTATAAAATGTTAGTAAATTGTTTCTAAATTATAAAAACACGATCTATGTAGCGTATTTGTCAATTGTCTTATGGTCTATGTCAAAGACCTCATTTATGTCTCAGAATATGGGATAAAAATTTATTTTAATTTTGAATAACATAGTAGCACGAAAAATAAGAAGTCATTTATAACACGAGTGCACTTAAATCAATGTGGTCTGGCCACTTTTGTTCCTGTTTATACTTTATATAAAAATAACATTTTTTCTACAAACACATTTGTTACACAAAAAAAAATGTATGTTGATTAGTAGTTAATTATCACTTTCCATACAATAAACATTATAAGTAGATAATTTTGTATTAATGTATCCCTTTGTTGAAATAAAATTTCATAAATATTTGTTTTATAGACAGTACTATATATTATGATTTATTGGAATTTTCGTTGTGTATATAAATATAAGTGTTTTCACTATAGTTATAGGCATTATGATACTCATTAATATATAAATACAATCTATAATAAGTGTTTTATTCTTCCATTCCTTAAATCTATACTAATATTATAAAGCTGAAGAGTTTGTTTGTTTGTTTGTTTGTTTGAAAGCACTAATCTCCGAAACTACTGGTTCGAATTGAATAATTCTTTTTGTGTTGGATAGTCCAGTTATCGAGGAAGGCTGTGGGCTATATAACATCACGCTACGACCAATAGGAGCAAGGATATAGTGGTAAATGTGTAAAAAACGGGAGAAATTATTTCATCTTTGAAGCCTTCCGTTGCGTGCGCCGTGAAAACGGTTCGAGATACACAAAAATATGTATTAAAGAATAATAGCTCTTTTAATGATCTAAAAAACAGTCCGCGACAGTATACGTCTATCTTTTAAGATTAACTCACAAAAACCGTTTTTATGGTACCTAATTTTGTCGAAACAATTTGTTTAAGTTGTATCAAAATAATAATATTAATCTTTATTCATATAAACAAATAAATATGTTGTTGGTTAAGAGTACTTCATTAATAATAAAAAAATCAACATAAGTTTCATCCTGAAAATTCTACGGGAACTCGACCATTCCGAAAACCCCACAAGAACTATTCCAGGAAGTAACTATTCCAGGCGGACGAAGCCGCGGCAAAAGCTAGTGTAATATAAAAAATATTTCATTTAATTAAAGCCTTATTTCTATCTTAGTCAAATAAGAAATGGACTTTATGTAATATTATTTACTTTTAATTATATTAATTACATTTTAAGCACCGTTTGAACGTTTAATGATTACTTTACCGTGATGCCAACATATTATAAATTATTATTATTCACATACGAATTGTATTGATTCATTAATAATCTCATTAACTTAAAGTATAAAACAATAAAAGAATTGCACAGTGACAGATACTGCAAAATTAATAAATATATCCTTTTAAGGCATTTTAGGCTAATAAACCAATCCGATTTATATTTTTAAGATAAACTAAATTATTAAATATAGAAAAAGGTTTCTTTTTTCTTTATTATTGCAGGTTTCAACTCTGTAAATGCCAAATGTCATTGTGTCAACGTATATAAAGTGGAGTAGTTCGTATAATTTGACAGTAAGGAGTTGACAGTTGTCAGTTGAGTATTTAGCAAGAAAGGATGTACTGTACGTACGTATTCGCTTGAACAAATTAACGTCATGTTTCGTATTAACTGAACCATAACTGTGCGAATTAAAAATGAAGCCTCGCCCTTGTGGCTGTAAAGGCTGCAGAACGTGTCTCATTTGTGAAACTTATTATGGGGCCGAAGAACTTAAAAATCTGGTAAAACTTGATAAAGACAAAGGTTATGTATTTTGCCCCTTCTGTAACAAAGCTTGGAGTGGCTGGGATATAGACGTATATAAACAACATCCATATCACGAAGGCGAATCGATTGATTACCCAGGTGTATATATAAAATTAGATTTTATATCTGAATATGAAGAAACAGAACTTATGAGAAACATAGATGAAGTGCCGTGGGATATATCGCAGAGCGGCCGGCGTAAACAGAATTACGGACCAAAAACTAATTTTAAGAAGAAAAAAATCGTTCCTGGACAATTCAATGGGTTTCCTAAGTTTTCCCAGTATTTGCAGGAGAGATTCAAAACCTTCGATATATTAAAGGGTTATGAAGTCATTGAACAATGTTCTCTTGAGTATGATCCTATCAAGGGGGCGTCTATCGACCCTCATATCGACGACTGCTGGGTCTGGGGTGAGAGAATACTTACGGTTAACTGTTTGTCAGACTCCGTTCTCACAATGACTAGGTTCAAAGGCGACACGAAAAAGTATAATCTATATTGTTCAGAGGAGTATCCGCCTGTTGTCCAAGGTGATGGCAGTATTGATATGGATTTTATGAGCAAACAGAACATGTATGAAGCTAGTAAACCAAAAGATGATGTAGATATAATAATAAGGATTCCGTTGATAAGGTAAATGTTATAATTATTTTAACTTATTAACATATTTTTTATATTCTTGATGAAAATAAGTATGTATATTAATTATTTAATTAAATCAGTAATAACTTATTTTGTGACATTTTGCCTTTATAATAACCAGTTTCATTAATTTAATTGTAACTTTTAGGCGATCTCTGCTAATAATCTACGGTGAATCGAGATACCATTGGGAGCACCGGGTTTTACGTGAGGATATAGTTTCAAGAAGAGTTTGTATCGCTTATCGAGAGTTCACACCACCTTTCATGAACAATGGTGTCCACGAGATGCTCGGAAAAGAAATCCGAGATCGAGCAAAGTTATTCTGGGACCACAGAGAGAGATACAAGGAACACATGAAATGTGTTCAATAATACATAATTTTGTGATAATATTAGTATTATAATTTATTCTCAATAAATGTAATGAGCGGGAAGTTTGTTATTTAATGTTGTGTAATACTCCCAAAGCCAAATTGTCAGTGAAATAATATTGTGCAACATTTCACTTCTTCATACTTTGCTTTGAAATGCAACTTTATTTTTAATAAAATAAACATTTAGGCTAATTATGAAATATATGTGTATATATATAATTATAATATAAAACAATTTTTTTTAATTTCATTTTTTTTATTATGCTATTTCGGTTGCCACAAATAAACTTTACTTGTAAATAATACAATATAATTAAATTGCGATATGAAATTATTTATACAAATAAAAGATAAATCCCAAAAATAAAAATAATATTTTAATACAATAAAATCTATTTTCGTAATAGAATTTATTTAATGATATATTTATATTGTTCTTTCTTATGATTATTTTTTTAAATAAACTACGCAGTGCTACATTCGTGTGGTGCAATGTACACGCCGCTCATTGGGTCCGGGTTCGAATCCCGGAAGGTATCTCTAGTTTCCTTTACGCTCTCCTCTTCTTGTTCACGCGCCAAAATCATCTGTTCTTTGATTTTCCACGAGAGAAAGGTCCTCTCACTTTTCATCTTTCGAATGCATCTCGCTAGTAGGAGTGCGAATATTATACCGAGTACCTGAATTCAAAATAATATATTATTTTTTCTATCGAATTTATAGCCTATAAATAATATTTGAGGTATTCATGATAAGCTTGGATAGATTTAAAAGGAAAATGTTTAACGCTTTCGCCGTTCGTTGACCTTTACAATAATTATGCCTTCATTAGTCGAATACTAATGTGACATTGCCCAGTCTCCTTTGATTATTAATAAGCATGAATAATCGAGGTTTTTTCTTTTTTTAGTGTATTTATAGCGAACACATTATTTCAAAGATATAATCTCTGATTATACATCAAAAAGTGAATTGCTTTTATTAAGAAGTTTCACAATTATGAACCAAATCTCGACTTTTATATAATAATTAATGTTTTATTAAAATCTCATATTACTGCAACATAGAAAACAAATTAGTTGTTTTTCTATTCCTCAACCTTGTATGTGTGGAGTGACTTGTGAATATTTTTATTAGAAAAATGACAAATTAGACAAAACTAAACACAGAACGATATTTAAAGCTCGTTTTAATAAATCCAATAAAAATGGAATTAATTTTAATTCAAGACACTATGTAAAACAGAAATACGTGTTATGAATGACCAGAACTGTCTTAATGTAGCAAAATACCCAAATTACTTGTAAATGACTCAGATCATGATAAGACTAAATTAACCATTTAAGAACATTCTAAACTCATTATAAACCCAAAAGAAATCAATCTCAACTCCTAGGAATTTAAAACACAATACATTAATAACTCACTTGTATAAACATAACCGATATTCCCAGCACTCCGATTACGCTAGCATTCTGGACGAACAGATTGATGATGGCTGTCCTACAGCTGATAGATCTCACAGACGTGCAGAAGTCAACTCTTGGGGAACAACAGCTCTGTGGCACGACCAATTCCAATTCATCGCCGTTTATCCTAGTAGTGACGGCCACGGTGGATTGATTCGTGAAGTCCATACCAACATAGTCTAAATACGAATTAGCTCCACAACAATTGAGCTGGAATAGAGAATTGTAATGTTTTTGGATGCTTTATTCAAATGGATGACTATAATAACGTAATTTAACAACACGACAGGGTTGTAAGAAAAAAATAATCAGTATATTTTTAGGTTAATTAAAGTGCATGATTCATAGATATAAATGTGATGAATACATACTTTTATGGCGAATTATTCATTGAAAGAATGTGCATGGTTTTACGAAATTTGCTTAAGGAATACATAGAAAGGTTTTCCATAATTCGTAAGGGGAATCCCTTACTTCAAGTACTTGATACTCACAGTAATCTGTAATCGATCGATTTCCATTTCAATCTCCGGGTCTGTCACGTACTTCGAGATGGGTATGTAGATATAATTCTTTAATGTTTCAGGTTTTAATGTGAATGTTAGTATGACCACAACCAGTTTCAAAATGAGCAATAAAGTCAGGATCAGCGCATACTAAAAACAATAAAATAATCATATTTTTTCATCATTTTAATTGAATGGTACCTAATTTTTATGTTGCCATTATAAGAAACCAGTGACAAAGAACTGGTATACCATATTAACTTACCATATTGACTAAGCATGTGCTTTGTTTCAAACTGCCAAAGAAACCAAACAGTGTTACTACGAACAAAAATATGCCGAGTATAATAATGAGGACTGAAGGAGTGAAGACATTTCCATTCTTGGCGCTGTCGTAGAAATAAGAGAAACTGTGATATTTAGAGTATACGGAGAATCCTAGTACTATCATCAAAATAGAAATTATCTGAAAAGGAATTTAAAAAAAACACTTAATTTATAGAAAAACAAAAGCATTATATGATAGACTAAGAACTAATAACTTTTTACCTAAATATATATATACATTTTGAATAGCAATATCATTTAATATTATTTGTACTCATTAAAACTCTAGGCTTTTGGAATGACATTACAAAGCATTGTTATTAATAGGTATGTAATAATTCTAAGTCTTTAAACTACGCAAATAAGCGGTCGCCATTTTGAATACTTTATTATTCTTACATGAAAACAATGTTGAAACTTACGATAAACATTGTGGTGATGGTCAACAACAGAAATCTTATAGATTTCATGTTGTATTCCGTCTCTGTCTTATTGAATTTCATTTTAGTTGTTCTTCTTACTAATAACTCACTTCCTGAAAACGCTCTATTGTCACGATCACTAAACTGTGTAGAGGCACGATTAAATATATCGCCTCTGATAATATTTTGATGAAACTGATAACACATGAAAAATGGATTACATTATTCCGAATAAGATTACTTTTTTATCAATCTTAAATGTTATCTATGAAATTAAAAATAGGACAATTCATGCACAATAAAAAAGAATCAACGCATTTATTTTCGTTTAAATACATAAGGATAACACGATGATTCCAAAATCACTTCGCAAGTGAAACATAAACTGAGAGGTGATAATATTTATTTAGCAAGTATACATAAAAGATATATACCTAATATAACAATAATTACCCATGCAATACTCATTCGGTATGCTTGTCGGAATGTATTGAATTCTTTGTTTACTCGTTTCGAAAACTACGAGATTGTTTAAGATAAATCTTCCTGTTATATTTTGTAGAAAACGAATACACATTTAACTCAGGATCATATATTATATGTGAAAAATGACGAATAAAGAAACAACATTAGTTTGTAAGTTACATGGTATTGGCGAAATCTATAAGGAACCCCACTAAGTATGAGAAAGAGTGAGAGATTGTATGTTAAAACGAGATATCTGTTTGCCGTAGTATATTAAATACATCCAATCATTCCTGTTGATCCAGATAACAGTTCTTGTTGACTGAGAAAAACTTAAGTAATTGTGCAGCGACTAAATAACTTTCATTACGAAAGTGGCATTATGTCAAAGAAAAAGCCAATCGCGTTGCTCTAAATAACCTTCAAGATAACTGTCATATTGACAAGGACATTGACACTAGTTTAAATTAGACTGATTTTGTATTTAAACCTTGTATTTATTCTAAATGTTTGAAAACTCTTTAGGTATTAATATTTAGGAGGAAAATAAGTTCCTTTATCTATAAAACAAACAAAGCATAGATAAGACAATCCGCGATCCATATTGATATATGTATCAGCGTTATCATGTACATACTTAGGTGCGCGGTCGGAAAAGTTGAATATGTTAAACAAGTCATGCCATTATTGATTACATTAAAACAACGGTTTTATCTGTTTTAATGATTCATTCTTATTTTTTATATTAAGTATATGAAAGTAACATTTTATGAACTTATATAAAATTTTATTATGAGTTTATTTATGAGAAGAATTAAAAAGCATAATCATTGATTTTCATATAAAAAATATTTATTTAAATAAAACATTATATATAGTAGTTATTACATTTATGTCCATAATAAATTTACTTGTGATCTATTTCCAAATGACAGTATACAATGCTTAAGCACTAGAATATTTTTTATATTTTTTTTAAATATAAATAAAATAATGGGATAATATGATTAGTACTAAAAATATTATTGATTTAATACTCTAGTTGAATGTGTTAAAACATCGTGGATAACATTTCTTCTTAACGCTCAATTTAATTGAGACCTTTCATAGTAGAAGCTGTGCAGATAGTATTTCCTTAGAATCAGCAAAATATTGAGCTAAAATGCAAAGTTACAAAGTCTGTGTTGTATTGCTACAGAATATTGGTATTAAGCAGTTGTTTGTCCGTGGAAGGGGACATAGACAATAGGTTTTTGTTTTTCTTCGTTGGGGTTTAGCGAAGTATAAGCGTTGATCATGCGCTCCTGAATTTCCCATCTCCTGCGTTCGCGCTCGGATTTCGTCTTGCGAATGGAACTGGCGAGCGAGAATGAGAAGACAATCCCAATAACCTGTGAAAATAAGATTCGATTTTGAAATAATCGGTATAATATACCGCTTCCTTTTTATTCTACTACTAGTAAACCCGGTGAACTTCGTTTCGCCACCAGAAGGCTTTTATATAACATTTCGTTTGGTGATTAAAAGATGAAGAATTTTTTTGTTTTATATTTGAAAAGGAAAATTTTTATTTCATTTCACAACAGTAATGAATTCATTTCGATTACAAAAATGAAGTGTTATTTAGTTGAACTTCTCTAAGTAAATGAAAGTGAATCCAAAGTAGATACCGAATCGAAGCGTTATACGTGTCCGTAAATTATCCGTTTCATTGAAGTGGTCGTTTGTAAACCACATTTTTTGTTTTTTGGTCTAACTTTAACACAAATAAAGCGGATGGTTTCCAAACTCGTGAACACGCAAAATATAACTGCCCATGTGAAAAACAATGATTTTCTAAATTTATCCCGCCAATACTAAATGGTTTTAAGAGTTCAAACTACAAACACAATACCGGTTTGTCACATGAAATTAACTGAGCAGAGAACAATGAGTAGCTATCATGCACCGGCACCATTTACTTAAAATATTGATTTGTAGTACATGTTATGTAAGATGGCGCTGTATGTGAAAAAAGATTTTCCCGCTTTTCTGTTGAAATTTTTTGTTATAAACCTCACGGAGCCCGAGACCTTTCCAACGAATGCAAAACCGTGTAAATTGGTTCGTTCGATCTGAAGTTAGCGTCAGGATGGAAAACCGGAATTATTTTTATATAGTAGATCTCTTACAAATATCTAATTGTTATCCATACGTCATTTCATATCTGTCATTGTACGTCAATTGCATAGCTGTCAATTGTGTTTCGTTATTCCACGTTTTATAGTGACTGACGTTTCCTCAGGAGTCTGTGTTGTTCGCAATCCTGATTTTAATTCACATTAGCTATCGTCTATTGGTGAATGTTTTTGGTTATGCAGAAGATAACCCAGTTGTGGAGTAGGATCAATGCAGTCCTGTTGCAAGACGGGATAAAACTGACCGAGAAACAGAGGCCATTTTAAGAAAGCGCGTTAATTTCACTCCTTAATGTCTGCATATGTGGAAATTTGTCAAATTTGTCATGTTTAGGGCCACCAAAAAACAAGCGCTCTACCTACCAACGGGTGTATTCACATTCAATCTGGCTGGCTAGTATTCAGAATTGAAATAATCTTCGTTCAGACACGGCTGAAAATCTAAATAGAAACAGATCTAACCTGAATAAATGCAATGGTCATAGCACCAGCCCCAAGTAGACCTGCGCTCTGATAAATCAAGTAAGTGATCCTTGGAAGGCAGCCATTCGCGTACAGCTTGACGCACTCTTCATACTGTACTTCTCCGATCTCCTGGTAGTTCGTCTGCGCGCAGCAGGAGTATGGAACTGTGACATTCTTCACATCGATACCGGTCCTGTTAGCTTTAACATCACCCCAGTCGAGGTAGCTGTCGATACCGCAGCAGTTCAACTGAAAATGTATAATAAATACAAAACTATAATCTATTTTCCTCCATATTGGGCGAGGTTAAAAAAAAGAGATACATAATGTTTGTTTGCAGACAAAGATTTCATGCACGCAAATGGAATACCGACTTCATCAAAGAAATAAATGTATATCTTTCTTTAGGAATTTGCAGTAACAAAAATTAATAATTACCCTGCTCTGGATAAAATCGAAGGAATCAGTGACTTCAGGGTTGCTGTAATAATAAGGCAGCGTCTCTCGAAGGTTTGAGTCGAGCATTCCTGACACTTGTGACCTCAATGTATAGGCCGTGATGGCGGCCGCGATTTCCAGCACCAACACCAGACTTAGGATAACTGCAAACTGAAAACAGAGTTTCGTTAATAAATAACAAAGCTTAGTAAAAAGAGGATTATGTCGATATTTTCATGGCATAGACAACAATTATTTCAAATAAAAACAATTTTAAACTTCATATATGAAATTTTTATTGGGCGTTAAATGTTTTCAGGACTAAATAGCACAACTCTTGAGTTTAAGTTACTTATTTAATTGAAAGGAATCCAGTTGTTTTCGTTACTTTCTTCCCGTATACTCACAATATTGACCAAGCAGGTGCTTTCTTTTAAAGCGCCAATGCAACCGAAGAGAGACACGAACAGCATGATGACACCGATCGCGATGATGAAAGTGGCCGGTGAGAACAGCTGGTAGTCCAGGAAGAAGGAGACATCGTAGTAAATGGCGTAAATTGTAGTCCCCACTGAGATTATTAGAGCTGATGTCAACTAGACAACAAATATAGAACAAAAATCTTTTTAGTTTCAACATAATTTCAAACAAACGTATTTTTAACACAAATTTCGCTGTTCCTGTCTGTTTCTTTCTCTCTCTCTCTTAATTATACATTATAATTTACACAAACTTATTTTAGATATACCTCTCGAGGAGGAATTAATATTAATGTCATGTTAGGACATTTAAACAGACATTGGCTCGTGGTGGGACGCTCGATACATCTAACAAACTATCAAAGGCCTTAACAAAACGGTATTAATTCAATATTGATTGGTGAAATTGGGTCTAAGATTAAATGTACTGCCGCTTTTAGTTTAAGACCCTTAAGTTAATGTCATCGTTTGGTCTTTTCTTAATATCGTTCATATATACAGGGTGACTGGTGAATTACTATCAATATTTTAGGAACATACTCGGTACATGATTCTCATTCGAATTATGTAAAAAAAATAGGTACTTAATTTTTGACCAAATTTCCGTATAAATAAATAAAGTGTGTACACGTTCCAAGTGTTCAAAGTGTGGACGCGTGCGGCGGCGTGCTGATACAACAACACGCCGCCGCCGCGTCTGTGTGAGTGTGTGTGTATACCTAATCTGTAGGGTGTTCATACGACGCGTAATTAATTACATAACTTTTGGTTAACTTTACTTAAAAGTTTATTAATATTTATGTTATATTAATTTTTATTTTGTCATATATGATCGTCAAATATCACGTCCTCAAATATCGATAGTAATTCACCAGTCACCCTGTATATTCTAAGACGAGAATTTCAATCCTTTTCACAAGTCCTATAATGCGGGCTGTCTTTCTTAATATAATATGAAAAGACTCGGTGTAATTTACACCGTTAATGTAATAAGTCGAGTTATTAAAGTAGTCCCGACCTTGACAACACCTTCAAAGCGACCGTCATTGTATCGCGTGAAGTCCTATTGATTTTTTCATACCAACAACAATGAAATTATCACGATATGTTATATCAAACATTTTAATAATTATGTATAATTATTTTTGTAGCTGTACAAAGATTTGGATGTTTTTTTTATTTATAGTAGTAGGTAGTTACTAGTAGAAATAAATTTGAATTAGATAATACAGAGTGTATAATTTATCGACACTTTTAGGATACTAATCTGCCAGTACTGGTTAAAGAAATTGGAACCCGCCTGAATAAGCATTTGTTTAAATTGAGGATAAACAGAGCCTTGTTTTACGTAATAACATCATTTTTATACGGGATTTATTATAGTATAAAACAAATAATTTAAAACCTTTTGTAAGTTAGATGAAAAAATATATACCTATGTATACTGAATTCATTACTTCGCAAAACAATAACTACTTAATTGGTTGACAACAGAATTTCGCTTTGTTTATTGTCAGTTATTTATATCTGCTTATATTAATGTAACAACACAATATCTTCTTAGCATCTTCGACAATTTAAGTCGTTTGATTGAAAATATATTATTAGATTCATATATATTTTAAATATATACATAGTACAATCATTCCTTCTTTGATAAAAATATGATAATAATGTTCTAATTAGGTTCTAATTATAATAAAATTCTACCTAAATGTCTTTAGAACGAACTATCTTACATACCTTAAGTATTTCTTATCTTAATGTAACATACTTTTGCTTTTAATGACACGTAATTAGGTTGTATGTATTTAACACACCGATTAAATGCTAACTGCTTTTGTTGATACGGTTTTTTATATTGAAATTGATATAATATTGATTGAATTCAAATATACAATTGATGGAAGATAATGGTTTTATTAATGGTCCTATTTACGCATAATATGTAATGTCATTTTGTCTGTGACTCGAAGTATTTGACCGAAATGTCTTAAAATAATATCACTTATCGATAGTTGAATGTTTAATCTTTTATTAATCATCAATCGCCATAATATTTTTAACCAGTACTAAGAATTTCAGTCCATATCAGTGACCGTATAATCACCGATTAGAGATTTTACGAATACACATTTCGCAATATATGCCAAGCTTGAAATACATTTATAAATACAATGCAATTCTATTTATTTGCTCTTCCGCGTAATACTTTCCGTTCATTCTGAACCAAGAGTACAGAATTAGCATACCTAATGGCTGATGTATTTTAGAATCTCGTTGGAACCTTCGATAACAATTAGCCGTATTTAAACTGCGTCGTTTGTTATCAAGGCTCTTCTTATTAACGTAGGTACAGCTCTAATCTATACTTGTCAACGTCGCCACATCATCAACTGATAAGCGAAACTATTATATGGAATAAAATATATTAGAAAAAAAAAATAAACTCACCACGAATATCGCGGTAACACAAAGTAGCATATATTTAATGCACCTCATTCCAACTTCTAGATTGTTCTGCGACATGTTTGAAACGAACACCTTAACGGTGCAACAACTAGTAGTACACTGAAATGTAAGGCTCTTTTCAGTTTTATTATCACGTGTGATAAGGTATCGCGCACAGAACGACTGCTCCGAGACTAGTTGATTTTTTTTATACTAATTAGTGTGTATTATTTGATGTTTAGTTGAACAATGTTAACGCCGCCATTACAGCAGCTGGCTTCGATGGGGTGACCTTCATTGTGATGACGTCATCACCTACCCGCTAGTTTCCATATTATGTGTAGCTAATACAATGTATTTTGTAAATTTTCCAATACTTTTAGTTGTAATATATACGTGTAAAGGTTATGGGAAGCCTTATTTTCTTTATGTCTTTACAATAAACCTTAAGTGTTCAAGATATTGAATGTTGTGAATAAATTAAGATGATAAACAAATCTGTATTTCATAACCACGCAGGCGAAATGTAGGTTTTAAACATTTTATAGGGAACAGGGCGTGTTAAATAAAACCATTTTTTACGGATTGACTTAGCATTATTTATTATTGTACATTTTATTCGACTCTTCAATTATTTTGCAGTAACTGTGATCACGGACAGACGAGAAGTAAACGTCATTAAATCCGAGACATGTAGTTTTATTTAGATGTGAATTCACGGCTTCTAGGTATCATTAAGATATTTAGTAATTTTTGACCACATTTTGAGATAATCATTTCATTTATATTTCTTAATAATTTACATAACTTCTAAATATATACATAGTTATGAGTAGGTACGTATGTTCGCTTGGAAGTCTTATTAAATTCGTCTTTATGATGGCAATGGATTTTTTTAATTTAGTCATAAAATTGCTGAAATTGTAAAGCAACATATTCTATTAGGAAAAAATATATAAACCCAGTGGTGCAACAATCAAGGTCAGCAACGCATCCGCATTCTGCAACATTATGTTGCAGATGTCTATGGGCAACGGAAACTACCTTCCATAAAGTAGACCATCCGCTCGTTTGCCATCTATATATATAAAAATGAATTGCTGTTCCTTGGTCTCACTAAAACTCGAGAACGACTGAACGGATTTATCTTATCATCTTTCCGGGAAAACCCTAAAAACAGCGCTTTTTTATTTCCCATACAAACGGTTTTTGACATTAGATTTGACAACTAACTAATATGTCAATCATTTTGTAGCACTTCAGAACACGGAGATTTATAAAATAAATAAGACAATTTATTTCTTGATTGAGGCAGTACGAAGTCTGCCTGGTCAGCTAGTCATTGATAAAAAAAGGGTGATTTATAGAGTTACAAAGTAATTCTCTTTAAAATTACCTGCACCTTAAACTTCGCTTACTTAAACACATAAAATATGTCATCGACTCAGTTTTTTGTCCCAAATACTGAACATATCCAATTAGGATATTATTACTGAAAAAATATTAATGCTCAAACAAATTGGCTCTGTATAGCTTGTTATAAGGATTTTTATTATATCTATACTAATATTACACACCTGCAGTTTGTTTGTTTGTTTGAACTCGATAATCTCGGGAACTACTGGTTTGAAAATTATTTCAATATTGGATAGTTTATTTATCGAGAAAAGCTATAAGAAATATTCTCTTTCAGAAAATTAAAGATCTGTAGGATAATTGCTATTTTGTAACCCAAGGTGTAAAATCGAAAATCTATTTTTGCGTGTGCCGCAAAAACTATTGACAATACAAACAAAATATAACGTCCTACGAATTTTTAGGTCTTATTAAGATATAGAAAATTTTTGGAAAACCCATCACGCCTAAACCCTTGAACCGATTTTGACGAATTTTGTTATAAAGATAGATGGAACCCTGGAAGAAATCATAAGCAATTTTTATCCCGAATTCGAATCCTAATTCCGATCCCAAAACTACACGAGTAAAGTGTAATTCGGGTTCAGTGGAAAAGAAAAACTGTGATGTTCACGCGGACGGAATCGCAGGCAAAAGCTAGTTATATACATATAATCTTTTTGAATTATATCAGATTGATATCTTTGGATCACTACTACCTTTTAAAAAGGTCAAATTAAAGTGGTTATCGCTGCTTTCAGTTCGATTAGGGATAGGACCGGAAGTTTTAGGGCCCTTCCTTTCAACGATACTATTTTTCTTTTGAACCATGTCATCGCCTATCGCTTAATCGTTTTTTAACGATATCAAAAATATAAATTATGACAAATACATATATACCAAGAACCTAAAGTTTTGGGAATAATTTGATGAGTATTTTTATTATATACACGTTAAGTCAATTTATCGTAGAAGTTGAAGAGGGTGCTGATTTTAAACTGGGACCTTCATCAAGAGATGCTACCATCTAACTAAATCCAAGTAGTTTCGAGTTTATAGTTCTTCTCACACAATGGTATGTGAATGAAATAATGAAAACTGATTTGTTCTGACAATGCATAATTGTTGTAAGCGTATATATGTATGCACGTTCTTCTAAATATTGCAATATCTTTATATTTATTTTAAAGCGCCTTTCAGCATAAATAAAGTAGTAATATCTAAGTTTTTTTACTTTCATCTCGTCTGCCCGTGATCACGGTTGCTGTAGAAGAACTGAAACTTCGGGATCATGTAGATAAAAAATAACAAAAGCTTCCTCGTATCCTAGAATCTTTGTTTCATTTCAAATAATAATTTGCAAGCTTGTTTTGTATTTTTAAAACCAATATGCCTCAAATAATATGTATTGTTATAAAGCATATCATTACTATTTATATAATTGGTCTCAGCGCTATTTTATACATATTTATTGCAAAAATTCATTGTTCAAATATGTGTAAAGGAATTTACAAATATTTTATTTTAAAGTAAACCAAAATTCTTTCAACTAATAATGAAATAAGATTTCGTACACACACATATATATTAATACAGTTTAATGACCTTTCATTTTTGGTTTCGTCACAAGTGCGTAAAAAAAAATGTCCCCCAATTTTGCCACTTACGAGAACTAATAAAACATCTATCAACATTTCATAATTATATTAATAAATATTCAATTAAAACGCTCTGCGACTAAACACTAGACATAACTTAATAACATAGATATAACAAAATAACTTAAAAATGCATTCAACAATATAACAGTAACTGTTTGTTATTTTAGTCATAGATTTTTGTGACAACGTCTTGGCAGGTTTTATTTCACTATAGGATAAAGTACTAAACTTTTCTAACTACCAGAACTATACATGAACATTAATAGAAAACAACTAATTTGTGTTTTTTAAGGAAACTCTCTCTCTTGACGGGCAATGTTCGCGAGCCACAGAGCACCAGCAACCGCTAGACCCTGAAATATTATATAAAAATCAATATTTGACGTACAAAATATTGAAAAATAACTTATAGGCTATTTTTGTTTAGCATTTCGACTACATATTCATATTTTTGCAACGTATTGAGCGACTTACGAATATCAAAAATTAGCTAAAGTGTGGTTATGAGCTGACACGTAATAATAATTTCGGAATAAGAACATTAAGTAGAGAAATTATTATCAATATTTTTATATATATAATTATTCTGTGGGTGTGTATGTCACTAAACTTCTCTCAAACGACTGGACCGATTTTGATGAAATTTTTGTGTGTGTTCAATGGTATCTGGGAATGGTTTAGATTCACAATTTTGTCCGCTGGACAAAGTTTTTTTAGTTAATTTTTAATTTATTAGTAGTTGTTGATACAAACATTTTTTTTTTACATTAGATTTGACAACTAACTAATATGTCAATCATTCTGTCGCACTTCAAAACACGGATATTTATGGCTTTAATAGGTAAACTCCAAAAATATAAATAAAAAAACGTAACAGATATTTCTTGATCATAGGGCGATACGAAGTTCGCCGGGTCTTCTAGTAGAGATATGTATACCCACCTGCATTAAGACGAGGAATATCCCGGTAATGCCAATAGCGGCAGCATGATCCTGAACCCAGGCACCGAAAGCTTCAGAACAGCCTGTGGTGAACGCGCTGGCTGTGTTACACACGAACGTGGTCACTGTACCGGGGATGTTCTTACAACAGCTGATGGGTACACCACCAGAATCCGTGGTATTGAGAGGCACTAACCAGTTACTAGAATTCGTCACCCCACAGCATGTGAACTGCAAGCGTATATAATAGACGAATAAATTTAATATTGAAATTCCAAACCAAAAAGGAGTTATTTGAGATTAAATTAGATAGTACGTAAAGATCTAACATATTATTCCATTCAAAACTAGACGTTATAATAGGTTTAAACTAAACATAAATACAACTTTAACATTGAGAATTAGACGAAAGAAGTATTGTGAATGTTGAGATGAAATTGGCAGTGTTCTACAAATTTATTTTAATGGTTGATATTTTGAACATGAAAAAATTTAGGATCGTGAATTTATAAAAACTAGGATATCTTTTAGTATACATTCTGTAAAACAAGTGGCATGCTTATTAAATTTACGATGTTACGATTTATGATCATGTTAACAGTAAAATTTATCTAGAAAAGATTGAAACGAAAGTTAAAAGGTAAATATAAACAGGTAAGATATATAGAAGTTCTTTAAAATAATTAAATTTACTGTAAAAATTGTACAGATATGGTTTGGAACTCGAAAAAAAAACATAGGTTTTATCCTGAAAATTCTGCGGGGACTCTACCATTCCGAAAATCCCGCAAGAACGGGAACTATGAGGGAGGAACCAAAAATCTGCCGGAAGTCACTATTCCACGCGGACGAAGTCGCGGGCTATATACAAACATATAAAAAGAGATATTCTTTATAAAAAAATATATATTTTTATTCCTCGTTTAGATGCCGTAGTATGCCAAAACTGTTCACAACATGTAAGGCAGACCCTGGCTAAAGCTGGACAATTGCCAGGTAGAAGAGATTTGAAATGGTTATTTAAAAAATCCTAGTTAAAAAAGAAAAATCATAATGGCAATTGAATTTATTGGTCATTTGGATGAGACTCTTTTTAAATAAAAATGTATATGTTATGAAAACTTAAACATTGAGACTCTGGATATAAAAATAGTTTTTAATATTAGAAAATAAAGTAGATTTTTAAAATGTACAAATAATTTGAATACATTGATTTATTAAAATACCTTAAATCGTGTGCGCTACAATAACTATTGATGATGGAGCAAAATAATGTACTACGATTTTGTTGACTGTATTATTATCTACATAAAAGTCCGCGGTAGTGTATATCTAACTATTATAGTTACGCCAATATAAAAACTTTTATAGTTTAACAAACCTACGTATATACATATTTTATAAGTCCAATTCTAAACCCACGCAGACGAAAATACGGGCAAAAGTTACTAATACATTAATTAATTTTAGAAATTTAAAAACTCATTAAGATGTTCAAAAAATAGTTTAATATTATTTCGATATAACAGTATATACATACATATGCATGCATGTGTGTGTGTTTGTGTGTGTAATTGTGTTTCGCCATACCAAAAATCTTTATGTAACTTATAAAATTCCACCTGTTTATATAAAAGGTAAATATTAAGCGCAATTTTCAAAATTAAAAGGTAAATATAAAATATTATTAAACAGGTAAAATTAAAAGGTAAATATTAAGCGCAATTTTGTGAAGTCTTTAGTTATTAAAGCCAAACTTACATCAGTTTGTATTTCATCCCACAGCTTCGTTACTTCGAAGTTTTTGTTAGGCCCATAGAGGTCCATGGTGCTTAGCAGCGAGCTCTGAACCAAGGCCACAGTACTCCCTCTCAGTACATACCCCGCGATACACGCGGACAGTTGAAAGATGAACATCACTATCATCGAGATCACGAACTGGAATTGACAAATGAGGATCAAAATTACAAAGAAAAATAGTAAAAGCTAGTTGGTACCCTGACATCTAAATTTTGATATGTAGTTTACTATGAGAAGGAAAACAGTTGATGATAAAACCTATAATAGAACATTGCAATCACCAATAATACTGCCATTTACCTAATTTTTCCGGTTTTTTACCTTTCTAAAGTCCTTAAACGTAAATTTTCATCGATACTATCGTTACAAATACTATCGTTTAACTCAGTGGTGGCCTAGTGGTTAGAGAGCCCGCCTCTTGATGCCGAGGGCGCGGGTTCAATCCTGGCCCGGGCAAGTACCAATGTGATTTTTTCGAGTCATATGTACTTTCTAAGAATATTTAGACATGACTGATTAATGCATTCCCAAAAAGAGGGTTGATGTCAGGCAGGCGGGCCGGTCGTAAAAAACAATTAGCCAAAACTATTCAAAACATGTTAAGGCAGACCCTGGCTATAGCCAAGAAATTGCCACGTAGAAGAAGACTATTGTTACAAAGTTTTAATTTCAAAATATTAACGATTTGAATACATAGAAAAAACATATTATGCTATTTGTATACAAAAAAAATGTAAAGTATGGAAAAACACGTGTAAAACCAAATAAATAGAACTAAATCACATGCCATTACTAAAACCTTCGACTTATTATTTGTTATTTTGAGTCTTATTTGTTAACAAAAAGAGGTTAATTTAGAATAAATATGTAAGATACTGTATCTCAGACATCGTGGACCGTGTAAAAATGCATTTATCATTCTATTGTTCGATATTATTTTCATGATATTGTACATACTCATTTTATTTTCAAGATAAAAATGTTCGTCACATTAAAATCACGATGTCCTTAGAAGAAATATTTTTTTCATTTAATTTCCTCGTAGATTCTTGTTACGTAAATTATGACGTCATAATTCTTTAAGTATAGTATTAAATGTAGTGTTATTTTGTAAACATTCATATTATCTTAAGTTAAAATTACATCAGACAGTCTATTTCCGATATAGGGCGCTGTCGTCGCCAAACAATCAAATTTGAATACCATCTAATTTCAGAAGCTCAGACAATTTGAGTGCCCGGTACAATAATTTATACACATAGCTAACATAATTAATTAAATTAATATATTTTTTGATCGTCCGTGAATCTGTATGAGTGCTACCTTTTTGGATAGACTTAAATTTTTACGTAATGGTCTTATTTTTATCAGATAAATGGTATTTAAATAATATATACATAGTATATATTTAACGAAACATGGTGTACGAAAATGAGAATAAACGAATGAATGAAGAATCATATATATCGTTTAAATGACCACTTACCGCCATAATCACATAATAGTTTTCCATAAACGCGCCATAGAACCCGGCGAATCCTATGAGGAATATGATAATTCCCGTTGCAATACAGAAAGCTGGGAGAGAGAAAAATCTTTCCGATAAGAATTCATGGTAACCATTGTATGCCGACTGAACCGAACTCCCAACGGACAATATGATTATCCCTGTTATCTGAAATGTATAGTTTTAATAGCATCGTGCCAAAAAATACCACTTAAAATATAGACCTCACTTCACTCACCAAAAACAGAAAATTCACGGACACCAATGTGTATTTTACTGTAGTGAAAATTTTCGTCAACATTTTGAATGGCCGATCACCACACGTGACAAACAGCTAATGTAGCTCTCAGATATTTTTATCACTATTTTAATCTTGATAAGGAAAACAAGTAGATTTATCTCACTAGAGGCTCCCGTTCTAAGGTTATACTTTCCATTGAAGATGTGTCAGAATCATATAATATACAAATAAGTAATATTTTGTTTTTACTTAATGCGAACACTTCACAGAATTTACACAAAACAATATAAGTAAGTTTGTTAACATAAGAACATTACAATCCTTTTTTTAAATTACTTTTCTTTCTATATAAAACACGTGAACTTATGACGCCGTGCATGCAACAGAATGTTATTTCAGTGCAGCGTATTAGCCATCGAGCACTTACATACAATACAATTGAAATCAACTTGAAAAAGATAAAATACAGTCTCGATAACGTCGGCAATTAACTTGAATATTATTTTCTTTAACACCACACATTATTTATGTCACGATTACGTTTTGTATTCTAATTAAACTAAATAAAACGAATTCAAATATTACCCGATTGCATTTCAAAAATTGAAACAAATGACAACTGTGAACTGTCAAATGTCAAACTTATTTTTAGATGATTGTGTAACAAAATCATCATTAAATGTTTGCCCTGAATTAACAAGGAAGGAGAAATAAAAGAGTTATTAAACCATTATTTATTTATAACAATAAAACAATGATAAATTATATACAAAATATAGTTATTTGATTTGGGTGATATTTTAACTAGGAAATGGTATTCTAGCTTTAGGTTCTTTTAATAAATATTAATAATATTCAGCAACATTTACTGAACAGTCAAACAAATCGACATAGTTTAGGATTCAAGTTCAACTTCTTCAAATCTTGACCTGTATGCGAGCCAACAACCAGCTGCCAGAATGATTAACTGTAACAGAATTTATCAAAACACATAAAATATATTAATGAAGATAATTTTTCACAATTGTCTCACTATAAAAAAAATCCAATCCACTTATTTCTACCAAAAACTATAATCAATAACTGCAATTATACATATCACAAAAAGAAAAATCAGATTCCTACGTCAAGCTTTGTTGTACTATAATGAGTAATGACACTAAGTCTTTTTTATTAAATAAATTCTCAAACATATAAATATACATTATGATTTACAAAGAAACATTACAATATCGCTAGTGTTTATTAATCTTTAGCCAAATAAAACTTAAAAAACAAACATAGTTGGCATTGCCGCAATATAAACAAAACAATCACCTGTAAACAAATGACAAACGCGCCAGTTACTCCAATAACGTACGCGTGGTAGCTGAGATATTCACCAAGAGCCGACGCACAGCCAACAGTGTAAGCTTTACTTGATGTGCACTCAAACGGTGATATGGTGCCGTAGTCTATGTGACAACAACTCACAGGGAGACGCCCTGTAGGCCAGTCAGAAATACTGACTACACCGCAACATTGGAACTGTAAGTTACGACATATATTACCTAAAACAAACCTTTTATACCTCAATACAATATAGTGTTTAGTTTAGATACAACTACTTACATCAGATTGCAAGTTATCCCAGGTAATATTAATTTCCGATCTGTTTCCATATAATTGTAAAGTCTGGGTCATAGGTCTTCTAATAATTCTAGACGCATCGTTTTGCAGATTAAATCCTAACGTCGTGATTGCGATCTCAAATACGAGTATCACGAAAAGTAGAACGACGTACTGTAAAAAGATTATTAAATAATGAAATCTGAACTATTTCATTGATAGTTATAATAGGTATTTTAAGCAATACAAATATGCTTTATTTTAAAGTATATTTGACATTCCTAACCTCAAGTGTAATGGATATTAATATACAATTTATAAAACGCCTGCAAAAAAAATATAGCAATTATATAACTTATTTCTTGCTCAATACATACCCCAACAATAAAAAGAAACTGCTCTGATACCGCTCCATAATATCCTAGAGCTGACACAAATATTATGATCACACCAGTAGCAATCACAAAATTAGATAAAGTGAAAAATGTATAAGTCACTAATAATGAGTAATTATGAAATGTTAACAAAGTCGCTACACCGAGTATCAATAGAAGTATTCCTGTGAGCTGAAACATTAAAATATGTAATAAAATAACCATAAACATTATCATAATAACAAATAATATTTCTAAAATATTATTATTCTTACCAAAAACACACTATTTACGGCTGCCAGACAGTACCTCACAGACTTCAATAACTTCGGAACTCTCATTTTGAACATAATAAACTTGTTGATTTTATAAACGCGATAAGGTGACTGAAGTTTTTAGATGACAAAATTATCAATCTTTTCGGTCAGTATCAAACTTATCTTGACATACATCATCTAATCTTAATCTAAGATGTTTTTACTCGACTGCGGCCAAAGGGTGGGCCACATTTTTAATTTGCATGTATACCTATATATTGTATGTGAATATTCACGAATGTGAATCTAAACTAAATTGTATACTGTAGCATATTGACAAGTCCCCCACTTCAAGATAATTCTGAAGAGCTTCGTTGATTGCTACTATCAATTAAAACAAGTTTTCATGCATTTTGGAATTTTAAACGTGCGTAACTCCAGGAAGAAATCAATACGTTGCACATAAGACGCATGCCCAAAACATGTAGCTACAACTTTCTTTATCGTCATTTAACCTTTTGTGCTGTTGAGCAGAAATTCTCTGTAAGACAATTTTTTTAACAAGTGAACCATCCTTTGCTCAAATCAAATTTCTCTTAGTTGACTTATAAATATTCTTTGAAACCTTTTTTTATGTTATGTGTTTGTAGAATAATAATTTGGTGGGTTGTGTACAAATTCTGATATCAAAATCTTACTTAATAGTTATAATTTTCTATATTACATTCAATATTTATTATGACAAGTGATGTTGAAATTCTTTTAACTAAATGTTTTGCACTAAACAGTTGTAAATGAAAAATTAATATTGTTTATGTCACAGTGTAATAAATTTCGTGTTATTTGTATTTGAAAAACAATAAAATGATAATAAGTACTTTATTTACAAGTTTCTTCAAAACGAAAGAATTTGTTGACGGAAGTGTTTAAGAAACTTTATGTTAGCAATCTATGCTAACTTCTTCTTAAACATGAGAGTTTTGGGTGAAATCAAAGAGAATTTGACAATCATTTCGTTAATAGTTATATTTATATCTGACCTATTCATAATATATATGTAATTGTAAACAAAAAATATGATCATACATAGTTCTTTAATAATAATTTTAAATACAACTGAGAAAATTAATATTAAAATAGGTTTCTAAATTCAAAGCGCCTTGCCTGAATTCTTATAATTTATAATCTTACATTATAAATGGAAATAATACTAGCATCTTGAATTTAAATTAATTTTAAAATATTATCTCTCATAAATTATAACTGAAACTATAAGATTTAATTTCGTCGTAATCTTACTCATACAACATCTCTTTTATTTTTAAAAGTACAATGGTTAAATTTCATTTATTTATTTTTAAATGGCAACATTTATCAAATCTGTCTCAATATAATGTGTAAAAGTGTGCAACGCAACTGGCAACAATAATTTATTGTATGTTTTCAGACCGAGGTTGAAACGACGTAGAAACTACATATAACACTGCTGTTGTGTTTATTATCTTATAAGTAATTTGGCGGTGAGTGTTTTGTTTTCAAATGTTTGGCTCTAAGTTATTTTTTTTTGTAAAATTTGTTTATTTAAAATTATTCACCTGTGCAATTTGAAAAAAAAAAATCCTTTAACAGTGATGTCACATCATAAATCGATGTTTTGGCTTCGCATGTGCGCAGGTAAAGAAATAAGCGAACAACACTTTTGTTCCAGATTTTATATTTAGATTAGAAGAAGTGTTATTTTGAAAATGGCTATCGGTGCAGGGATGTCTTGCGTGAAATACTTGTTATTCTCCTTCAATCTTTTGTTTGCGGTAAGTATTTTTTTTCGTTGAAACGATTTTTCCTTGATAACTTGTTGGGGCGGTTTCCACAGTAATTTAGTCCTTTCACTTTTATACTGCTTACATTAAAAATGACATACATGTGTTTTAGGAAGCGTAATTAGGTATAAATCATTAGATATATAAAATGTATTAGTAATGAGTGTTCTGAAAATTGCGTCACCATTTTTTTATTATCCGAATACCGCCTACTTTAGTGGGTAATAGTAATGTTGAACAATCACGTTTTTTATTATTTCAAATGTAAATACATAAAGAAAATATATTAAATGGATATTTTAATGCACTTCCTAACTACATACAGTAAATATTTGCACCACCAAAGACACTATATTTTGTTTTCAGATTACGGGACTGATAATTCTTATTGTTGGTGCCAAGTCTGAGATCAATGCACATCCATATGTTGATCTCACTGATGAGAGTTTCTACACCTCGGCCCCCGTAATCCTGATCATAGTTGGTTTGATTGTGTTTGTGGTCGCCTTCTTCGGTTGCTGCGGTGCTGTCAAGGAAAACCATTGCATGATAGTCACGGTAAGTTGAAATACCATTGACTCATAAGGCCGGTAATTTCTTTCTGCATTACTCAAAGCAATGCTTATAAGTGGAGTTATTCATCAAATGCTATAGACAATAGCACGGCTTGCATTATCAGCATATAATAAATATTGCTATAACATTAGATAACAATAAGTAGCTGATGTTTGCAGTTCTGGAGAATTGAAGTACAGACATTTATGACACATGCATTAGCTGCAATAACTTTTTTTAATACAAAAAGACTTAGGCATACTTAAACAACTAACTATAAAAAAAAAGTAATGGATGATTAATAATTTCACAATAATATTTCCAATTATAACAGAATGCTATTAAATTTATCTTATATATAAAATAATTGTTTATGAATTGTAAACAATAATATATCTTATTTATACAGTAACTTTATCATGTGTGACTGATGTTTTAATGTTATGAAACGACCGGGGTACTTTTGTAAACATGAACGATTCATTTATATTACCACCAGTTTATATTGAGATTTGAGATTTATTTTATTCATTTAAATGAAACTAATGATGACATCTCGTCTATATTATCACGGTTGCTGAAAAGTAGCCGAAATGTTAGGACTATGTAGTTTTTAACAAAAAGTTTCGTAGTTTATCCGAATAATATTAGTTTCATTTAAACCACTAGTTTGTGTTAATAACTCAATACAATATAGTATTTGGCATGTTAATACTATCACATGAAAAGTTTTATGAATAAAATACTTCAAAAGTTTAGTCCGAAGTAGTGGTCGCCTTGTGAGGGTGAATTCGTGGTTTAATAGTGATGACGTCACCAATGACGTCATTAAGTAATGATAGGTAATTGACTTATTGGTTTCTTTTTGCGTAACATTTGAGTACACTGCAAGTATAATGGTCTTTTTTATTCGTCGTTTATTTCGGACTTGTCACAATTGACGGAAATGTAGATATGATTACTACATCATTGGGTATGCAATATAAACATTGAAATTATTCAGTTTTTAAAAACAACATTTGTGTAATAATTTTGTATTAGTTTTATGTGTAAAAATTGAGTAGAAAAGCATTAATTCGTTCATATTATCTGCTTGATATTTGTTTTAACATAATAACAGAATCGCTTTGGCTTACCACAAGAAAAAAACCGGAAATCCGATTATCAAAGCCCCGAGTGTTTTATTACGGCTTCCGTCCAATATAAGCGTTTAATGACATTAGCCTTTTAAATACTTCTACGTATTCACGCAGTAACTTATGTATACCATTAGTAGTCTAATAGTCTTACAGTAATTCCACCACAAGTTTAAACTACATTATTTTTTTCTTATTCTTCTTCTTCCTGGCAATTTCCCAGCTTGAGCCAGGGTCTGCCTTACATGTTGTGAATAGCTTTGGCTAATTGTTTTTTAAGACCAGCCGCCTGCCTGACATCAACCCTCTTTGGGAATGCTTAATCACAACCCTTGCTCAAGACGGGTTCGTGATTACAAACTTATAATTGTGAAACTATAAGTCCGGGTTTCCTCATAATGTTTTCCTTCACCGTCTGTCAGTGGTATCTAAATATTCTCAGAAAGTACATATGACTCGGAAAAATCACATTGGTTTTTGCCAGGATCGAACCCGCGCCCTCATGAGAGGCGGGCCTTTAATCACTAGGCCACCACTGACTGATATCTTTTTCTTATTATTATTTATTTATAATTTAATATTCATACAATTGAAATTAACAGAACAAACATATGTTCTGCCATATATATAAATATATGACAAAGGTTCATATTTGTACCTTAAACGCGTTTCACCTCAATTGACTGAGATCGCTGCTATGAACTTTGACACTAGTCTTTTAAACGGCCTCTTCCGTCGTTTAATTTGACGCTAATGGGTCCATTGTACACTATATGACGTCTTTGACCGACTTACAAAATAAAGTATATGCAAAAGTTACCTACGACAATAGATGAAATTAAAATTTCATAGTTTAGCTAAATAATATAAAACCGATATGAGACAGAAAAATATTAAATATCGGAGTCAAAAAACTTAATATTTAATTGAAATATTATATTTAGGTATTCTATAAAAATATTATACGTAATATGTATATATAAGATGTTCATTTTAGTTGTATTTCTTGATTTTAATTTTTCATATCTCGATATTGCAAAATATAACCTGTATATGAATGAGAATTAATTATGTACATAATTATGTAAAAATAATAAGAAACCGGTGTAAATGTTAATCTATATAAAAAAACTACTCAAATACCAGAAAAGATTCGCGAAATTTTATCAATATGTTATAAGTATCTTCTAAATAATTATTATTAAACTAGCTTTTGCAGCGACTACGTCCGCGTGGAATAGTGACTTCCGGCAGATTTTTGGTTCTTCCCACATAGTTCCCGTTCTTGCGGGGTTTTCGGAATGGTCGAGTTCCCGTAGAATTTTCAGGATAAAACCTATGTTTCTTTTTATTCACAATGAAGTACTCTTAACCAACAACATATTTATTTGTTTATTTGAATAAAGATTAATATTATTATGTTGATACAACTTAAACAAATTATTTCGACCAAATTAGGTACCATAAAAACGGTTTTTGTGAGTTAATCTTAAAAGATAGACATATACTGTCGCGGAGTGTTTTTTAGATCATTAAAAGAGCTATTATTCTTTAATACATATTTTTTGTGTATCTTGAACCGTTTTCACGGCGCACGCAACGGAAGGCTTCAAAGATGACATAATTTCTCCCGTTTTTTACACATTTACCACTATATCTTTGCGCCTATTGGTCGTAGCGTGATGTTATATAGCCCACAGCCTTCCTCGGTAACTGGACTATCCAACACAAAAAGAATTATTCAATTCGAACCAGTAGTTTCGGAGATTAGCGCTTTCAAACAAACAAACTCTTCAGCTTTATAATATTAGTATAGATATCATAATTTTAAGAATATTAACTTAAAATTTTTGCTAATTTTTATTCGTGTTGCTTAAACTCAAATGAGATTTTTATACTACAATCATCTATATTATTTAGTGGAAGTCTTATTAAAATTAATACAATTGTTATGAATAAAATACTATAGAACAATATAAGATGTTCGGGAAATACAGGGTGGCTGGTGAATTACTATCGATATTTGAGGACGTGATATTTGACGATCATATATGACAAAATAAATTTTAATATAACATAAATATTAATAAACTTCTAAGTAAAGTTAACCAAAAGTTATGTAATTAATTACGCATCGTATGAACACCCTACAGATTAGGTATACACTCACACTCACACATAAGCGAGCGCGGCGTGGTGTTGTATCAGCACGCCGCCGGACGCTTCCACACTTGGAACACTTGGAACGTGTAAACACTTTATTTATTTATACGGAAATTTGGTCAAAAATTAAGTACCTATTTTTTTTACATAATTCGAATGAGAATCATGTACCGAGTATGCTCCTTAAATATTGATAGTAATTCACCAGTCACCCTGTATATATATGGAAGAATTTCTTTGGGTATTTATAGACGAAAGTATACAACATAGTGTGCCAAGTATAACCCAATAGAACTATATAAAATATATCATTGCGTGCGCTGCATAGACAGTTTGTTTGCTAAACATCACATGACAGCGAGTGAAACCGCGAGCAAAACTAGTATTTACACACATAAACATGTTTCAATAGTGTCACAGATTGATTAGAACCGTGTCAGCGCTTTTCAGTCATTGGAGCGTCCAAGGTCACAGTTTGACCTCCGGGGATTTTTATCAAAATGTATAATTTCTAACTATTATAATACGTGCAACAGGATATGATACAGTTAAAAAATATATTTAATACTCAATAAAATTAAACAAACATTAAAAACTAATTGAATTTGAATCATATGTCTGAGTCATAAAATTTGAGGTAATTGTTGTCATAATGAAAAATAGGTTAGTCCCCGCACGAAAAGCCGATGAGTAATTTTGGTAAGAAATTAAGTAAGTGATGACAGGTAACTCACATTTAAAAGTAAGGTAAAACAAATGTTATAAGTCCCATAGAGGAACTAATTGAATAATTTGAGTTAGGTACTTTTAATTTGTTGAAATGTAATTTATTATAAAGTCAAAACTTTTCTTATATGCAGTGTACATATAAATAACTGTGTGAAATATTTCACTAATATTGCTTATTAGTTAATATAATTAATTAATTATTTTATAATGTATGTAGCCCTGATTACCAATACTAACAGCAAATATTTTTTTAATGCATTCTATATAATTTCCTAAATTATAATGACTTTAACAAAAAAATACTTAAGCTAATACCTCAGCTGTAGGTGTTTAAACACTTAATATTTTAATACAGACAACATGGAACTTTAAATGATACGATTGCATGCGCACGAGCATACATACATATATACGCACACAGATATTGACATCAAACTTTTTACGTTGAAAATTCAAAATACTATGAACTACCGATATCTGTTATATAGAGTTATCTTGAAGATCTTTCCTAACTTTATAAGTTATTATTATAAATAATAAACCTAAAAATTATACTTAGACTTAAACTTGCATTTTAATAAGAAGTAAATAATTTAATTAATGTACTTTATTATCCATACAGAGAAAAGGGAAATATTAAATCATTTAAATAGGTGATTGTATGTAACAGGATAAACGAGGTCATCGTTTGGGAGTAATTATCAAATCTAAGAAGTAGACTACAATATGACATTAAATAATTAACATTACAGAAAATTATTGTATTCTGTTATTACACTTTACTTAATAATCCTCTTTACAACAACACTAGCTGTTGTTTGCGGCTTTGCCTGAATGTTAACCTCACATTGAGATATGTCCTATCTTCATTATGAGGTTTCATTCGTTTTTTTAAGGATCCCTTCATCACGTCCCGACTTGATTGCAATGGAACAAGATCACGTCAATGTATTTTCAATTAGAAATATAATTTCAAAAATTGTCTTTTAATTGAATTCGAATTGAGAACACCTTCCTTTTTGAAGTCGGTTAAAAAACCTAAGATACTCATTGCTTACTAGGGAAATTCCCGTCAAAAGGTCAAGTTGTACCAGAGATTAAAGTAACCAAACGGATAAACAACGACTAAAAATTGCATACATGATGTAGACATCGAAAATATTTGAATATGGATTAAATGAAAAACTGTTCATTAAAATTAACAAACATATTATGTTACCAATTTATTTATTAGTAGAGATGAATACTTCATAACATTTAATTATCTTGAACAGGACTTTTGTTCTAAATGCCTTTGGAACTTTTCTCTATAATTTTTTTATGGCTATAAATATTTCTTTAATGTCTTAACTTCATATTGTAGAATAATCTTTCTGCTTTCATTTATTTAAACCAAAGCGTGTTGATATCATTTTCTCTTTAAAAAAATAATTGTGATTCCCATTAAGTCATAAGTTTCAAAAATAAGTCCTACTGAAAACCATGGTCTATTTAGTACTTAATTTTTAGAATTTAATTGAAAGACTTGATCCAAACTCATTGAAACTGAATCTAAAAACACTAGTTCTATGTATAACGCTATTTAAAATCTTTGAAGATTTGTCCTTTACAAACAATAGGGCTCCTTTGTAATAAAAAAGAATTGGTTTCCTATAAAGCATTTTATTTTGCTGTATTATCTTCCGTACTCTTGCAAAATATTTATGTCAATATATTTACCAAGTGTCCTTATATACCAAATATCATTATATACTAAATTTTTCTTTATATACCAATTATCCTTATATACCAAATGTCCTTATATACCAATTTTGTGCTGAGAGGTTTCATCTCGTATCATATATAAATATTAATGTTGGTATTGTTTTCAGTTCTCGGTGTTCCTGTTGATGATCTTCATAGCGGAGATGGCTGTCGGCATCGCTGGTTACGTTAAACACAAGGATCTGGAGACGTCCATCGTGCGCACCTTGAACGAGTCCATCACACACTACTCCACAGACCCCGACGTGCAGAAGAACTACGACATCATACAGACAGATGTAAGATCAACTAGCAGTACAACTAACACATACATATTCAATTTTTCCACCCCATACAAATTTTTTTCTCACCCATATTCATCCATGATCCATCAATGATTAAAACTTTCTGGCTCATATTTACAATTTGACGAAAGTATTAATACTTCCTTATTCTTAAATTTATCTATTGGGATCTAAATAATTTTGTTCTGTGCTGGCAAATTCAAAAATCAAATAATAATGTAAAATCAATAATTTTCTACTTCAATAAAATACTTATATGTAGAAACCAATAGCTAAAATAGGCAACTATATATATGAAATTTGCAGGTTCGAATCTTGCTCATATAAATAAAATCATTCATTACCATTAACATTATCATTGAAACATTTAAATATGGAACATTCACAAAAGCAGTAAATATAATACAATACATTTTCAGATGCACTGCTGTGGTATATACGGCTATGAGGACTGGGCCCATACAAACCAGAGCCTCCCCACCACATGCTGCGGGGCCCACGAGCTGGTGGAGGGGAGCGCTGTGGCTTGTACTGTGACGTCACCAGGGTTATACACGCGAGGATGTCTGCCTCTCATACTGGTTAAATTACAAGACATTGCGCTAGTGTTGGGAGGTGTTGGACTTGGGATAGCGTTTGTTCAAGTGAGTTATGTTAACCGAGTTTAGATGATGGAGGTTATGTATTTAGACCAGTATGTGTTATATGTCCAGAACTGTAGTGTTTAGTTACCTTTGTTAACATGTAAATTGTAAATACCTGTAATGTATCACACTGTACAAGTTTTCTTTTTTATATTCTTTTCCACATATGGTTTGTGAATATGCCGATGGTATTTCTAAAATAAATTATTATTAATTTATTTTAGAAAGTTTAATTTTTCTGTATGTTATTCGATAGCAGACATATGGAATATGGTCAAGAAGTGATTAATTTTCCTATGTTAGTTAATATCATCGAACATATGTGGTAAATTTCAAGTCTATGTATATTCTTATATTTGTGCTCTTATATCTCCAGAACCACAAGTCCAATTTAAGTAATTCTTGCTTTGTTGAACTAAGTATTATTCAATTTAGATAATACTGCAATTTTCATCAAAATCGGTTTAGTAGTTTTTGAGACAATTAATTTTCAGTAAGGATTTTGTAATGAAATTAAAAAAATAAACCGACAAATTATACGTTATTTACGTTTATTAGCTACATGGTTTAACTTAGAAAGAAATAAAAATATAGCATAAAATTTATAAAGTAAAAAATACCAAATGATTACTTCTGCGTTAAATAAACTCCGATATGCCAACTAAATCTATTTTGAATGTGTCTGCAACATTTTATAGAAAAGTAAGAATACCTATTGAAATTTTGAACCAGATTGTGCGTTGTTAATTCAAGTTCTTTGCGTCTTCTAACGTCGTCAAATTTGTGGAGTTAGGTATTATTAGTTTATTATGTGCTGGTAAAATATAACTAGTCTCACAAACAAACAAAAAAATTATTTGACAAACTTAAAATACCTAATGAAAATCGCGTCTTAAATATTAGTTTTATTTCCATATTACAATAGTTTTATATTAAATCAATTTATCATTTTCCAGTTACTCGGCGTGATATTCGCCTGCTGCCTCGCTCGCTCGATCCGCAGTCAGTATGAGACAGTATAAACCAAGAAACAGATTTCATCAACCCTCTACAATCTATATTCATATTAAGTGAAAGTATAAGATTACCATTTATTTTCTTATATTGTTTTAAATTGATTTACGAATTCATTGTTTTATTTTTTTATAATTATGTATATTTTGAACGTCGGATGTACGTATAGCATCAATAGATGGCGCTGGCACAAATGTTCTAGAATGGTCCAATGGAGCGCTCGGCTTAGAAGACTGATGTATCGAATAATTGATTTCGAATGGCCAAGAGATTTTATATAATGCACTTCACATATTATTTGATTGTTAATACTTAAAAGTAATATTTTAAGTAGTGTCTAGATCGTTTCTCGATATACGTAGTGGTGCACTAGTTATGACTCGGATAGTTCTAAAGAAATGCTTTGTCCTTACAAAGATACTATTTGTGTCATAAACAAAATAACTTAGAATTCCCTGAAGTGTTTTAGTACCTATTTATATTATAATAAATCTGTATATTGTGAGAAGTCGTTTTATTTATGTTACAACTTTAACCATCTTATTAATTTTTAAAAATACTGAGCATTGTTTAAAAGGTGTTTTTTTTTATGCAAACATGAGTCAGTGATATTCGGCTTTTTTACAAAGGACATTTTTTTATAGACTACTAGTTTTTGCCCGCGACTTCGTCTGCGTTAGTTTGGTCAATAGTAATATATGTATAGCGAACCAGTCGAACTCTATTCCGCCTTAGAGGCCATAAATAATCAGGTTTTTCCCGTTTCAATCAAACAGAATAATTGACATATTAGTTAGTTGTCAAATCTAATGTCAAAAAAAAAACGTTTGTATGGGAAATAGAAAAGGGCCGTTTTTAGGGTTTTCCCGGAAATGAATCAATTTTCTTCAGCTTCTAAACCTTCCCTAAACCTCCACGAACATTTCAAGACTAAGATAAGATAAATCCGTTCAGCCGTTCTCGAGTTTTAGTAAGACTAACGAATTTATTTCATTTTTATATATGTATATAGATTAGTACAATTTTCTGCACGATCAGAATATACGCCGTTAAATATTACTATAAACTTATATTTGTTTATTAGTGATTATAGAATTTAACACATTTTTCTTCAACAAGTTTGATAAATGAAACTTGGAAGCTATGCATACAAATGTATAAATACTTCTTGAAGTTTTACGAAACAAGAGGTCAATTATGAGTAATAAGTTTTTTATTCCTGTCTATAGAATAACTGACGACATTCCACTTGTATCTGCTAGAAAGGAAACCTTAGGCAATACAATATTTCAAGTCTATTCAATCGTGTCTTTAAAAAATTTGCAAAAATCAGATATTGTATATGCACTTCTTATTCTAAATCCAATATTTTCATAATAATATTGTTCCACAAGCATTCAGTAAAAAGAATCTGCGACAACCATAAAATAAAACAGCGGGTAGTGTTCTAGTTACACACATTTTATTTTCCTATTTTATACCATGATATAAATTTTAACAAAAGATGATTATAAGATATCAATGAGAGAACATCGAGTTTAAGAGGAACATCAGTCGCGGAGAGTGCAGCTGTCTTCTTGCAAGCAACCCGTCTACAGTCACAGTATAAAATAATCACATCGACAAAATATATCCCATACACGAATACGAATGCGGCATTCATTAATATTATCGTACGTCGCAAACACCTGAAACTCACAGCACCAGTTTCGCTTCCAACGAAATCAAATTAAATTCTAATACTTTTTTAGTTTTCTCAATAACTTTTTTTTATCACCAAAACATTCATATACACGCGACATACACTTCGCTAAAAATTACACGGCTAAGTTTTATTTTTTTATAGTTTAATAACTAGGGTTAAGACATTATACATATCACCTAAACAATGAAATAACTTACGACTAACAACTGTTTACATTCTAAACGGAATACACGGTATACTTAATGACGTGTCGAGTCCCGAACGGAAGCCGAGGCGAGGTTTGGCACGGCGGCGCTGACCGCATCAAAACCATACGAAATAATATACTTTGATATGTAGTCTTAATAAAACAATGCCAGTAATTTCGTATGTCATCTATTGTAAGAAGAAAATATTACTTAAATATAAAATAAGGATTTTCTTCAGCGTTGACGGCAAACTGTAAGCTCTTTATAAAAAATAAATAAAATGTATCGTTAACTGTACCGGACGTAGATCTACGAGAACTTATTCACATATTAACCTGACGAAATGTTAAAAACATTGATAAAGATGAATTAAAATAACTAACATAAGGTAAATGAGACATAGTCCGAACTATCCATATTAAAATAACTCAACAAACTATCTAAGAAAATATTATTGAATACAAAAATTTCAACTAAATCATCATTTTTATAATTATATTAATGTTACAGAGTCCTTCCAATACTATACATGGGGATGACCTGACACAAATCACTCATTATAAATTGGATACATTTCTTTATATATTCGAGTTGACAAAAAATAGAACATTCTGTATTAATATTTTTCATTAAGCAAAATCAACAAAACAAAATTTGAAATTATATACCAAAAAATAACGACTAGATTTTTAAACGAAATAAAAACAATTTATTTTCTTCTCAATGCTTCATGAATTAGTCGTTTGTCAGTACAGAGGTTACCAATAAATCATAAGAAAAATATCTCAAGTAATTACATTTATATTTACTTTACAATATAACCAAATTAAGAATTCACAGTTTTTTTTTCTATTATAATATTATAAATATTGAGTATTTGACTATTTCAATGCTATGTCTTAATTTCCAAAAATGCATTTATGGCAGATGGAACGCGGTATAAAGAAATTTATTAAACAAAACCTCATATAACACATATGCGAACATAACGAGAGGGTACCGGGTATGTTTCATTGGCAGTCGAGTAATCTTATAATTAACAGTTAAAATCACTAATCACAAGACCACATCCCGCAACAGATATAATTAAATTCCACGAATTTCACTGTTACAAATGACTTATATAGAAAACAGTTAAGTGTTTGAGATCACACGTGGCAAAATTGACTCAATCACTTTTAGCCTACATCAATAAGTTATAACCTATAACTGGATCTAAGCTGAGTAGATTTAACAGAAAGAGTAAATTTATAACTAAAAAAAAAACTTCTTCGCCTAATATAATAGTCGTATTCAAGCTTTTAAAAAGAAAATTCACATTAATTGCAACTAAATATTATTAAAAAAAAACTTGCTGTTTATACTCCGTGTTGTAGGAATAACAAAATATAAATGTTCGTTCCAGACGGTGTTTTAGTTCATGAACCGTTCTGTATGTTTGCAACTAAATATCTTTAAGCTTTGTTGTATGCTCGTGAATGCATATAACATTTAATATAACAGTATGTAGTGTGGAAGGAAACACATCATGTAGCATAGCGCTTGGTCCACAGACGAGCGATACGATCATGTTCCTCTCTATTCTGAAGGTACTGAGTCGCAATACTACCCACAAGAGGATCGGCTGAAAACAAAATATACATACATTAGAATGACATCAAGGTTTAACAGACATATACATCATAACTAACATATATAGTTATACATAACAATAATATAATAAATAGAGAAACAATATGTGATAAAATTAATTTATTATATTTACATTTACATTTAAAAAACATTGTAAAGTTGTAATTTTTTGATATTCAGTAAAAGCAATTGCAAACAAAACATCAACATAATATGTAGGTTGTAATACAATGTCTTAGTCATTGATTTTTGTGTAACAAACAATCATTCCAAATATTCATCATTACAACACAATCTTTGCAGACTAAGTGTCATTGACCTTAAGACATAATTTAAGTAAACAGTTCAAATTGATTAAAAAAACATTTTATATTTAATACATCTGATATTAAAAACTTCTCATTATTTTGTGTTTCAATTACATAATTAAAATAAATTAATCAGTTTTCATCTATGGTACTTCTAAGTCACTTCAATACCAAATACATATTATTGAATTATTATGTGACAAAAATTTAAATATAACTTTGTATTCAATAACACAATTTAGTTATATTGAAACAATTTAGCCAATTTATAAAAACTACTAGTAAGACTTCAAAAGCAATGAAATTTCAAGAACTGTATATCTTTAATAAATATCTCATTTTATTAATTAATATTATAAATAAACTCACCAGGATTACAGTCAGTCAAGAGCGAGCATATAGATAATAGTACTTTTGAAATGGTGAGCGCCGGTGACCAATTGTCTTTCAGAATGTCTAAACATATGACTCCCTGGCTGTTTATATTACAGTGGTATATCCTCGTACGAAACGTAACCTGTAACAAACAACAGAAACATATTATACACAGGAAAATAATTACTGAGATAATATATTAGAACAATGATTATGTGTATTTACCTTAGGAGGTTTGAAGGGATATTCCGGTGAGAAATGAATATCTAAAAAGAAGACGCCACCTTCATAAACCGAGCCAGGCGGCCCTAATATTGTTGAGACCCATTCATATAAATTGTCACCCTTGGGTCCAGCGCTACAGTTAGGCGGAGGATCTAGTGTGATCTCGGCCAACTCCTTTTGGATTCTCTTGGCTGATGTACCGAGTGCTTTCGACATTTTATTGTTAGGTTTATTTTCTTTAGTATCCGGTTTATCTCCGACGGTATTACCACCTCTGCCTCGCCCCGTGCCACTCCCTGATGAACCAGATGCACCAGACATTATCTAAAAGCATCTCTAAGTCTACACCAAACTGAAAACTATCAAGCTGCAAAATAATGTAGTAAAGCTTAAAAAATAAATACAACAAAAAAAAAGCTGCTACAATTGCATTACAGAATAACCTGACATTTTATCGAAATGAAGCCAGAAAATAATAATTGATTACTAAGCAATGACACATGAACACCTTACAAAATTATTTAATTTAGTAAATGGATATATTTTCTTAAATTTGAACGTAACATAGTATAAAGATAATATCTAATTGTCCAAATATTTACGTTCTCATATTAACTTATTTTCAGTTATAGTTCTTTCAAAAAAGTCATAATAAAAGACATTCAAGACCTAAAACATGCGTCAAAAAATTAGACTCTAGAGAAGGGAATGAATCCCGAATGATTTGATGTTAGTATACTGTATTTATATATAGTTTGACTAATTATAATATATAACAAACCAAAGATATGCATTATATGATAAAATCATTAACGAAGCAATCACAACGTTATGTTATGATGATGAAAAGATTCAAGTGTAGTCTTTTTGTGAAAAACTATCGCGAACTTTAGAACAAAGACTTTTTTGCAACTGGTGCTTCAAATATAGTTTTATGGATAACATAATAAGGAAAAACGCAACTCATGACCATAAGCTAAACGAATCAATTAAATGATAGAGATATTTTAAGTTAAAAGATTATTTTGTACCTTACGAATAACAGTCGGCCATCTTGTGGGCTGGCGTTATCCGATAATTTACAATTTTTTTGGTTCACCTCTGTCGCTATTATAAATAAAATATAATTCCTCACATAAACCTCAATAGACGCTAAAGATATCCAGAATATATTTTTGTTATGATTATAATACTTCGTGCTCGTGGATACTCCGAACTGCGAAACGCAAATAGGAAGCCTGCAACTTTTCCAGGTATAAAGGCAAACAATATAAACGTACAAAGACCAAAATAACCAACCGTATACCTTGTCGACTTTAAGAGATGTTTATCGTTTTCGTAAAATACGTCAGAGCTTCAATCCTCTTCTACAACATTTCGTCCATTTGTACATCACCCTCACCAACACAAAATCTACTGGAAGTTCCCAACGCACACAGGTTAATTACTAAGAGTAACAAGTAATTATTACAAAAATGATTACTATAAACAGTACGTTAACTTACATGTAATATATTATACTAATGGAAAATTTAGTAACTAAAACAACTATGAAATTTATTATTATTAATCTACTAGTCCACTATGCACAACCACTTTCCGACATGTTTATTAAAAAACCGGTATGTTGCCATATCTTAAAGAAATTGTAAATCGAAATAGAAAGTCAATAGTCAATTCAAGTAAACAAAAGGTAAGCAAGTAATTGTGTTTCAAATAATATTTCATCCTAATTAAAAATGGATTTTATTTTAAAATATGAATAAAAGAGCGACATATAAATGTTTATTTTTGTTTGATACGAAATACTTCCCAATTACCTATAAAAAATACATAGAACTTCCATATCTGTTATTAAGTCTTATAAAAAATCGGTTTATTAAAACGGGTTGACATAAACACTGGTAAAAATAATTAGCGAAATTCTATTCAGTATTTTATTTACCTAATGACACATTTTTTTTATATTACAAGTATTTCTTTAAAAGATCATATAATATCGAGTTAAATAATTTAATAAAGTTCCAAGGTAAGACATAAATTTAAATGTCTACATGATATGGATTCAAATCTGCAACAGTCAGAATATCTTTGGTTATTAATTTGAATTAAACTAGACAACTCTTACCATCGTCTTTGTTAAATGGAAAATGTCATTCGGTATTTTTAAGTTTCAGAACTCTCCCTAAGTTGTCAACTGTTGAAACTTGAGTTTCTTGTCTAAGAGGAGAAAAACACAGAGAAGTTGTCATTAATGTGCAATTGCACACAATTAAACTATTAAAGGTTTTTAATTCAGAAAAGACATCATTTATTTTCACATAAAGTTTTTCAATAACAATCACAATGGGGAAACGGCAACATCAGAAAGATAAAATGTATGAACATTATTTAACTGTAATATATTGAGTATAAGTAAATAGGCACTCAATGTTGTACTATATTTTCAGGTACCTCACTTACACTGAATGGACAACATTATATGGTGGTAAAAGATCAGGTACAGCCGTTGAGGAGGACTCATCGTTTAAGCGCCTCCCGTTTGATCATTGCTGCCTCTGTTTACATACATTTGATAATCCCTATTGCGACGCTGACGGAAATATATTCGAATTGAAAGCTTTGACGGACTTCATCAAAAAGTTCAAAATCAACCCAGTTACGGGGAAGGTATGTTTGATAATGAAAATAATAAATACCTTTTAAAAATGCTATTGTATAAATTATTCACAAATGATTTTCAGAAAATAGACGTTGCAAGTTTAATAAAGCTCAATTTCACAAAAAATGCCGAAGATTCCTACCATTGTCCAGTTTTATTCAAACCGTTCACTAAGAATTCACATATTGTGGCGATTAGGACAACGGGTAATGTGTACTGCTATGAGGCAGTTGAACAGCTTAACATTAAGGGCAAGAACTGGAAGGATCTCCTCAATGATACTCCATTCACAAGAAGCGATATCATAACAATACAAGATCCAAACAATTTGAAAAAATTCAACATATCCACATTTCATCATATAAAAAACAATTTGAGAGTGGAAACAGAAGGTGAAATTTTGTTTACATATAATATTAAGCATTACCTAGTAGTAGAAGTTGTATTAAATTGTATTATTTTTATTTTTTAAGAGGAGATTGCACTCCGTAAAGATCCACATGCAAGATTAAAAACTGTATCGGCTGAAACAAAGGACATTTTACAAGAACTGGAAAAAGAGTACAAAGCTCCGGAAACTAAAGAAGTTAAAAAAGAGGTAAAAAACAAAAGGAGTATTATTTTTTTGATAGTAATTAATAATATATTTCTCTTGATGTGGCTTATATAAGGTACGCTATTTATATTTCAACCTAGAGTAACAATTTTGGAAGTTATCATAATACGTAGATGGCATATAATTTTTAAAGGGGGTAAAAAGTTCACTAAAATTGCTTAAAATTGCACTGTTTAAATAGCACTGCCAAATTGATGCCTACCCAAATCTTTACTGAATACATTGAAATAATAAATAGTATGAATTGATTTTAGAGTATCTAAGCTTTCTTAAATTTTACTTGAATATTTGCAGGTAGCCGACAAATTCAATGCAGCACACTACTCAACAGGAATGGTGGCCGCTAGCTTCACATCTACAGCCATGGCACCAGAAACTGTTCATGAAGCAGCCGTCATATGTGAGGATGAAGTAAAATATGATAGGGTTAAGAAAAAAGGTAATTAAGGGTCAACTTTGCTAATAATATTAATAACTCTCACTCATATTAAGTAATTGTAATAATGTATTTATATATTTTCAGGATATGTACGTTTAGTAACAAACTTAGGTCAACTAAACTTCGAACTGTACTGTGATTTGACACCTAAGGCGTGTGATAACTTCATAAAACATTGTCTGAGTGGTTACTACAACGGTACAAAGTTTCATAGGTCAATAAGGAATTTTATGGTAAGTATAACTTATATTCAAACATTTCTAAAATACTAGTTAACAGTTAAAATAATTGAAAACTATGTTTAAGATCCAAGGTGGTGATCCAACGGGAACTGGTTTAGGCGGTGAATCAATATGGAAGAAGCCATTTGAAGATGAAATTAGACCAAACTTGCACCACACTGGCCGAGGCATACTTTCCATGGCTAATTCTGGACCTAACACAAATGGATCGCAATTGTTAGTATCTTCAATAATAATATGTTTGATTTTATCACCATATTCACCAGTATAACCTAATATGAAGGTCTTAAGCTTTGTTTTGGCCAAAACTATAAATAAAATTGTAATAACATTATTCTAATAATGAGATCTAAGGCTTTCCCGAGATATCATTTAAATGAAACTACTGTTATGCGGATTACTACGCGTATTTTATTATTGTAAAAATTACATATGTACTCCCGACGTTTCAGCAACTATTCAGCAACCGTGATTACATCTCATCTGCCCATGATCACGGTTGCTGTAAAGTAGCCGAAACGTCGGGAGTATGGAGTTTTTGACAAAAATAAAGTCGCGTAGTATAATCCGAGAAATAATAGTTTCATTATTTTAAACTTAAGAAATTTATAATAGAATATTTTTCATGTGTTTCAGTTTCATAACATTCCGTTCCTGTAAACAGTTAGATGGCAAACACACAATATTCGGTAAACTGGTTGGTGGTATTGATACACTTACAGCCATGGAACAGATTGAGGTTGATAACCGTGACAGACCTATAGAAGATATTGTTATAGAAGTTGCCCAGGTGTTTGTTGACCCATTTGCTGAGGCCGAAGAACAGGTATTGAGTTATTTATAGTACTACAATGGTATTAATAGTAAAAGGATGTGGTGGCCTAGTGGTTAAAAGCCTGGATTTCATACATAAGGGGGCAGGTCGAAACTTGACAAGTACCGATGTGATTTTTCCTAGTCATATGTACTTTCTAAGAGTAATTAGACATCACTGACAGACGGTGAAGGAAAATATCGTGAGGAAACATGGACTTATAGTTTCAAATTATAAGTTAGATGAAAATGGTATTATTTACTATTAGAGTATGTAATGATCGAATTTTTTTATTTTACCAGCTTGCTGCAGAAAGAGCTGCGGAATCTAAAAAGCAAGCAGAGGCAGAAGGATCTGGAGTTAAACCAAAAAAGGCATCAGCAAAACCTCTTAAAGTGTTCAGGAGTGGAGTCGGAAAATATTTAAATTTACAAGAATCATCCGCTACCACTAAAACTACAAAAAGTCAAGAGGTCCCCGCAAAGAAACCCAAGAAAGATGCCAATTATAACTTTGGTGCATTTGATTCATGGTAGTAATACTCAAAAATCAGCAAATAATGATAATGTAACATTATAGGATAAATAAAAAAATAAAATTTAATCCAATAAATAGTTTATATGTGATATAATACTCTTTATTTAATACTTTATAACAATATATCCTTAACTCCTTACCACCAAGTAACTAGACAAGTAACTAGACACCAAAAAACTAGACAAAAACAATATGAAGTGAAATTATTATAAAACAAATACAAAAGTTTGACTAAAATTTATATATAATATACACACTTGAATATTGTTATTAATATTTGGTTGTGTGTGAATCATGAAATTAAATATTAAATACTCGCATAACTATAGATAATGATAATAAATAGATTTCACACATAATTCATTTGAAATTCAATCTAAACTTGGTCGGACTGTCATCCAATGTAGGAACACACAAGTATTTTTTTCATATCTACGGAAACAATGATTTAAATAGTAAGGAGGCTTCATTTAAAGTATGAATCATTTTTTTATTGAAGATTTTTATTAAGTTTCCTTCAAACTTAAAAAGTAAAGAATGTTTTTTAATAATATCTAAGATTTTCATGAGTACTCATTTAAATGAAACTAAGGTTTTCTGACTACATAGTCCCAATATTTCAGTTACTTTACAGTTAACAGCAACAGTGATCTGGGGCAGACCAGATGAAAGAACAGGAAATCATTTTGCTGTTAAGAAACTGAAATGTCAGGATTATGTAGTTATAAGAGATAAAACTTCTCAGCATTTCAGTAGCAAAATAAATAGTGTCCTAAAACCTTACTTTCGTTTAATCATGTTTCAATTTCTTGATGATTATATATTAACAAAATTCTATAACAATTCAGGTTGTAGACATGTTTTAAATATACATGATTAACATTACATGCCTCTGAGTATTAATTTCATAATTTAAAGCTACACAAATAAAGTACAATATCATTGATATAATGTGAGATGGTGCATGTTACATTTATATGATTGAACAATTATATTTTAAATAAAAATTATATTAAAACTTTCAGGACTTCGTCCATATTATTAATATGAGTACACAAAACAGCAAAAGTACATCATTTATTCCATCCTAATGAATTTTAATTGGGTGCTAAATGAAAAGCACAAAAGTTTAATTTTTGAATAAGCATTAAATGGAACAAAATATTTAGTTATAATTTTGACGCCGTCGCGCCGTTCTTTGCTTATCAAACCTCATTTCCATTTCTTCTAATACCTTTGGTGTATATCTTACCACTAGTTTGACAGAACCCACTGCCTGCTTGAGAAGTTCTACAGCCTTTTCATGGTTTTCGCCCTCAACGGAGACTCCATTAACTGAAAGCAGTTGGTCACCTCTTTTCAATCCTCCGTGACGATCAGCAACACCACCGGGTATGATTCTTGATATATAAATTGGCGAATTTTGTTCCTTGCCACCCATTACGTTAAAGCCTAGGCCCTCTTCGGTTTTCGGTAACTCCACAACTCTGGGATGAGCGTGACCCTCTGCTGCAGCAAATGCTGCGACGGTAGCTTTGGCAGTGGCCGATGCTCGTATATCCGCCGAACCCTGAATATCCACCGTTTCATAAACATGTTCATACACTTCTCTCACAGCATTTAAAAAATCACTTTGTAACACTTTTTGTAGTGCAGCCAGTTTAGTCGCAGGAACTTCTCCACTTTGCTGGAGTTTTTCAAGCAACTCGATGGCTCTCTTTATGTCTCTTGCTAACGTCAATTGCTCCGCAGTGCTCGTCATTATTAAATAATAAAGCTATTATAAATATAATAGAAGTAGGAAATTACTTCGAAAATCGATTCGAGTACACTGTACAGACCCTTTTTCCTTATACTGTCAGAATTCAGATCCATTGACAATAATCAGTCAATATTCGTCTATGTGTCGAAAAGCTGTGCAATTATGTTTTAAAACATTGTTCAGAAAAATAAATTCATATCATTTCGAATCCTAAAGTTCAAATTATATAATGTATATGATGATAAAAATCAAAGTTTTCAATAATACAAGCGGATCTTACCGTGGTTGGGTAATATTTGCAGTACCACGTTTAATAATATCTGAACGCATTAATTTGTCAACAAATAATATGACATAATCGAAATGACATTTTCTCAATTGTGCCAATCCAAGAAATTTTGCCATATATGGTATATATTTTGGAATATATAACTGGTATGAGTTAAATATATTAAAATAACTATAATAGCGATTGTGGTGTTTTTGAAATCATTATAGTTTAATAATTGTGTGAGTGACAATGGACGATCTAGGTAAGTGTTTCTTGTATGTTATCATTAACCTGTTTGTCCCCTAATGACGTGTTTTATTTGGTATTAAAGCAATCTCAGTCGTTATTTATAGAATACTTATGTCATTCTTCAGACCTTGTTTTAAGTAATATTACGTACCAGCTGTTAATATACCGTATATTTTCTACGGAACGTAAAAGATAACGAGATGTTGTTATCAATAGGCTTCACTGTTTTTTAAATTTCTTTTGAGATACACCTGTAGATAGAGTTTCATTTAATAATCTTAGCTATGTTACGAGTTACATAAATATAACAAACAAGTTATGACTACTGTGGATTTAGAATTTACAATTTTCTAAATTAATAACACTGCTCTTATGATATGAAGTAAAGAATATTGAGGCCATACCAAGTAGGGTTGGTCTTGTATTATTTTGTGACTCTTCAGTCTATAACAGAGACAATATTTGTTTAATAAACTTACTACAGTTTTTTTACTTATGTATCTGATACATGATTATCAAATGTTACTTCAATAGAAATTTAATATAATTTGATTCATGCTAAAAAACATGAGAAAGTTAAGAATGAGTTAATATAAAATATAAAAGAAACATATTGAGAAAAATTTGTCTAAGCCTCTTGAATGTAACTTTCATCTTAAAAGCTTTAAAAATGTTTAACTATAGTAAATAAATTTTATTTAACTGAAAACATTTACATATCAATTGTATCTTTTACATTTTTCATCTGGTATATCTTAAGTTATCACAGATAAAACTGATAATTCAATGTCAGACAAAACATTGCTAACAATAGTTGTTACACTATATAGAATGGGTGCCCCTATATCTTATATATAAAATATAAAATTCTTGTGTCATGGTGTTAGACAGACAACTCCTCCGAAACCGCTGGACCGTTTTTGTGGGCTTATTAAGTAGGTCTGAGAATTGGCCAACATCTATTCTTCATACCCCTAAGTCATAAGGATTGTTCACCCTTCATTATTATTTTTTTATTTTCAGACACATTTTTTGGTTTTATATTTTTATAATGAAGAATTAAAAAAAATTTTACTTTTTCATCACCAACCCCTATTGTTTTATATGGCAAAACAATGTTTGCTCAGTCAGCTAGTAATATATTTATACATATACTTACATTATGAAGACAAATAACAAAAATACCACTTTTAAGGAAAATCTAAATTGTATATTATATATTACATATATTATATATTTTATATATCTATATGTATAATAACTCAGAGGTATGGCTTTCATATTCAATATTACCTAACACTGATTGGTGTTCCATAATGGCTTGGCATGATTTATGGCATCGCCACCACTCCCTGTAATCTAACAAAACACCATAATGCCCCAAATCCAAGGCCAAATATAAGGAAATTTGAAAGGAATTTATATTGAAATAAGTAATAAATTAGTTAGTTACGTAATTTTTGACTAACTTTTTGGCTAACAGTTGAGCTTTTGATATTTGAATTCTATATACATTATTGTTTTTAATTAAAATAATTTACATGTTTAATGTATGACATAAAAATGTAATTTTATAAAATTTTGGTGATACATATTGTCAATCATTCAATTATTTTAAAGTTTAGTGTACTAATTATTTCAAAATGTTAAAATTGAATAGGCAATATCACTGAAAAACTATTGTTTATTATTGTTTATATTAAATTCACTTAATAGAAAAAAGGCTATGAGGACAGTTTTAGATGCCTAAACTTTGCATACCATGGGTATGGGTTTATCTTTGCATATCATTCAGCACTTTTTTGTGTGGCACTGTTCCTGACTAGATTGAGATAAATTGGGAGATTCTCTTCATCTTCATCTTCTACTAACCTCTCTTTTTTGGCAACAGCAGGAGTAGAAATCCTCACGCTTTTATAATTTTTTATTGATATTTTTTTGTCTGTCAAAGTTTCGCCTGAATGTAGAGCAAACTGTGCACATTCAGCTTCTAAAATGGGGAGGCACTGGATTCCGAAAATTATTTTCTATCTCAATAGGCATAGGGTAACCTTTTGTCTGGGTAGAAGCTGGCGTGCACGGCAGCATATAATTAAAAAACCAGGGGACAAAGCTTTTTGCTTAAAGAGTTGTAGTAGCTTCACACTTTACTTATCTGTCATAGTCAAAATCGGCTCGTGAAAGGGGAAACATTTGGTGGTTTATAATTTGGTTCATCAATCACTTGATAGTATTTCACTGGAAAATGTGTTCAAAACTAATTACGTATAAAGTTGAAAATCCTATTTGAGCTTGTCATAATTATAACTCCCAATTAACATACTTATAAACTTACAACTCTTCAACATAAATATAATAAAATGTCCATAGCATCAAATGTTCTTTTCAATTGCCGTATATTTTCTAGATGAAGTAATTTTAAAACAAAAAATTGAATTAAAATTTCGTTATCTAAAAGACGTTATAATTAATCATGTTTTGAATATTTATTTTATAACATGTATATTTTCAATTATACCTTTCATAATGTCTGAATGTCGTTACAAATACCTATCAAGTTAACATAATTAATCAATTATCCTCGCTGAGCCCCTGAAACCATAAAGTTCGTGTATCGGACAGTAACGACTAATTTGTCACCCTCTACCCGCAATTAGCTTATTAAGTGCAGTTTTAGTCACACTCCGATGACATACGACGTATTAACACACCCACATATTATGACTCGTTAATTAATTCTTACAATATAATTTAAAAAAATATTAAGAAACTCACAAAAAACTCCAAAGACTTTTTTGGCGTCGCCGTCAGTTAAGAGCATAGAATTAAATTGTATTTTGTACAAAGATATATCGCAAGCCCCAGGAACTATTAAAGCTCCTCTCCCTGCAATGATGGACCCGACACTCGCAGCGTGAATACATTGAATGATGAGAAGTTTTCCTCGTATTTAAAGCAATTTTTGAAAATGACTTATTTTTAAGTCTAAACATATTCTTGCAAATTAAAGTTGCTTATAGTAAAAATAGCTTTAATTTTTATAAAAAGATACAATGTAGATACCACATGTTAAGTTTATCCTCAACTGAAATCGTTTGTTCAAATTAAGTAAAAGTCTCGTCGGTATCTCTCCAGATGACTTCTTCTATCTGGCAATTTCCCAGCTATAGCCAGGGTCTGTCTTACATGTTGTGAATAGTTTTGGCTATTTGTTTTTACGACCGGCCGCCTGCCTGACATCAACCCTCTTTGGGAATCAGCATTAATCAGTGATGTCTAAATACTCTTAGAAAGTACATATGACTCGGAAAAATTACATTTGTACTTGCCAGGATCGAACCCGCGCCCTCGTGCATGAGTGGCGGGGCTTTTAACCACTAGGCCACCACTGACTTCGAATCTTTCCAGATGTATTTAAGATTAATCGTTTAGTTAGCCTTATTCTAACATTATTGTATTAGTGTAAAAATGATAAATATATAAATTATTCTATACAGTAAATATATTTAGAAACGTACAATTAAATTTCAGCTACATATTTATATATATATAAATTGGTTCCCGTGTTTTTGTGTATTATTAGCTAATATTTGAAAAGTACATTTAATAACTATTACACCTGAAACTATAGTATGAGTTACACTTGCATTTTCAACGATTAATTTATAATTAATTTCGCATAATCGTATCACGACACCTATGTTCGAAAAACGTTAAAACTGCGCGTATCACGTTAATGAAATTTTTCAAACTTATACTACATAAGGGTGATAGTAAATATAATAGGAATATTGTAATGGATCCATAAAGCTACGTCATGCTACGTCGCTTCCATTAGGGAAGAAGGTGTCCCATGACAGCCAGTACGATACGAACCGCGTCGCTGGCATAAACCGGCAGTTTGACGATTTTATTTATTTACCGGTAAATTTAAATCGTAAAAGAATTTAAAATATATTTTATCTAATCGCAAAACATCACTATTTCATAGTTAGTTTTATTTTTAAAGTTAAATTATGTGTTAAGAAATTCATTTTCGTTTTGTGTGCATTTTATTAATAGTGTTATTTTGAGTTATTTTCTTGTAACATGTTGTATTTTTTTTAATTGAATAGTGAGGTTATTGTTTGTATGGCATTTGTTAGGGCTGCTTCAATCCTAGTTGTATCTGTGACCTAAATTTTGATAAACCGAAGTCTAGATGACCTTATTTGATAACGAAAATTATAAAATTTAGATACTAATCCATTAATAGATGAATAAATTTATATCCAAATAATGTTCTGATTAAAAATATAAATATGAGTTTGACTTAATTTGATAATAGAAACCGTTCAATCTTGATTTATATGGTATAATATTAAAGTGATATTATATCGAAAAATAATTAATGTTTCCTAGTGCAAATTGACTGATATTTTAACGTACAGAAGTAATGAGACCTAAGACTTGCGAGTATTCATTTAAATGATACTAATAT